CAAGGTTGACTTTTTGGTATGCTCAATAACCTGGAATCTACAGCTGAAAACCCACTAACAATGGGCTGGGTCCAAGGAAACTAAAGGAACAACGGGGTCAGGCTGGGGCCCACTGTTCTGACAACTCCCTTATTTTCATATACTGCGTCTCCCCCTAAGAAGATTATGTATTGGATTTCATAGCTCTAGACAAACACCAATGGTGACTTTCATGGTGCTATTATTATGCCAGCCGCAGTTAATTTTCATCTCTAGTGGACTGCCCATTCAGGCCTTCTTCAAGTTCGGTGGCATCTGCAAGGGCCTGTTCCTTTACATCATTCCTCAGATACTTATCAACAATGTAGGTGGAGATGTTACCTAAATATATTGGACAAAGGAAAATGCCATTGTAGATATGTTTCTAGTAGAAAAAATGATGCCTCTTTCTCTGCTTATCATTGTTTTTTTATCGAATTTCAAGCTCAAACTTGCTTGAGATTCCAAAAATCCTATTCAGAAAATTTGGATAGGTTGTTGAACCAAATCAAATCTAAAACAAATATCTACATTACAGAACAAACTTGACTGATAAAAGGGCTTACCTTCCCCACTGCCACTGAAAACTTTTAAATTTTTTTTATCAAACCTACCAATAAAGTTTTTATTGAATCTTCTTCTCATCAAAAAACACCATTCTCCATTACCATGCACGCTCCTCAAGTTGAAATCTCAAGTCTACAGCTTACGTTTTAAGTATTGAAGATACATCAGGCCTCTCATAACCTTCTGACATCCTAACTATAGATTCAGCAATAATTAGACAATAATGTCGTAATACCGGTGGTAGGGTGGCATGATGCCAACACCACTACCTGTGAAATAAGACATTTTGTCCTGAAGTGGGTCCACTTGGAGACCTTCCTTGATGTATACTACATATATTAGCATGTCTCTTGGAATTATAAACAAGTAGATTAAGTAGGGATTCTATGTCCATGTGTTTAATTCCAGGGATTAGTGGACATATATCAAATTCATATAACTGTGCCCACAGCCATTCATTTGTCAGCCCACTGTACACATGTCATAAATAATGATTGGAGATCATCCCCATTTGTGTCAGATTAGCTTGATTTCATGAATTGATCTGATATTTAAGATACTCTCCGGCCTTTTGATTTATTTAAATCAAATTATCTACCAATCAGATTGAGTATCCTTCATAATATGTTGGGGATGGATCATCATTTGAGAAAAAGAGACATATGGTGGATACGTCAATATTTATTAGAAACATAGGGTTATCAGTTTGTCTTAGTGAACTACATGGGTAAATTTCATTAGATAACCCTACCGTTTGGGTTAAGACACAATTGTCCCCCGGTTCTTGTGGACTCAATAATATATCATGATTTATTTAGCAATGCCATTCGAGGATAATGCTCATGCGTGGCTCTAACATTGACCTTATGCATCTGTATATGATAGCGGCGTGCTATTATTGCAAGATAGGATTGCCAGTTATTGTGATGCCAGAAGAAAAAGAAGAAGAGTCCAAAGAGGACACAGAAGGAATCTTCCTATCGCACGCTTGGACCCTACCTTTGCTCCATTCCTCGCTCCTGTTAAAATGCAAAACTAGAAAACGCGTTAAATATGTCGTAGCTTATCTAGGCTGGCTCCATGGAAGCAGCGTCCTTCCTTACCACCTATGTGCGGAACGGAGCGAGACAAGGGTCCAAGCGTTGACTTCATCACAGCTTATTGAGGCACATGGGACGGCGGGCATACGTATCCAATGGTGCTAGAAAACTTCGTATTTTTCACTTCTATCCGTAGGCAGGATATTTCTATGGAATCGACGACTGGACCCGGTACCTCTTGAACGGTAGCTGGCCATCAGAAAGCGACGGGTAACCCCCGCCGGGGACCGGACACGTTAAGGTCGGCTGCCGGAAGGCAGAGCCCTCTCTGTCAACTCCGAACATCTCTATTACGTAAGCTCCTTCTCAATCTTCACCTTAGGGTGATGACGTGTGGCGGAGCAGTTGAGGAGCAACATACTGCAAACGTACGCCCCCCATCCTCTCTCACCCGCAACGCAACCCCCCACCAATGACGTTCGTGCAAGATCTGGCTCCATAGGACCTACTTTTTCTTTTAAAAATGGGGATGTGCAGCTGCGGATGACTCGTTCCACGGGCAAGTCGATGGGCATTAGCCCAATCGGGCCCAGGCTTTGCAGGGGTCTGATACGGAGTCTGCTTTCAAGGCTCTTCATGATATCAGATTCACCGACACACACGTCTCAAACGTTTTATTGGCATAATTCTTTAGTAGAACACAAAACAGAAACGTTTAATGTGGATAATGAGCTTCTGCGAATGGGAATTATTTCCGAAAATTAGGGTGAACTGGGACAAGAAATAAAACAAGATGTTGCATACATCACGCCAAGGCCAGATAGATTTTAGCTTTACTTATTTCTCTGTCGTTTTGTGACGCACTCGCACTCGTACTCACATATGAATACCACATCCGGTGATGACTCTAATAGCGAATACCATCAAACTCATCGTTGTCTCTGACTAATGTCTCAAAAGTTGGACATGGAAAAATTGACTGCACCTACGTAATCAAGAGGTTTCTGTGACGTCACAATGATTACCTGTCTGTAAGTATCGCATCTTAAAAATTGCTTATGAATGAGATCTTGAAAGCCTGTTTGATAACGGTTTCGTACGGCAGTCAAGATCAAGGAGACAAAATTCTAGTTTATATCCAGAAATAAAGTATGAGAACTTTTTAAGGAAACTTGAGACGTCGTAAGTCGTCACTAAAGTTCTAGTCCTGGACTGAAGATCCATCCTCGATGATTAATCTTATCCAAATTATGCAGATGTGGATAAGCCTTCCCTCTCATTATCACATATTTAGCTTAGGAGTTAAATCACCGTCCTCTCTTATCGATCATTACAATGGTGCATCAAAATTTCTAAGAATGTTTATTCGTATTTCTAATCATTCTAAATTACGAGATTATGAGTTTAATGAGTTCAAACTACTCTTCTTAAAAATTAGCACGATACGATTCGTGTCTCTAAGAATGGGTTTTAGCTTCATATATTTTCTTCCTGCTGCTATATTATGAATTAGATGGTCCCCACCCTACCTGAGCTTCTTTAATGATAGATTATTCGTAAAATAACGACCTTCTTGATGGTTGACCCTTCGTGGCAAGGTTTGACTTGGGATTTGATTCGAGACGTGGAAGTTTCCTCGTTTAGTGCATGTCGCGCAAAACGAGCCATTATAACAAATGCGTTGAAAAGTCTGAGCCCCTGGTGAGCAGGCGACCCTGTCTCTGCCGTGTCTGCTCGGCTGCCCGATCAAGCTTGTCTTTTGCTCACGTTGAAGATCCTCCCACACGACTCCTCGCGCAATGGGTGACAGCTAATCGGGTCTTCAGGAACCCGACGACGAAAAGGGAGGAGCCCCAATAATGGTGGCTTCTTGCTTTCATATTTTTTACTAGCGGTGCTCAGGATTAGGAGTATTTTATTTTTTTTGTAAAATGTGGCGTATATTTCACATTAATTGGATATTACTATTATTCTATTTTTTAATCCTTTTTCATGTCATGCAAACATGTAAGCTTAAATTTTATTACTAATGTTGGACTATTCGCCAATATCTCTTCCCATGAAGCACGATTTCTAAACGGCCATATTATGTGGAGAGTAAGTGTCCCCTACAGACTTTTGATGTGACTTGATACTTTGGAACCAAGTATTGTTTCTTAGCCCAAAACCAGTTGAATGAGCACCCCAACATTCTCATGGCGATGAATTTTACTCTTGTGGAAATCCTCCAGACTCGCTGATCTATTTGCCGTTGGTTTGGTTGGGAGGCCCGTCATGGAAAGAGGTGGGATGGGAGTCAGATCACCTAAGGTAGGCATGGAGCGGTTTAACGGATTTCACTAAATAGTGATGCTCGGAGAGAAGACCCTCCCTGGTTTGGTCAACTCGTCGCATTGAAGGAGACAGAAAACTATGGGAGAATTACCACCCATTAGACTAAAAATATAGGAAAACATTCACCACCCATTAAACTTTCTAGATCACCGGAAGAGGACAGATTCGTCACCCGGCTCCATCATCGCAGATATTTCAGCGTAGAGCAGTCACCATACTATGGGAGACTACGAGCCCGTCTTCCTCATTCTTCTTCACACATTCGCTACAAATGTGGATAAGCTATCCCCGGTAACTATCCGGTGTTGGCTCTCTCTCTCTCTCTCTCTCTCTCTCTCTCTCTCTCTCTCTCTCTCTCTCTCTCCCCCTGGTAATTGATGCATGACAATCTGGCTCGACCTTTTAGAGCTGGCTGGGACATTGTAGGGTTTAGCCTGGAGCCACCTTTCAGGCTTTCCTCATGTCTCAGAAGGCCGACTGTCTGAAAGTCTGAACTTATCTTTTCGTATCAATCGACACCTCGTGTGTCTCTACTGTCTCTCTAACGAGTGTATATAGACAATCAGGCCTAAATCCACCGGGCCCCTGTCTAGTAAAATACACCTGGCCTCGGGCTCGAATGGTCTGTCGAGACCGTTACTAGTTACATCACATAAGTTCTCACCCTCCAGTGCTTTACGAGTCCAACGACGAAATGCCGGCATTTACGGCTTGCCTCCAGAAATTTTTTCAAGACGAATGAGGAGAAAGATCATACCATGAAGAACATTAAATCGATGCAATCGGATAGAAGTCTTCTCCCCCAGATAGTTCACATCGAGAATTCTTTAATCCATCTATCGTAAATCTGAACGATTGTTTGGTGGGATTCGGTATACAGGACACCTAAACATACCGTGGGTTACATCTCACCCTTAATCGACGCAGAATATCGCAAGCAACTTCCGGCTTGCTAATGCTTTCCGTACTTTACTTAATATACCCTAAAGGAGAGTAACTCAACAAGCTCGTGCCTGTCCAACGCCTACGTCGAGGAAAATATTATAGAAAGCCCTCACCCACCGACTCATCTCTCTCTCTCTCTCTCTCTCTCTCTCTCTCTCTCTCTCCCTGTCTCTTTCTCCCTCCCTCCCCCATTTTATACGGAGTATCCACCGGAAAAGAATTCGAAGGAAATCAGGAAGGATTTGACGATAGGAGAAACTGTCGAGCAGCCACCTAAACCTCACCGCCCTTCGTCTCCGCAGAGAAACCTTGGGTACATAATAGAAACTTTTAGCAGTATTACGCGCCGAAACCTACGCCCCTGAGAATGCTGATCCTATGATAGTGCTCTCGCATGATCTTCAAGCGCTGAAACCTTCCCATCTATCTACGTTGGCGTAGAATTCCGCAAACACAGAAACCCCGGGGAAGACGTAACGTGGTGAACACTGGAACGTCCCTTTAGGAGGTAGGCTTCACGTCCACTTGAATCATTATCGACTGAGGGACCGGCGGCGGAGACAAGCCCTCGCCAGTCAGCTCTGGCAGGCGATCGATGAGCTTCTCAACAGCCACGAGGATTCCTTTCATCTCTCGCGAGAGGAAGATATCGGGGTGATGCCCTTGATGTGTACCTTATGATGAAAAAAACCTTTTTTTTTGGACTGGACAGCTAAGCACACCTCACACCACTACCAACTCCGTATGATAGGAAGCTCATTTGAAGGGATAATTGGGATGTTTTGCAAATAATAAAAGGGTACCGATCGTCGTCTCACAACTGTGTGGAAAGCGACCTGATAAAAGCAAGGCCACACGTGGCGGTTGATTATTGGAAGTATGAGATGTTTTTTAGCAGCTCGAAGCACGCAGCATCGTTTCAATTCCCCGAGGAAACAACCAATGTATACGAGAGGTTGAACGGATCAAGAAAGGTCAACAAAATTGTAGCCTGAATTACCAGACATGCATCCGGTAACATACTAAGATTTAAAATCTCACATACGTGAGGTTCCTCTGAAAAGCAATGAAGATGCATACCCCCCCCCCCCCCCCTCCTCACATCCTCTAATTGAGTCTACGCTTGGTGCGTTGTTTACCTGTACTTGTTGCCATATCGCTTCTTATGATATGTTCAGCTAATTCTAATTTTACAGTGTTAGAGAGCGAGAGAGAGAGAGAGAGAGGGAGAGATTATTTCCCAAGAAGAAGAGGAGAAGAGGATGTCGTTCCTAGCAGACAGTGAAGGACCAACCGACACGAGAGAAAAATAATGACATGTTTGAGTACTGCCCGCTTGCGAGGCTACTCTCCATAATGCCATGTGAAGATGACCAACTTGATGAGCCCGCCATCTCCTAACCCTCTTTCAGTCTCTATAAGGGAAGCATCTGAACCACCACCACCCTCATCAGGACTAAACAAATAAGAAGAGAGAGATGAATGAGGCAGCCGTCCTCGAGACTCCATATATAACGGGCCTTCGAGAGGGGAAAGGCCATCCATTCATCTCACTCTCCTCCCTCCGTAAGCTCCTCCCTATCCTCTCAGAGAGACGGTCTCCATGGGTCGCCTCTCCCTCTTGCCGTCTCTCGCTCTCTCTCTTCTCTTCGTACTGGGATCAGCAGAAGCCCAGCTCCGAATTGGCTTCTACTCCAAGTCATGCCCTCAAGCTGAGTCCATCATCACGGAGGAGATCGACAGAGCCATCAGGGTAGCCCCCTCCATTGGAGGCCCCCTCCTCAGGATCTTCTTCCACGACTGTTTCGTCAGAGTAAGTCTCACCACGTCAAACACACAATGACTCTCCTTCCGAGCAGAGCAAGAGAGAGAAAGAAGGAGAGAGAAACCCGGGCTCTAACGTGTGTCGGGCCCATCTGCTCTTGCAGGGATGCGACGCCTCCCTTCTACTCAACTCTACCAGCGCGAGTAACCCGACGGAGAAGGACGCTCGGCCGAACCAGTTCCTCAGGGGATTCGCTCTCATCGACAGGATCAAGGCGAGGCTGGAGAGGGCCTGCCCCTCCACCGTCTCCTGCGCCGATATCCTTGCTCTCATTGCGAGAGACGTCGTGCACGCGGTAGAGACACGAGGCCCCCTTCCTCTCTCCTCTGACGCCTGTTTTTGTTCCCCGTTCTCTCTAACTTTAACCATCCCCCGGGACTCCTCCGCCATTTCAGGATCAGGGCCCATTCTGGGAAGTCCCCACGGGGCGCAGGGACGGGTCGGTCTCCATCGACACCGAAGCCCTGCGACTGTTACCCGCCTTCAGCGCCAACATCTCTACCTTAAAGTCTCAGTTCGACGACGTCGGCCTGGACTCCAAGGACCTCGTCCTCCTCTCAGGTACTGAACCATTCTCCTCCTTTCACTGTCAATCAAAATCCAACTCCACACTTCCTTCCACCATTCACGGACTCATTTCGCAGGCGGACACACAATCGGAAACGCCCACTGCTTCACCTTCACGGGCCGCCTGTACAACTTCTCCGGGAGAGGTGATAATTCCGACACCGACCCATCGCTGGAGAGGAACTATCTGGCCAAGCTGAGGGCTAAGTGTGCCCAAGGAACCAGCGACGCCCTCAAGCTTGTGGAAATGGACCCGGGGAGCTTCACCACCTTCGACAACAGCTATTTCAAGCTGGTGGCCAAGCGCAGGGGGCTCTTCCAGTCTGACGCCGCTCTGCTCGACGACGCTGACACGAGGTCCCACGTCATCCGCCTCGCTGAGTCTGACAACTCGGTGTTCTTCAGGGAGTTCGCCGAGGCCATGGTGAACATGGGCAACATCGCCGTCCTCACCGGAAGCCAGGGGGAGATCAGGAAGAACTGTGCCCGCGTCAACTAGAGAGAGAGAGAAAAGAGGTCTGATCGTTCTCTCTGCGAGTTGCAGAGAGTAGGGTCAAATTTATCGTGAGGATGGAGGGTTTTGAAAACTCAATGAGAATAATGCCCCGGGGGATAACCGGGTTGTAGACGCGACCTCTGGCGGGTAGCTGCTTGCTTGCTTTCTTTCTTTCTCTCTCCAAGCTAGGCAATCGTTTGTTACCGAGTTGCATCAAGCTGTATCAGCGATAAATGGCCACGGTTTGATCTGGGTTTCATCATGTGATCGAGTCTGTCGGCCGTCGAAGTCTCTCTCTAGAAATAAGGACCAGAACCTTGCGTAAGAGCCCCCCATCTTGATGTGGATCTTTCCATCCACCTTTTTTCTTCCCGGCCACCGTATCCGTCTCGAAGCTGGACTTCCCAATTCGACAAGATCGACGGCGACGTTCGGCCGTCCTGAACATTTCTCTCTCTCTCTCTCTCTCTCTCTCTCTCTCTCTCTCTCTCTCTCTCTCTCTCTCTCTCTCTCTCTCTCTTCATTAACACACTTCGCGACATGGAGGAGAGAAGGAAGTAGCTTCACCGAAGGCTTCTCTTTTCTCTCGATATCTACCTATCTCCCAGATAAGAGTCGTCGTCTTACTGCAATGAGGAGAGGAACGGCGCTCTGGGTGGGGCGAGTTCGCTCAGAAGGTGCACTTCAGTGCGGTACGTAGAGAGGCTCATTTGGACACATTTTCCGCGTTGAGCTGTCACCGCTGCCGTCCTAGTTGTCGAGAGAGCGCGTGGCCAGCTCGAAGACGACAATGGCGGCCCCTCCCTTCTTGTTCGCTGTGGGACCGCCACGTGTATCTGGCCCAGCATTCGACCTTATTAGCCTGGATTTTACAGCGAAAGGGACCTCCTTGTCGGGATCAAAGCGGATCTAAAGATCGTCGCTGGATTTGGGCGAGCACGTGCGAATCTCGAGTTTTTTTAATTCTTTTCTTTTTTTTCTTTTTTTCCTGCTGGACTGGCCTGGGTAGAGAGAGACAGAGAGACAGAGAGAGTACGGAGAGGGAGAGAGAGGAAGGGGGAAGAGGGAGAGAGTACAGAGATACATGAGGTGGGAGGAAGGAGGGAGAGAGAATATACAGAGCGAGTGTCGGACGTGTTACGTTGGTGAAATGTTGAAGTTGGGTAAGATCGATCAATTAAAACATTTGTTTGCCGTGAATGGGACGAAATGATTCGATCGAGAGGCATGATGGAGATAGGGTTGGGAGAGAATGAGGCTCGGAGGATGACAGAGAGATGAAGGGTTCGAGAGAGAGATAGGATGACAGATAGAGAGAGAGAGAGAGAGAGGTTGCGCAACAGAAATGCAGGAAGTTGGATAAAATTGGTGAATCAGTGCGTCCCCTTGAAGGGGAATAGGACGAGCCTATCCCCTCGCGCTTGTTCGTCTCCCACTTGTTTTTCCAAAATATTCCCTCGAAGATAACGTCGGTGCATGAATCATCCAATGAGCGTGTGGCAATGTGAGCTTTATACTCTATTACTCAGTGCGACATCTCGGGGGGACGGTGGTTCGTTCTCAACACGCTCTCTCTCCCTCTCTCTCTCCCTCTCTCTTCTCGAAAATAAGTGGTGGGTTCGGCTACTTTGAACAAACTGCCGTCTAGTCAACGAGCAAAACCCTGAATCACCCTGTTTAGAATGGTGGCGCCGACGAACGGCGGTGGTTAAAACATGGGAAGAGAACCTTCCGACGTCCGAATGTCTGCATGCGTCATGGCGGCGGCGGTTGCCATATTTGGTGGTGGCGGCGGAGATGGCGGCCACCCTTCCACGTCCTCCATTAAGGGAACCAAACCTTTACCGGGCAAACACGACAGCCCCCCTTCATAACGGCCCTCCAAGGAGTTGGCGGCCGTCTGAGGGAAGAGGAGATGCCGGCGGCGCAGGGCTTCTGCGTGTTGCTCATCCTCTTGGGTCTTATCGTCTTCTTCCTCTGGCTTGTTCTCCGCCCCTTGGAGCCCACCTACACCGTTATCGAGTTCTCGGTGAACGGCGGCGCCGCCAATCCCAACGCAACGACGCTGCGGCTCCACACGGTCAACGAGGCGGCGTCTCATTACGTGGGGGAGCAGAGAGAGGCCGCCGCCGCCGTGACGAAGGTAAGGGAGCAGGTGTGGCTATGGCGGAGCGGTGGTTGTGGGGTTGACCTGGAGGCGGTGGCGATCGAAGGGGGCGTCGACGGACGGTACAAGAAGAAGGGGAAGTTGCACCGGGTTTACCGGAGATGGCGACTGCGCTTCTGAGTTCGGCGGCGGAGGGGCGGGAATAGCCGACGCCGTTAAAGCTGCTGACTTTGGGAAGAGGCTGCCCCGTGTCATGGAGTTCTTCCAGTGTCCGGGATCTTCTCCCTCTGGAGCATGTGAATCCTTAGTTCCTCATTTTCGTTGACTTCTTCTTTGTCTCTGGGTTTTATCGAATTTAGATGAGGGACTCTCTCTCTCTCTCTCTCTCTCTCTCTCTGTTCTATTTCATAAATATATTAATTTATATTTAGAAATACCAACACTCGACAATATTATTGCATTATAAATATTACGAAAAAAATTATGTTTACCTAACAATTTTTTTCCAAGGGATTAAAGAACAGCCCCATCAAGAACCCCTTTTTTTTTTTTTACTAGAAAGAGAATTAATTTACAGTGGTCGTCCACGATTATAAGCAAATACTAGCCTCGTCAATAAAATGGCTAAATTAATATTTAAAATAATATAAAATAACCTATTTCAATTATATTGCCAAACCCTAAATGGCATCCCCCCCCCCCCCCCTTCCCACACTTAAGAAATTACCCGTTGACATTTTTTAAAAAGAAAACTTCAATTTACTCGTGCAATTTTAACTCCCCCCTCACGACTATTAAAATCTGTGGATATTAAGATTAAGTAGAGTACATTGACCATTGGAAATAGGAAAAAATTCAACTATGCAGAAAACCCTAGTCTCAAAACAATGAATATTAAGATTAAATAGAGTAATGGAAAATAGGGGGAAAAATCAATTATGCAGCAAACCCTCGTCTCAAAATAATAAACGCCACTTAAAACTATTTTTACATAGAAAAATAAATATAAATACTAAACCTTAACCCCCCCCCCCCCTCCGGATCTTAAAAACAGGTGAGAGTTATTAGCCAAAGAAAGAATTTAAAATTCACTTTGTAGAAAATATTTATCCTCAATTTTCGTCTTCAACATGTGCACAGTTCATCAAGAACGAGCGGGGCCATGTGATCGGATCATATGAGCCCAAGAACCCCCAAATTCTACTTAATTACAAGAGGAAGGATAGAGACAATCGAAAGAAGAAACCTTGCAGTTAAAAGCCCATTTCTAAGGAAGCGACCACCAACATCAACCATGTTCTAACATAACAGGTTACAGGAGCTCCATAAATACACAAAAAATGGGGAAAAAAGAGGTGTAAGATAGTGAAGCAGCAGGTTCATATTCCTAAGAAAGGAAATTTTACAGGAACAAGGAGTGACCAATCATTCCTCCTCCAATCGCCGCAGAACAGACTCTGCAAAGATCTGCTGCCTGGCAGAAAAGAGGAAGCAGATGATCAGAAGAGAAAGAATGCACTCTTGAGAGTTTCTTCTGGACTGGAATCAGGAGATCTTGTTAGGATTACGACAAAGAACTGTTTAGCTGTGAATAAAGAAATTATCATCGTATATGCTTTTCCTAGGCAATAAAGAATGTGAATTTTTTTTACAAATCTAAGAATAAAGCTACTGACCGTTCTAGTTCAGCTCCAGTTTCACTGTTATGATAATAAAAATGATGCATTTCTATTTCATGACAACCACTTATTCATTTAGATTTCAAGGCAAACTGAAACTATAATTCCGTTCAAAGTATGAGAAAATCTAGAGGTTTCAAACATCAAGCATCAGCGGTTTAACAGCAGTTCAGGATCGGAATATGGAGATTATCATTTAGTTCATCACCAGGAAGGATCAAATTCCAAACCACGCAGCAAAAAGAGAGATCAGGAAAGGAAAGACACACGTAAAGGAGAATACATAGCAACTAACAGATGGGGCAGTGGAAAGCTCCTTACTTTCTTTCCGTATGCTTTGGGCTAGGGCGTGAGTACTTCAGATACCCATCCCAAGGCACCATCTTGAGTCCAGCTCGAACAGAAATTATCTCCCGCACTCTGCAGGAAAACCCACGATCGCCATACATAAATCCAACGCTTTCATCTATTCGATTGAGCTCTCCTAGCTTGGACAGCATGGGTTGTTGTGAAATAAACTATTTTACCTCTCGGCAAATTCTATAGGCGACTCCCCAGGTCTAAGAAACTGAGGTTCGAGGTACCAGACATCACAGACGACTGCCCAGGACGTCATAAGCTGTGCTAAATGCATGGTGAAGGACTGCCTGTCAGTTTACAACAGCCTGATCAGGTTCCAGCAGAAGCAGCTAACCCAGGCCACATAATATGAAACGAAATAGCATGAGAAGTGATAAATACCGCCATGAGGAGATGAACAGAAAAGAACATAAGAACTAAGAATAGCAATTGATATTTGAAGTTTATAGGCAGGAATGAAAATACTTTCATGAAGTAAGAAAGATGAGAGAAGAAGACACGGGGAATGACTTTGAAAGGGATCTCCCAAAAATTGCAGCAAAAATGTAGAGGAGGTACACCACAGGGGATATGGGTGAAGCCCTTCAGCCAGAAATATTTCTCAGAAGAAATGGGGATAACAAGTACAGTGGTTTCATTTGAAAAGAAGGGGCACTCCTGCGTAAAGCTTTCAGTATCTACGAGAAAACATTTGACGAAGGTGCTGTCAAAGCTGGTGTCAGAAGAAGGCTGGCTAGTTCGTAGGCAAGCTACAAGGTGAAACCCCACTCCAGATACCACTGACATAGGACAATTGGAAGTCTTTCAGCTCAAGAGAAAGGAGCGAATCTGCCATGAAGGTTTCTTACTTCCGACTGTTCCAAAAGGCGTCCACGAAAATTTTGTTGTATTTGATTGCCACCGGGCAAACAGCGCAGCCAAGTTCGAAGGCACCCTGAGAATTAAGATAACAGTCAGCTAATAGAAAATGGAAAAAAAATGTTTTTTTTTTAAAAAGGGCAGCACCTCTACTATACATGCTATTCAAGGTCTAAGGAATGAATAATTTGCCTAGACTCCGGGCACAAGCACAAGAAGAAGTGGATATCAATAGTTATTCCTATATATTGCACGAAAAAATAAAAGTTTATTCACCCAAAAACTCCAAAATGTGATGAATCTACTATATTTTCTTCATAATTTGCACCAGTTGCATCAGTAAGGAACCATTGTTGCAACTAGACACTTACACACCTCTCAGAAAGAAAGAAAAATACCAGATATCTGCACTAGGACCGCCAAATCTTAAAAGCGTCAGAAGACTAAGGTCTACGGTTTGCTATTTAAAATTATTTGGAGAACAAGAAGGCTTATTTCAGTTCTTTCCCCTCCTTTGTTCCTCCAGCAGAAGAACATCACAGACGTTAGAAACAGTGTGAATCTCCTATATTACGAATTATCAATATTGAGTAGTCAAAGCCTTTAACTTTTGGGCAAAAAAGACTTTAAAAAAATTCTGGGCGTGATTGGGCCTGTGTAATGGTACAAACTGAAGTATCCAAAGGTTCTAAGCATTCACGTTTGCAATCAAACAAAAGAGGATGGCCTTATGTGATAAATTTCCCAGCCACCTCAATCCCACCAGGCCAAATTCCTATTTGCCTCATCATACAAAACAAAAACAATGACAGATGGGCACTAAATTGTCATAGTTTGTTCCCCATTGGTAGCCCAAAGACCAGGGATAACATGATATAAAATAGCAGGCATCAAATGTCATCTCACTGTAAATAATAACAATCTTTCTCCTTCATCTTATGCTGCCTGAAGAGGAAACTGTTCCATCGTTGAACAGTTTATGCTGACAAATGTCTCCGACACAAAAATGGCCCGTCAACAGACGAATAACGAATTTGAAATAAAGAGCATGTATACCTTCTTGAACATGACTGTATAATGGTTGTTTACACAGGTTCCTTCTGGAAATATAAGAAGAGGGTTGTTATCAGCTCCATGGACGTGTCCTCTTATCCTTAAAAGGAAAAGGATTAAAAAAAAAATTAGATATAGAGAAGTTTGCTTGCAGTTTTTAACAGAGAAACTGAACCTACTTTCTTGTTACAATCTCACGATCTTTTGCTTCTGTCCGGTTAAACCATATACACCCTACACTTTCCAGGATAGTCTTCTGAATGAACCCTACACCACAAGTACAGTCACTAACACTGATTGTGAAGAATATAGAATCAAATGCAACGAAAACTTTCGTGTAAACAATTTAGAGATAAAACCCTACCAACCCATCCAGGATGCTTTTGCATTATGACAGCAAATGCAGTCATCTGCTCCAGAATAATGAAATCAATCATAGAAGTGTGGTTGGCAACAAAAACCTACAAAAATGAAAAAAACTAATAATTACTATTGAAATTTGTATTAGTATACGAATCAAGTACAAAACCGTTGGAAAAATGAAGGGGATGGACATTTTCTGAACCTGCTGTGGGCGCATGCTAGGGCGAGGCCCATGATATTTGACTACACCAGTCCATGAAGCGACAAATACACTGCACATCATCTCCACCAATTTCCTCTGAAGAAGATAAAACCTTAGAAAATAGATTCTGTAATCGTGCGAAAAATTCTGAAATTTTTCTGGATGATCTCCACTGTATCAGTAGGGTGATTAGCATTGGAATTTTTTTGATAAACAATTCAAAAGGACTGAAGAAGTTAGACCAAGAGGTGAGGAGATGAACCACGGAGCTTTTTACATTTAAAAGACACATAAAAATCAAAAGAATTAGAATGAAATTACAACACATCTAATTGAGAATGTGTGGGGTTAAATAATGACAAAGTCAAGGAGCAGGGGAAAAAAGTTTTTCCGGGATTTTAAATTTAGTTTTCGCCAAGGGATTAAAAAGAAATTGGATTGTAAACATAAATTTCGCCAAACAAAAAAACCGATGAAAATTCAGACAAATGATAGTGCCCAGTGTTCAATAACTGTCTTCGTAATCTATGAGTTAACAAGTGACAGGTAAGAATCCTCATTATTTCAGACAAAAGAATTGAAAAAAAAGATTTGAATGTTTTCAATGGAACAAGTTTGAAAATGGCAGAATTAAAATGTTTAAATGGCTTACCTCAATTTTTCTTTTGAACTTGTTATCCCCACTCATTAAGAAATGCACTGGAAGAAAAGCGGAGAAAAATGCTATCCATCCTACTGCAAGGATTGCAACCCTAGACAATTGAGAGAAATAATTTTATAAACGGAAACTAAGACACTGATGAAGTAATTTGAACCAAGACATGCCACAAAAGATCCTCCCAAAAGTAGAATGTGAATGACAAATGTATACATAATACATCTCTAAACAAAGATAGCAGAACAGGTGCCCGTTCGAGCCTCCATACAGACATCACTCTATTAAGGAGATTTGATTTTTAAGTACAAATCAAAATCCATTATTCAGTACAGAAAAGGAGGGATATATATATATATATGAGCCCCATAAAATTCCAACAACCCCCGTAATAACAGCAACTTGCCACATCAAGTTGGCATACTCTAAGTAATCAAAAATGATATATTTACGTCCTTTATGAGGAGAGTTGATGATGTAGCCATGACACAGTATCTAGTTGGTTGAAGAAATGCCTCTAGCACAATTAATGAAGAGAGGAAAAATTGCCAACATTGGAGATTACTAGAAAATCATAAAACGTAGGTAACCAACCAATCCCCAGATAGTGATAAGACATTGTGGAACAACAATGAGTAGTATGGAGCAAAGATGCAAATCCTGCACATCTGATTCAGATTTCAGCCATGGCCTTTCAGCTGATGAAACGGAAGTTCACTTTCTAAATCGTAGGGGGTGTTCAAGAACCAAGTTCAAGACAGTCCATCTGTTACAATAATAAAATAGGCATGTACCGGATTTTGATAAATTTTTATCTAAAACAAAACTTTTTAATCGAGAAAATTGATTTTCAATGGTCAAAAGACAGCGGTTATATTTCCGTCCTTATTCATTAGGTCCCCTCTCCCATCCACGACTAGAAATATGAACAATATGAACAAGTGCCAGTGCAACAAGCTGCTAAGCACTACGTAAACATGTCTTAAATACTTTTGATTGAGCACTTTAGAACGTCAGAAAAGGAAAATTAGAGTAAAATGCACTAATCTGGACAGGCAGGCATGAGTGAAACTTGAAGAGACGATATGACTCAATATGGGGCTCTAACCTTGTGGAAAATATACACAATAGTAAATGCAAGTTAACAAAAAGAAAATTACAATCACATAACAGAAGAAAGTTATTTCACCTGACAGGGAAGAGAATACCATATCTTACAACAACGCCCAAACACCATAACGGAAATAAGTACACGTTCCAGTTCCAAGGCTCTGGGGGATTCGACTTGAAGCATCGAGTGAACGAATCCTATTGATATGAAAAAAAGGTCAAGCATGAGAGGCAGAAAGGTAAAACTGATCACAATCTCAAAGACTAGGCAATGTCCAGCTGCCTGGAATACGGAGAATAACACTAGGAGCAATGCATAATAATTACAAAAAACAAAGGTATTTCAAAGATGAGATAGGTTCCAAAGATCTGCCCATCTGAGAAATCATTAGGAAACTTCAGCATGTAACTGATGAAAAGTATCCTATAAGCAACAAAAAGAAAGTAGGACCAGGAAAATATTATGATACTCCAGCCTTCTTGGGAAACTTTTGCTACCTCATTTATAACTTTGCACGTCTCCTTCCAAGGGAAAAAAACTTCCCAAAAAATATGGCTAATATCTAGATAACGGGATTTAAATGCAATCTTTGTCATTTAATCTATTGGATACATGCATAAGGCTACATGATGATCCAGAGACTGCCTCTCCAATTGATAACTCATACCCTTTGACAAGCAGAAAAGTAAGACCCAGTCAAAATTGTCAATTTTTTTCTCACATTGCAAGCTGGATCGTTTCATGGATTTTATTTCTGAACCAGTTGATATAATATCATTCGCTGACACATTTCCCCCAAATTTCATCTCACGAAGAATTTTCAGAAGATGCCAAATCGCTGGCTAACCTAAAAACTCTGAAACACAACAGAGGATCAAAGGATCACAAAGACAAACCTTTGACGAGTGCTTTGGTAAAAGAGTCTACGAATCTAGTGTTTCCCCTCAAAGAAAAGCCCACGAAAATCAAGGCTATCCACATAAGCATAGCATTCTTCACCGAAAGTGCCCCTTGAGAAATTTCCATCCCACGAATAGGAAAATATTTTCGACTCTCATGCTATAGATGCCTGACTAACTACTCCGCGTTCAGGGGACTGCCCATCAGCCTGCATGGCACCCAATCATAAAATCAAATCAAATAACTCACAAATACATGTCACACTGTCAAAAGAGATTCCGAATAGTGAGCAGCACTTGACTGAACTTCATCATCCTCTAACATCAGCATTCCACTTGACGTCAACGGGGGGAAAATCAAAAAGGGCACGAGACTTGGGGGCAGGGACGGCAACTCACGTCGATAATGGCACCGGCAGCTTCGGTCAACGCGGGAGAGATGTCGAGCAAATCGCGCCTGTCGGCCCAACCGCGGTTTCATCGGAAAACGAACAGGACCCAATTGTGAACACATCAGGAAGAATCAAAAGAAGAATTCGGGAGATGGGAGGGATGAACCCAGGCGACGCACAGGTGGAGCTTCCCGTTGGGCTCCTGGATGGACTCCCGCGGCAGGTAATCCTCGATGTTGGGGCGGTCCGGGTCGATCTCCGCGGTGGGCGATCCCAGTTCCTCCATGGCCGACCAGGAGAGGAGCAGCACTACTACTTCTTCCGGCACGGCCGATCGACGACGACAAATTAATTTTCCAAGGGTTGAAGACGACGACCGGCCAGCTTCCCCTAGCCTTGTCGGGCATCCAACACGTGGTTCGTGGATCACCGTCCATCTTCTGATCCTTAATGAAATTGGACGGTCAGAAAGCCACTTCTGCTCCCCAAGGATGAGCCTCACGCCCATGATGGGCTGGCCTGGGCCTCTTGGTCCGGTTGGCCTGTATGAATGATATTGGGCTCGGGAGAAAAGATGGTAAATGGGCTGGGATCCAAGAAACTGCCACTGAGCCCAGTTAACTGGCTTCCTCTCTCTCTCTCTCTCTCTCTCTCTCTCTCTCTCTCTCTCTCTCTCTCTCTCTCTATCTCTATCTATCTATCTATATATATATGATCAGAATTCGGCACCCTCCTTCCCCACAAGGAGAGAGAGAGAGTGAGTGAGAGAAGGGATCGAGAAGGGGAAATCTCTCTCTCTCTAGTGGGTGCCACAAGGAGAGAGAGAGATAACAGGACAGACGTCGCAATGCATCTCAAGAGCCTATTTTCTGGATGAGTCGGAAAGACGAGATCGCACGCACTCTTACATTACTGCTAGACCAGCCAATCAAGAGGATCGCCAAGACTATGATTTCTAATCGCCAGAGTGTGTGAGAGAGAGAGAGAGAGGGAGAGAACCAGTAGAGAGAAACCCTCGGCGGCGGCTTCCACCCTCCCTCACCTCGCCGAAGATGACGACGACCTCGCACTCATCGAGGAGTGGTAATTGGAGCTCCGCTGCTTCCTGTATGAGGAGTACACATCGTCGTACTGGCTCACCTCGTTCGGATCGGCGGCGGCGGCGCCCAGCCCCAGCCTGCCGGAGCCCCCACCACCACTGCCACCCCCGGTCTTCCGCTCCATGCCGCCCTCAGTGTCCACCTGCAGAGCCGCCGGCGGTGGGATGCAGGCGCCGCCCATGCGCGGCGGCGGCTCCCAGTCGTAGTCACCGCCTTCCGCTGCTGCCGCCACCCGCATCGGCCCCTCGGAGGGGTTCTCCTCGCCGATTTCCTTGAAGAATTTAGAGACCCGCTCCAGCAGCTCCGAGGGGGAGGCGGTGGAGGGAGGGATCACGGTGGGGATGTCCAGCGGGCTGATTGGCGAGTAGGGAACGCCGCTGCCCACTTGCATCTTCTTCACCATGCCCGGGATCAGCCCCGGTGGGAACAGTGGGTACGGTGGCGGCACTGCCACTGCAGCCGCCTTCTCCAACCCCGCTGCCGCCACCTGCGGCAGAGCCTGGGCCGCCGGGAAGGACGATACGGCGGCAACGGAGGTGAGGAGCAGCTGCTGGGATGGCGCCGCCGCCGCGAATTGGGAGGCCAGCGAGGGTGGCGGAGCGGCAGGAAGGAGGAGCTGCTTCTTCTGCAGCTCTTCGGAGGAGGGGCCCCTCAGCTGCTCTGCCGGCGCCCACTGGGAGTGGAACTGCGGCGCCTGGTGTGGCAAACCTGTGCGCACCCCCAAAGCAAAGTTCGCATAAAAATCAATTCTTTTTAACCGCCCAGGCAAAACCCAGAAACATAAATCTGCATAAAAATCAAATCTTTTTTGCCACCCAGGACAACCCAGAAACATACCGCCGGCGGCAGCGGAGGGATCTTGCAGGGCGGCGGAGGGGAGTTCAGGCAGGCCACCAGGGTGGTAGGAGCCCTGGGTCATCTCATCCTCGAGGGCGTGGATGGTCTCCTGATCGAAGACCTCCTTAGAAGCCCAGAACTGGACGATCTTCTCCAGCCGGGACTGGTTCGACTCACGGTTCTGAGGGTTGCCGTAGATCCTCGACAGCATCGGCCCCAGCACGGGCTTGAAGGCCAGCGCCACATTGTCCAGCTCCTGCTGCACGTGCCGCCGCTGCAGGCTGCACACCATAGTTGAGAGCAAAGGGCAAGGAGATAATTACTATTTTAGGAAAAAGCCCAAGAACAAACCGCGCCCTAAACCCTATTGAGAGCACAGGGAAAAAGAAACAGAGAGAGAGAGAGAGAGAGAAACATGTCCTTCAGTCGTCGATCAAGTACTCCCTAGATAAAAATAAAATAAAGTAGACTAGTTTCTTGAAAAGAGATGAAACATGGGCAGCCAAATCTGACTGTGTTCTATTCTTGGTCAGTGTAGAAGCCCCAAAAAAAATTCTAACCCAGAGTGGAACCTCAATCAAGACTGCCATATCATATACTTGTCAGCACAGCAGATGAGGCCCACTGGGGAGGGAGGTCAACGATGACCCACTTCCGAATAGCCACCCATTCCTGCACAGCCTCAGAGCTCGATCCCTTGATTCATAGGAACAGGTGAGATGGCCATGCGGACGAACTGAGAGAGTCCATGCCAATCAAGATCCTGTTTTCAAAGTATGCTATTTAAAAATCTGACCGATGCTACGAGTGAAACCCTTGAAGACCCACAGTTCCTACCCCCCATTTTCTGCTCAGAAAAACCATCAAAACGGTGTTCCTGGAAGTCACACTTCCAATCTTCCCTCATTCATTTTCTGTCAGAATCCTTCATCACGACGAAAAATATGAGCGAGAGAAAAAGTCTGCAGGTTTAGTGACCTACGGAAAGCGGAAATCACAGAGAATTCAATACCTTTCCGTCGAAAAAGATTGATGAAGGATGGGTGAGCTGCAAAATGAGTGAACTTCTGGTTACAGGAAGACAGCTGCAAATGAGTGGCCAGTCTCAATGGGTGTTCTTCCAGCTACGAGGATGGGAGTCTCTACGGCCGATTTAGAAGGGGTAAAGCATTTCCCAAACCAAAGCTGGGAAAGGCCACCGTAGCTGTGATAGACTGGGCAAAAGGTGGAACCAACTAGGATGGAATGATCAAGCGATAAACAGATAAAAAGTATGGATTAGATGGCACGTTTCTGCAAGATCATTAGAAAAGGATGCAGAATCCATCTGATGGCAGCTTTCTTGGATTGCGGGTCGACGAAAGAAAGGAACAGAAAAAAAAATCAGGGGAGTTTAATGGATGCCGCACCTGTCAAAGAGGATGTCATTGGCCAGGAAAATGATATGCATCTGCCGCTCTGAATCATCCAACAAGAACATCCTCTCTCTCAGAGCTTCAGCCAGAGCAGGAGCGAAAGGAGACCTCTGCATGAACCACATCTTCGCACCTTTGATGGATTCTTTCGTTCCGGTGAGACTGTGAAGGACGCTACTGAGCTCGGCCGCCACATCTGAAGGGAGCGGCCCGGAGAGCCCTTTGAAGGAGGACTTGGGATGATCGTAACCCAGGGAAGGATGGGAATGGGGCGGCTGCGGCTGCTGATCGTGGTAAGGTGGGAACTGCTGGTGGAGATGGGGGCCACCGCCGCCGGCGGAGGGAGGAGGGTTCAGCAGCTGGGGAGGCACCACACCCATGGAGGAGGAGAAGGGAGAATTGAAAGGCGATCCAGGAGGGCCTCCTCTGGTGGACAGCCATAGCTTGTAGCGGTAGTAGCCGTGCCCCTCGCCGCCGAAGAGGAAGGCATAGATGGGGTTGTTGTGCTGCTTCTCCCGGATCATGACCTCGAAATCCGGGCCGTTCTTAGAGACGTACTCCACGAGCTTGTCGATGCACTTGTGGAGCTCTGGATCGGAGGGCGGAGGGGCCACCGGCGGAGGCGCCGAATCGAATTGGTAGGGGAAGGATCCGGAAGGGGCCATGAGATGGGGAGGAAGGTGGGAGGAGAAGGCCGAGGGGAGAGGCTGCTGCTGCATGTGCATGAGAGAAGGATGGTGCTGGTGGAGATGGAGGGGGCCTAGCTGCTGCTGCTGCTGCGGGAGAGGTGGGAGGTGGCGGTGGAAGGGAAACTGGTGCTGTTGCAGAGAAGGATGATGAGCAGGGTTCATGAAAGGGGGGCTCCCGTGGGGAAGCTGCTGCGGTGGCGGAGGAAACTGCTGCTGGTGGTAGCCGTACGGCGGCGGCTGCTGTTGCTGCTGCTGCTGCGCGTGGGCCATCGCCGCCGCGTACTCGTGGGCGGCCTGCCGGTCCATTCTCCGGTGGAGAGATCCGCCCGCTGGAGATTCCCAGGGGGGACTGCCTCGAGAAGGGCCTCGAAAAAACCCTAGATAAGCGAAAGCTCACTAGTTACGCTGCGCCGGGGAGGAGGACGAAGAAGAAGAAATTATCGATAAAACCCTTACTTTCTCATTATATAGACAGAAAACCTCTTCCATGCACGCAGGTTTCTGATCTTTTTACGCTACGAAGGCCGCCGCCTATTTACCGTCAATGACCATCTCGTGTTAATGGGCCGGGCTGCACTTGGTCGGCCCATTTTTCTACATACACGCCCACAATTTGGCACAAAGTTTCATTGACCTTATACATTCTCTCTCCTCTCTCTCCCGCCCTCCCTCCACGCTATTACCGCTAACCCTCATGACTTAAGAAGTCATAAGTGAACGGGCCGGGCCTAGATGGAAGAGCCGGGCTTCCGGGCGGGGCCCGACATGGAGAACTTTCATATAATAAATCATCAAAGCCTCCAAAGATTAGCTGACCTGAGAACACGAAGGGTCTGGTTAGTACAGGGGATGTTAACGGCTGAGGGTCAGGGGTTTGCTGCTGGAGTCTGGGAGGAGAACATCAAGGCCGTTGGATCAAAGGTTATTGGCTTAATCTCAGCCGTACAGATCATTTGCTCCTGCAGATGGATAAATTCAACCATGGCTCACAGATCCCATCAGCCCCATCACCGTCATAATTATAAGCTTACTGAGGTTTAATTTAAGGATTTTTTTATTAAATAAATTAGATTTGAGCAGCTGATCGCGATCAGGTAAATCTTCAGCTGAGCTAAGCACAGAATGTAGAACACAAGATTCCTTGAGAGAGAGAGAGAGATGATTTATCAAGAACATCACCTTCTAGAAGCAAGATAGATGCCAGAAATGATGGCCGCCCCAGTGGCCGCAAAACCCAGAGAAGCCAAGATCTTCACTGTTGTGGTGTGGGGATTTCTCTTAGGAACTTCTAGGAGATGATTAATCTGAGAAAACAAATATATCAATCAGGAGATGATGAACAATTCATTGATATTTTCTCAGTAGCATATTACTCAACTCATAATTGGCCCAAAGTAAGATTGCTCACATATTATTATTATTATTATTATTATTATTATTATTATTATTATTATTATTATTATTATTATTATTATTATCATCATCATCATCATCATCATCATCATCCTCGTTTCCCAGATTAGGAAACAATCAGGTGGTATGGTTAGTGGAGCTTTCAAATCTTTAGCGATGGAATCAGAAAGGAAGTTGGGTTGGACAGCATGGTAGCAATTACTATAGATTTTTATTTTTATTTTTTTTTTTCTTTCAGATTATCCCAATCATATCATATTCACAAAGGGGAAAGCAAGGAAATTAAGGAAATTAAGGAAATACAATTCATATAATTTTATTAAATAAGAAATTATGAATTCATAAATTAAGGAAATAAATAATCCAAGGAGTCAACAAGGCATGAGATGAATAAGAAATAAAAAAAAGGAAATTAAGGACTCACCATCATTAATTTATTATTTAAATAATGAATTCAGAGAAGGCAGAATATTATACGCGCACAAAGATTCATAATCTGCAGAGGGTAACTAATAAATAAACTGAAAAGGGATGAATGGTGGTGAGATCAATGTCTGAACTGTCCGCCATGTCATTAGGGAGACACATTGGTCTAAGATCTCTCTCATACCAAATCTCATGAACCACTAAAAAAAAAAAAAAATCCACTTAAATCATAACTGAAGGTCACATAATATCTCAATTCAAAGACCAGTGGTTAAAATGTTTAGGTTAATTCTAACCTTGCAGGGACAAATGTTTGAATGTTTATTTTTTTAATAAAAGTTTTTAAATGGCATAAATATATATATATATATGAAGATACAATCAATTGAAGAAAATCACCTCAACTAAATCAAAGAAAAAAAAAAGGGGGGGGGGGATTCCCTCTGACGACAATTCAGGGCAGAGGATACAGTCGTATTAACCATTTGAAAAAAAATATGTCATGATATGAACATTAACCACATAATTTATTTCTGAATTGGAAACAAGAAAATACCAGCTAACCTGTAATGGCTGCTTCCAATGCTTCTTGATTCCTGCGAGATGACCTCTGCCGACGACTGCAACTACTGAAGAATGCTCACTGGCCACTTTAAGTAATTTCGAAGACATGTACCTGAAAATAATTTCGAACCCGTTTATAGGAGATTGTAGAACAGATATCGATGCTGCATGTATTCGGAAAAAATGCAGAGGCAACATACATGTGAGTACAGTTAATAGGAAGTATAAGAGCCACACACAGAATTTTTTGGTATTTCAGTAGAACCTCATAAATTAACTGATTTCTAGAAATAAATATGGTTTTAGGAGTAAAAAGGTACAGAACCTAAAATAGTAATGCAATTATCAGATATATTGACCTGGAAATTTCGAACAGATACTAACGATGGAGAGAAGTAATCTTATTTACTATGGGACTGAATGAGCCCCGGGGGATGAAGCTTTAGTCATTGATAGGACTAGATAAAACCCAAGATGAGCTTCTATAATTGTTATTAATCACTTAGCTGATCAATCAGTCAGACTGTAAGTCAACTGTCCGATTAATCAGATGGTAAAGGGGTTTTATAAACCGTATATAATTTTTAGAGTAGCTTTTATTCATTACAACACATTTTCTGTTTGGCAAAGATGCCACACAGAATTTGACCACTTTCAGAGATGAATGTGGAATTATTTTTACTATGTCACCAGAGCAGGGTGGATGAGTAATACAGGAAATACCAAGTTGTAAAATTAACATATTAAAGGGCCAACGGGTAGATGAATATTTTCAGAAAAATGAAAAAATATGAGAAAATTATAGCATGTAAGAGCATTTATATGCATATTCACTACTAGTGGGATCTCATTTCATTTATTTCATAAACTAAGCCACCGCCAACAACAGCAGCAACCGGAGAACAGTCACCACCAGTTAGATCTAGCAGGAAGCAGTGGAGGTATCACCAACAGCTATGCAGCAAGTCTAGGCACAGCAGCATTCAAAATAGATTATCCCTCATTGAATATTGATCTCAACGCCTCAATTTTTTTCTTTCGCGTTTTTTTTGTTTTCTTTAATATTTAAAATGGATTATCTGGAAGGTATGAAGTTGGCAGAGGAGGAATATGTAAACACAAAAATAGTAGCGGATGAGGCATCATCCATATTAGATATTTCACTCTATAATGATTAAGGAAACAGCTCTGAAAATTGGGTACCAAAGTTGGGGGGCAGGTTGGATGTTATTCGTAAAAAAGATACAACAGTAGCAGTGGAACTTAGGTTATTATTTAGAGTAACATCAATAAAACTTCAAAGGTACGGAAGGATATTTTCCACAAGACTTGAACTGGATCAAATATTTGAACAGGGAATGAGCAAAAACTATTTTCCAGAAGAACCATTGGTGTTGAAGCCCTGAGATAGTTGGGTGAAATTGGAGGGGACTAAAAGAGCGAAATTCTCAGTTTTTCAGTGAATCACATTTTTTAAAAGGAGGTGCTACATCAGAGTTGAAAACCCTCCTCTTTTTTGAAAGTAAATGTACAGATGTGAAGAACCTCACCAAGGATTACACAGTTTTGGCTTGTTTTGCGTGCAATTGACTGAGCCATCTGGGCAAAGAGAATCATAATCGCTTTTACAAGGGCAAGTTCCACATCATCCAAGGTTTTAACTTGAGAGATGTAGTGGGTAAGATTGAGGATTGAAATAGAAAATTCCATTTTTCGGAGTGGTCATATTCTAAGTTTTGATAACATTTCGCCAGAGGACACTGATGAGACAAAGGAGCCTTTGTGAGACCTCGTGGATCACACTTTTGCACATATTCCCTTTCATTTAATGAGTTCGCGTTTCTAACCATGTTCATACCAAACACGAAGTATTTTTGAAGTTCTATCCAGAGTTTGAATGAATATCTGAATTAATGTCATGAGCTAATATCATATATGTTGAACAACGTTACCCTTAAATGTATGAATAACTGTAGCAGCATCATAATCTACCAAATATAAACTTGAGGGAAAAACATCAAAATAAACTTTTCATTTCAACATTAAACGGAATTCAGCATGGAAAAGTCAAGCTATTTAACCAACTGAAACGCGAGTACTAGCCCCAGAAAAAAAAAACTCCCAGGTATATATACAAAATGACATTGAACTTGATAAACTGATACTTACATGTCCCGTTCTATTAGTAGAGTCTCGATTAAAGTAGGAAATGCTTTGCTCATCTCTTGAATCAGAAGTGTTAGCATGTCGCCATCATCCAAATCCTTCAACTGAAAATATGTAAAGCCATGGTCCATCATCATCCGAAAAGTAGGAAATACTTTGCTCACACTCACGATCCATATTAAACACAAACAGAAACTTTTTAGGAAAAAATAGACGTCACTATAACAAGCCACAAACACAAAAATCATGTTGATCAAAAGAACACAATAATGAGAAATGGAAAATAAAGGGTATAGCAGCTTAAATTAGTGTAATAATGATTTCCCCAAAAACTTTTAACCGCTCAAAAATCTTACTATTTGCCCCATTTTCCCCATAAATTTTATTTGGAAAGCGTAACAAGCCACTATTGCATCACTTAGAAATAAATTATCAACAAGTAGGGTATGGTCCTTTGAACCGAAAATTCCATTTCACATGCCCAACAAAACATGTAAACCGTGCCAACATTCAGCCAGAGGCTAAGCCTAAGTAAAAATAAAAACTATGCTTTTAAAAAGACAAATCCTTTTTTTTAATCTTATGACAAGCATAAGCCTTCTGAAACTTTCTCCTAATGGCAACAAGGCCCCCGTCATATCCAAACTCCCTTACTTCAAAGATAATACTAATGGCAGATGCCACCAACAATGAATTTTACACAGTTTTCCACCCAATGAATCTCAACTCTGTATAAAGACTTTCTTCTTATTCAAATGAATCGCTCCCACTAAACTTTTTAGCACCTTGCTGTGCAAGTTTTCAGTCCTCTGGTTTTTCATCTCATTTATTTTAACATTATATGGGGTTTCCTAGTCATATCTATGTCAAATAGAGCATAAAAGATCGAAAAATCTTGGAATAAATTTTCCTCTCAAACTCATGTATATCTTTTGATTGAAAAATTAATACGATTTTTTGGGTTATTCTACTCTTTTTTTTTTCCATTGCTTGTAAACTGGGAAAGTGAATCAGACGCCGCAGGACCAAAGCTATGTTACGCTTTGTCCTATATGACACTTTTTGGACCAAGGCAGGAGCCAGGGAGAAATTCCAACCACTATGACTATTCGTTCCAACCATCTTTGAATTGTCTTTGTGAAATATGAAGACTAGTAGCACAAAATGCTCTGTGTAGAGGAGTCAATGGCCTGGGCCTGGTGGGGTCTAGTTTGGAGCTCTTAGAAGCACGGTCTAGCTGTCCAACCTAAGACTATAACTTTTTCTGAGGGCAGTTCTACGAAATGCCGTCAAAAGATCAAAATAACATCCACAGAATATTGTTGATAAAACACAGCCTTCAAAAGAGAGAGCCTCTTGAGAATAAAGATCAACAAAAAATTGAAGGTCGTAAAAGGATAGGAAATAGCATAAAATGAAAATCTCCTAAAGTAGATTAATAAACTACTCACCAATTTATTGAGGTCTTCAGAACTTGGTAAAAATATAGATTGAAAGATCATATAGGACAGAAACTTTGCTTTATGCCAGAGCGACATTCTTCCCCATGTCCTCCGTAATGTAATCTATTACAGAAATATGTTAAACAAAACCTTATCAGTTGGAAAGCTCGTGAGAAAATATGTTGAGTTGTCACCGTAGAAAATTATTAAAAAAATAAATGTTTCTGCATGTCAGATGTTGTACGTAAAGCCTTCTGCCAATCATCCATTGGTAAAATTGCACAGTAAGCTCCAAGCAATATAAAGAAATGAAAGACGAAAAAATATTTAGATTATGTCCCACGATAAATAAGAAAATAAAGATTATGACAAAGATACACCATAAGAGTGCAGAAAAGTGACTAAAACAATTCTTCCTTCAATACAAACAAACTACCCACTGTGACATGAATTTATCTATTATTATTTATTATTACTCGTGGAACATCTTTCAAAACGTTTTGCCTTTATATTATTTGGGAGACGAAGTGGAACAGTGGCCTTTACGGTTTGAAACCCTCTGTTGTATACAGTGAATGATCATTAGTTCTCATAACAAAGGAACACATGCGATTAACTGGTGTGAAGAAGATGCCACGAATAAAATATGACTTTCTGTTTTCATACAATGATTATGGTTAATTACTAACTATTTATTTAGGGGAAAAAATGACACCCCATGTTAGATCATGTTCAAGCAGACGTCCTCACAATTTTCCAGACACTTAAGGTGCTTGTTGGCACATCTAGCTGTGAATGGCTGAATGTTGTTTCTATTCGTCCAAACAAGAAGTTATTCACAATGTTCTATCAAGTTTTTCTCTCTCTCAGAGATTTTCATTTCTGCAGCTTTTACCTCGTTTCAATGTGTTACCCTACCATTCCACTGCGATGGCTTGCTCAGTCATCTGCCTATCGCACTAGGACTAGAAAAATAAACAAAAATTAGGGCAGGCAACCAGATGATTCTCCTCTTGGACTTTCATAATGAATATGACCCACTAACATTTAGGTGTTCGAGTTACCGAATCGTCATTCCATTTGATTCCATCTAAACCCTAGACATCAATCTGCTCTTGCAGTCCTTTTGAGTAAAAATATCTACCCATGTGATGCTGGTGTCATCCACTGCCTTCAAGAGAAAACAAATCGTTCATTCAGAGTAGATATCCCCATGATTTTTCAGGTATCACCTATGTGAACTGGCAGCCTAGATGCCTTGCAAGCGGCCCAAGAAGTCACTTACTTGGACCATTCGGGCATCTCCTTCAACCATCTAGGTAGCTTGGGAAGTGGCAAGAGGTGTTAAGGTTTCAGGAAAACTCAAAAACCCTCATACGGTTGACGTCTCTTTACATACCACGCAACCCATAGACAATCACAAAATACATTAACGTCTTAAGAAACAATAATCTGTCACAGTTTCGACAGTTATGGAGGGAGATCAAACGATCATTTACCAGTACTCGTCAGACAGATCAGTGTCCATGTCTGTCGCATGTCTAAAAAGAATCCAAATGGAGTTCACAATGTCAGAGAGACAGTTATATAATGCAGCATCTCCTTACTTGCTTTTATCACCATGAAAATTGAGAAATTGCACACAACATTAGCCTTTACAAAGCAAACTCTTTTATAAGATTTTATAAAGAAAATCTTGGATTTCTGGCAACATAACTCCTTAATAGAAAGAGTGGTCATTATCTATAATAAGGAATGTAAGATATGAAGAATAGTTCTCTGTGTCCGGAGCATTTTAGAATAGTCTTTACCATCTTTGTGTAGATCTTGAAGATGCTTGATGAGCAGGTTTTCATTGCACGTTAGAAATCCACCCATACATTTCATTTTGTTCGTATTTAACACAAATAAAAAAAATTGAAAACTGAAAAGACATGCAAGCAGTTAATAGGCGTATGTACATTTGTCTATGTATGGACGAGTGTATTCAACATAGAAGTCTTCTATAACACAAGATACGCATGGGTCACATTACAGAGTACTACGAAAAAAGGCAGGAATAAACAAAAGAAATCTTACCTGGACAGGGCGATCACCCAGTATAACCTTGGCCCCAAAGTTTCTTGCCTCTTCGAAGGCAACTCGAAATTCAGCTCCAGGGAACACTTCAAGTTTACTAGCAACCTATAGAAATGAAATAACATGATTATGTCACGAATATTTAATAGAAAAAGAGCCATACTAACATTCCACAAAGACGAAAACCATCCTAGTATCTCATTTTGAATGTGAAGACTCACATCTTCCTCATTTTTAAGTCCTGAATTAGCGTTTTGATCAAATAAGAAACAAGATCACACACGATGGCAAATGAAACAGAAGTCCAATTACTTTTATAAAAAAAAAAACGCAATCATACCTTAGCAAGAAAAAAGCTGTACAGGATTCCAAATATATTAGAATCTCTTTTCTTCCACATGTCTATCATTTCGTTCATTGTTGGTACCTGTGAAGGAACAAAGCCGTCAGAAATATACAAAAGGAATCTGGCATCTGATGTTCACATTAAGATAAATGAAAATTATGCATAACTACACCATTCTAAAAGTTGTAATTTGAAAAACGATGCAAATATTAGGAACTATTCTTTTTACTTTTCCTCTTTAGATTGGAGGAGAGGGCCCAAGAATTATCAAACTTTTAGGACACGAATCTACAAGCTCGAGGTACTCTTCCAGCCTTGAAGATATAGTAGTGGTACAGTCCCAATCAAAAAAATTTCGAACCTAATAACAAAGTTCCCAACATGCAAAAGCCGACACACAATGACACAGATTATCACGACTGAAGGAATTATCCAGAAGGAATCATTTGCCAGAGAAAATGAGAAAGATTGTCAGGATTCAAAATACAAATAACTTACATATACCTTTAGGTTTTGGGGAGTCAGTATAGCCACACGGCTAGCACACAATTCTAGAAAGACAACCTACAGTCAACAAAACAAGGATCACTTTCAGATGACGATACAAATATACAAAATTCGAAAAAAAATTTGGATAAACATGTAATTCAATTGGCAAACCTGCCACATGAAAGATCAATCAAGCAAGGGTATCATGAATTTCAAAATCAAAAGACCTGTGGTTTCAAGCATCTGATGATGGCTTTAACTTCTCTGCAAGATTCCTGAAATAATACAACAAAGAAGAATGTACAGATCATTTGTTTCAGTAATGCAATAAATTTCCTCTTTTGAAATGTAAACTATAATAGAAATGGAAAGGTGTCCATCCTAATGGCGAAAGGGGTGGACGCAATCTAAATTACAATTATTAAGGCAGATGCTTGTTCGTAAAAACTAAAGTAAAAATACAGCAATACCCAATTCAGAAAAAACAATGCTTAAAAACAAATCCGCCCTTGAAACGTTTGTTGAACACAGATTTGTAGGAAAAGGCACAAAACAGCTGCTTATCAGACAGCGATCAATCATTATTGCGATACACTGAGGGAGTGTTCTGGATGGCAGGGCAAAGTTTCAATTTTGGAAGACGGACAATAAGCACAATTACAGCCTTCTTGTGCAGAGGATTCTTTTGACAGCATATTTCCATACACTTTAGGTCACCTTTTTCTTTAAGAATGCTAACAAAGATGTGTACTGCTCACTGAAATAAAAACAAGAGTAATATGAGGACTGTCAGGCACCAAACCTAATGCATGGGAGAGCTGATTAGACTATCATCAACTAGTTAAAACTCAGATCGATATTTTCCCCAACCACCACTAGAACTAATGTATAGAAATCTGTCCAGCAGCACCAAACATAAGACGACCAAGACTATCCAACAAAGATGAAGTGAGATGGAACCCCGTGCTACTTGAAGTCAACAACAAAGAATTTTTAGTTAATCATTGTATGCTAGTTGGCATTGAAAGTATTCTTAGCTTGCTTTCATTTTCGTTGCCCTCTAATCTTTTACTAAAAACTAGATTATATTAACCTTCTCGAAACAACCTAATCCACGCTTCCAAGAAAGGTTAGGCCATGTCAACCAGAAATATAGCGGAGAAACGTTTGATTCAAAACATTTTTCGGACGCAATCTTTGGCCAGAACGATGAGAGATAAAGATACTTCGTGGGTGATCAAAAATGAGTGTACTTTATAACCGTGGTACGACGAATTTGGCCACCAATTGAGAGACAGAGAAGTACGTAAACGAAGAGTCACCTGAGACACGTGAGCTGTTCCGACCAAGTAGACATCGCAAGAACCACCCTCTGCTGACGACTCGCATTCTAAAACGACGACCCCCTTTGCTAACTCCTCCGGAAGAACTCTCTTAGGCTCCTCCATGAAGTCCTCCAGGCCGACCTCAGAATCTTCGAATTCTTCATCGAAACCAACCCCGGGAGCTTCGTCTGGCAAAATCGCGTTCTCTCCGCGAGCGCCACCGCCGGAAATCCCCCTTCCAGGATCGGGATCCGTCCGTGATCCCTCGGCATCGGTGATCTCAACACCGGAGACATAAATAAAACCGTCTCCACCGGACGTGGTCGATTCCGGCGACGACTCCCTGGCGGCCTCCATTCCCGTTCGAAATTCGGACCGTCGGAGGCACCGAGGGACTCGAGGTGGACGATTCGAAAGGAAGCGGAGCCGACGGAGGAGAACAGGCGGCGGAAGTTCCCCGGCGTGGCGGATCGCTCGAGGAGGGGATGAGGCCGCAGAGCGCGAGGCAACAAAGAGAGGGCGACGGTGGAGGAGAACCGACGGCGACGGCGACGTGGGTAGGCTAGAAGCTTCTAGCTTGGCCCCTCCTCGAGCAGAGAGATTCATCAGCGGAGAAGAACCTCCGCCATGGCCGCCGGTGGACCCCCAAGTGACAAACCTTCTGCTAGGTTTCTAACAAGCGGGCCGTTACAGGTGCGAGTTAAAGCTCAGTAAAGAGGACGGATTATCAAAAGAAATCATTCTTGAAGGTAGGTCTGTCACAAACCAAGCAACTGAAAACATGTGAAATTAGCAAAAAAGGCTTTTCTTTGGCTCTTGCCCACCTGATTGATTCCCTCATTTGTACCAGGTCTCCATTAAAGGCGCCACAAATACATTTAAGCCCGGTCTTCTCTCTCTCCCTATCTTTCTACCTAGTAATCTCTCTCTCTCTCTCTATCTCTGTTTATCTATCTTTTTATCTCTCTCTCTCTCTCCCTATCTTTCTACCTATTGATCTCTCTCTCTCTATTTATTTATCTATCTATCTATATCTCTATTTATCTATCTTTTTATCTCTTTTTCTCTCTCTATCTATTTATCTATCTCTCTCTCTCCCTATCTTTCTACCTATTAATCTCTCTCTCTCTATCTATTTATCGTCACCTCTTTATTTAGCTATCCATCTATCTATCTCTCTCTCTTTATCTCTATCTTTGTCTATTTATTTTTTTATCTTTCTCTCTCTCTCTCTCCCCATCTGTATATCTATCTATTTATCCACCCATCTCTCTCCATCTATTTATTTATTTCTATCTATCTCTATCTCTCAATATCTATCTATCTATCTTTCTCTCTCTCTCTCTCTCTCTCTATATATATATATATATATATCTTATCTGAAATGTGGAGTATATAATCATGCAAATTTGAATGAGCATTGGGCCAAGACAACAAGAACAATAAAGTGTTAGCCTTCTACTCATTATGTGCTCCTATAGAATTATCAATCAAATCCTCATGTTAAATGACACTAAAAACTCATTCCCTACACACTCTTGTTAATTGGTTTTCAGTCCTTGGAAGATTACATTGAATGGATATCCTCGCAAATTCGTTGGATATGCCCTTCACCATTAAATTTCTGAAATGAAGGGAGAGAGTAAGGTTTTGAGGTTATTATAGCAATTTCCAACCAATTATTCATGCTAAATTAGTAAATAGTACCTCAACATGAAAATATGTAACACACATAGGCCACAGTGAATAAAATTAGAGATGGAGCTTGCAAGGAAACTACAGGTAATATTATAAATGCAGGGTCTTATGGACAAACGAAGCCATTTTTTAGGGTAGAAAACGAAAAAACCAGCAACCCCATGATTCTCAGTGGTGGAAGGTTCGCCCTCCCGTGAGGATCAATGGAACCCCACTCAAAAGATTCGAATTTTATCCGAAATATTTAAAAATTAATTCTCATCTAAATATAAATATTAAATTATCTTGCTGTGATATGTAGATACACTGGATCACGCCTTTGGTGGACTGGACAGTACACGAGTGACGTGTACTAGGCGACAAAAGGAAGTGGGGCCTACAAGGAGAAGCTACCCCCCGGTTTTGGATGAAATATATCTTTATATTTTTACTTTCATACTGACTATTTAACTTGTTTTACCATAATAAATAGAGAGTGACGTGTGGTCAAGAATGTGGGCCCCATACACGTGGCGGGTAGCCCAAACCCGCCGGAGACTCTCTCCCTCCCCGTCCACCGGGATTCGGAGGAAACCGAGAGCAACCCCGTTCGGCCGTTAATACGAAATTATCCTTTATATTTAATTTCATAAGTAAATGAAGCTATTTAAATTATTTTACTATGATATATCGATTCGTAACTAACCTGTGGGGCCCACACCCACGTGGTACTCCAAAACCGCGGGATACTGCCCCCCCGGGTTTCGGAGGAAACCGAGTGCACACCCATTTGGCCAACAGCTCTCTCTCTATCACCAGCGGGTTTACGAAAACCAGTGGCCCTGGTTCAGCTGGGTTTCATCTCATCGGAGCTTCTTAAATACTCCGGCTCCTCGTCCACCTCTCCGGCAAGGGAACCAGTTGCAGAAGAGCTCGGCGATCCAGAGAGGGCATTCCTCGAACACCCACCGTCTTCGAGAATCTGCGCATCAGGGAACACAGACAGAGAGAGATAGAGGGAGATAGAGAGAGAGAGGGAGGAGAGATGAGTTCTTCGAGCAAAGCTTGGTTGGTGGCGGCGAGCGTGGGGGTGGTGGAGGCGCTCAAGGACCAGGGGGTCTGCAGGTGGAACCACGCCTTCAGATCGCTGCACCGGCACGCCAAGGGCAGCATGGGATCTCTCTCCGTGGCGCAGAGGCTGCCGGCGGCGGTGGATCGGAGACCGGAGGTGACCGAGAGGGCGAAGCAGGCGGAGGAGTCGCTGAGGACGGTCATGTACCTTAGCTGCTGGGGCCCCAACTGAGAGCAGAGATGGTGAGGAAGAAGAGCAAGACCCCGTAAATATGGAAGATCTTCTTCTTCTTCTTCTTCTTCTTCCTCCCTTTCTCCTTCCCGTCGCTGTACAGAACCCGATCTCCAGGGTATATATGAAGATATGGAATGGAGGCCTTCCTTCCACTGCAAATCTCCGCAAGTAATTGAAAGGATTCGTTAGAGAGAAGGAAATCCATCCGCTGAAACTCTGAATCTGATCATCCGCGTGGCTCCCCCTTGGTCGCCGTCGCAGGAAGAACACCCCTCGATCGTGGCGTTCAACTCCCAATTATCTTTGCCATCTTCATTCCACTGCAAATCTCCGCAAGGAATTGAAAGGATTCGTTAGAGAGAAGGAGATCCATTGGCTGAAACTCTGAATATTATCCTCTGTGTGGTTCCCCTTTCATCGCCGTCGCAAGAAGAACACCCTCGATCCCGGCGATCGACTACCTATTATTTTCGCCATCTTCCCGTGAATAGAAGGATTCTTGACTAGGCAGAGATCCCTTGGCAGAATCTCCGCTGAATGAGTTAGGATTTTCTCCAGATCGCCGTCCGGGGAAGAAGAACAACCTTGGGTCACTGCGCTCGACTCTCGATTAGCCTCCCCCTCATTCATAAGATGGTGAAAGATCCTCCTACAAAGCAGATATGCGTCAGCCGAAACTCGGAATCTCCTGTGATCCTGTCCCTCGATCGCGGCCCTCGAATTGAGTACCGCTCCTCATGAGAGAATCAAATCGCGAGTGAGAACGATGAAATCGCCGGAGATTCCTCTCTGCATTACCACCTCGATCGCAGCCCTCGAATTGAGTAGTGCTCCTTGCTAGAGAATCAAATCGTGAGTGAGAACGAAGAAATCGCCAGAGATTCCTCTCTGCATCACTACCTCGATCGTGGTCCTCGAGTTGAGCAGTGCACCTTGCTAGAGAATCAAATCGTGAGTGAGAACGAAGAAATCTCCGGAGATTCCTATCTGCATCACCACCTCGATCGCGGTCCTCGAATTGAGTAGTATTCCTTGCTAGAGAATCAAATAATGAGAGAGAATGATGGAATCGCCGGAAATTTCTCTCCGCATCACCGCATCACCGCATCACCGCCTCGATCGCCCATCCCTGAACCAGGGTGGTATTTCATATACTTTATCACCGAACGTTACGGCTTGCCTCCAAATGTTGGTCTCGAGAGTCCCATTTTCCGAATTCGTAAAAAGAAAAACCATTTATTTGGGTTTTTTTCAAAATTTACAACGTTTTTTTCATGATTTTTAGTCTGTTCAATTATTTTTATATAAAGTTACCTATAAAGTCATTTATTCTCTAAAGTAAATAGCGACGTGATGCTTATGTGGCACACCACATGGGCATTTTTTTGACACGTGGCTCTTGGAATCACACTCCCCTCTCTCTTTCTCGAATCTTTTACAACTGTTTTAAAAATATAAAAATGTCGCAGATATTTCATTATTAAATAGAAATTTCATATACCTCATGAAGAACAACTTTTAGATGAAAATATAATAACTTGGAAAAAAACCAGAATTTTTTTAATAAAGTTTTATCATTAATGGTGATGTTGACTGCATTTTCAACCTCCATTAATTCAGATGGAATTCAATATTAAATTAGTTTTTTAGGTATAGTAAATTCAAATTTTATGACTTTCTAGGAAGGATATTATGAGAACTTTAGAAAAAATAACTTTATTATTTAAAACTTTCTTCACTTAAGCCCAATAAAACTAGTGAATAACACAAAATAGGTTTTTACAAATAATAAAATCATAAAAATTCCATTAATATTATTTTATATCAAGTATGTGGAAATAATTCCTCAATTATAAATTCATTTTTAAAAATTACATACTTTTTTATGACATATCCTTCCAATACCATTCAAATATGAAACCTAGGTAACAAGGTGTCTTATTTTAATATCTATAAATTAAAGTTCTTATAATTTTTTAAGGAGCTATGTATAGTTGTCCCAATCCTAGTTATCTAACATGAGGTTCCAATAACATAGCCTTATTGCATGCGTGAGTATGACCACAAGTGTATGTGTATATGGGCACATGCATATAGCAACACACCATGGCTGCTTGGCAGGAGCAGTAGCATGGGATGCCATATGTGCATGCAAGGTGCACAAGAGTGCACAGCACCACAAAGGCCTTTATTAGTGTGAGGCAAGACCATAGCATATCATGTTAGCTGCTACCATGGCACAACAAGGTGCTGATTGATAACACATGAATAATGTGTTGGATTATGCCTTGTCTTAGTTAATTTTACATTTCTATGATATTATTAATATGTTTTTCACATTGATCTTTACAATTTTTAACATGTTTCAAGGTATCTTAGTGTTTAAAATATTTTTCTTAGAATTTTATGAGATTAATCTCGTCATACACATTTGAGTGGCTTATTAAATATGATTATTATAGACATTACATATGTTTTCATGATTTTATTAATTATTTTTGATAATTTTAAGAATTTGTGCCTCAAGTCATGGGCATTTCATCAACAATTGTGATGCAACAGCTTGAACATTACTCGTGAGGAGTGAGAAGGCAGTCTTGTGGTGGGAGAAAGATCCAATGACTTATGAGAGAGCACAAGAGAAGGAAGACCATTGATCTAACAGAGTGTGGCCTTGCGGGAGATGATGTCACCATAACCTTTGGGCAATTTCTCTTGTGCCAGCAAGAGAAGAGAGAGATGAAACAACACCCTATACATTTAGAGAAAACTCATGTCATGGATAGCTTCTTGATTAAGGAAACCTTTGACGATTTAACTAGCCTAGAAGGTATAAGGTTTTCTGAGCTCCACAACATGTGAATGCATGTGTGTCAATATGGAGCACTCCTCATCTTACATGAAGGAGGTCTCTCTCACTACTTCAAGTAAATGCCTCTTCTTGGTGGAAGTAAGGAAGAAAGAGCAGTGACACCAAGTGTTTACTTCGAGATGAGGAAAGTCTATTTATTTTAGGTTAGATTTTAGTTAGAAATTTAGGAGTAAAAGTCACAAACACTTGATTGTCATTTTTACGCCAACTAGATCTGAGAAATTAGATTTGGATTCATTAACTTATCTTTTCTCTCTTTCTAGTCCATGACCTCTTGTTTCCTTTTTAGCTCTATCTTTCGTTAGAATGAGCATGAGTTAGTAAAGAAATTCCTTGATGAGACAACCTGACTCGCTACTATCTATAAATATTTTACGAATCACATTAAAACATAACTCATAATATTTTGACTGAGGAGATTAAGGACTAACAACACTTGTAGAAAATCATACTTATCAAATGACACTATTGTCAAAGAATTTTAAGTGTTGAACTTTTTTATGTATGTTGTTTTTAATGAAGATAATTTTAGTTTCTTAAGTTTTATTTGTAGAAAAGGTGATGTGGATACTAGTCAATTACTTAGATAAATTTTAAGGAACAAGGTAAGCTTTGAAGAATTTTGTTGCAGTCATATCAAGCAAATTTGAAATGAATTTAAGAGATATTGACTTGAACAATATTCATTCAATCGTGTCATTTAACTTTCTTTGTTGAATGTGACCTATTTATTTGAGCAAAATCAACCTTGAGACAATAGTTTTTGTTTAAGAACATTACAAAGTTTTCATATAATATTTTTTTGATAAAATAAATTAAATATATTTGAAATTCTAACTCTTTTCTTTATCTTGACCAAATGTGAATTACTCAAAATAGTTACAATGTGTGCTTACAAATATTTGAAGTCTAACTTGCAAGATTGATTAAGGATATTAATCTACAAACATATTTGAAATTAATTGCCTAACCTCTCTTTTGTGTTGCAACTTATATTAACATTCACATTGAATAACTATTGTGAGAAAATGAGACAAGAACAACCTTAAGTAGAAAATTTAGCTTCAAAACAAGTAAACATCTCAAAAATTGACTTTAAATTTTGAAATATTTTCTAGATTACATGATTTTTCTGAAACTATGATAAATCATAATTGTTGTATAGTCATTGAATGATTGGCTAAAATTCTAACTATTAGTTTTGGTGGCTAAGATCTTTTTATTGGCTATTTTTTAAAAAACAACTCATAAGTTTCAAATTTTTTCTGAAGAATCAAAGAGGGAACCTTAGAAATAAGGACATAAATTATTATTACAGGTTAGTTATATCTTGTGCATGATCAATATACACAGAAATTGATTATTACTTCTTAGTTCAGATTTCTTGTAAAGATTAAATATTTTTTTATAAAAAAATAGTTAATCTTGAATATTTTCATGTAATTTTATTCATTATGATCATCGAGGATTTTGTACACATCTTGCTAGTCAAAATATATAGGATTGACATAGTGATAAGTAGACATATCAGAATGAATTAGCAAAACTAGAAGTAGGTGAATGCAAGGACATAGATCTTAGAAAAATGTAGTCATTCCACCAGAAAAAGAGTTAGGAGAAACATCACAAGTAGAAGTGATCTTGGAAAAAGAAAAAAAAAAAAGGAAACTAAAGAGAAAATAGAAGAATGTGTCTTAGAGATCACCCAACTTTCTTACAATATAGACAAATGAATATAGTCAATGCTCCTATAGAGAATGATGTCAACTTTAGTGTTGATCATTACTTTGTTCAAATATTACCACATTTTCATGGAATGACTCATGAGAAGCCATATGAGCATTTAGAAGATTTCTCACAAGTTTGTGAGATTCATATTATCTCAACATTCTCATTGAGAGAGTGAAGACGAGATTGTTCTTATTCACACTCAAAGATAAAGCTAAGGACTTACTTCATGCCTTGGTCTAAGAGCTAAATTTGTGGAATGACATGGAGGCAGCATTAATTCAGAAATTTTATGTAATAAGAAAAATAAATTTTATTAGAAGGGCAATTAGTGATTTTGTGCAAGGGCCTCAAGAATCTTTTTATGAGACATGAGAGAGAGTTAAGGAATACACCTACCAATGTCCACATTATGGGATATAAAATTGATAATTAGTGTAGATTTTTTATAAAGATTTCAATGAGAGACATAAACACATGATTGATGCTACCTCAAGTGGGACTTTTATGAACAAATATGAACATTATAGGAGCACAATCTATAAAATTTGACAATATACTTCTGATCCTTGGTGTTGGAGGGGGAGCTAAGTTTGTCTAATTGTATCCATCTTCTTTCGTTTATTATTTCTTATTCTCTTCTTTTCCTTTCTTCGATCTTTGCTTAGTTACTACTTAAAACTAAACAAAATTCAATTATTTTAAGGTTATTTAAGTTAATTTTATTTCATATTACATTAACAACCATCATTATCTTTTGCCCCTTTGTTTAATACCATTTAACATATTTTTTCTAATAAAACTCATTTTTTTGTTTGCAACATAGTGCAAACATTAGTTTTTGTCCCTATATTAGTCTTAATGTTGTAAATATATTTATTTTATGTCTATTTTGTTCAAATTATCTTCTAGTAATAGACTAATATGTATATGGTTTGACTTTTGTAGGTCATTGCTTTGGACTTGAGGAGTAACAAAGGAGTAAGAATAGTTTGAGCAATTTTTGCTAATTTCACTATTCACTTGAGTCAAAGTTAGCTATCTTTTGAATAAAATTTAATTTTTTATATATTTAAATTATTTATATTTCAATACAATGACAAAAGGCACATCAACTCAGAACACATAAGAGTTGGATAACTTTATGTTGAGAGAGTAGTTCTAGTCTGGAAATTACTCATGTGTGACATAGATGTCCCTTTGGCAACTTTGTCACATTGGAATGATTCAATAATACATAAATAAGTTTACTTCAATTATTTTAGACATCAAGGGCATGTTGGAGGATAATAAGATATTTAATTTTGTGGTTGAGTTGTAGCCATGGGTGTAGATGAAACTCAAGCATCTAAGAGCTCAAAAACTCAAATTGGTGATGATAGTAGCTAACACACTCATTGACTTATAAAGCTCCAAACACTTGTGGGATGCCAAGAGGCGTGAACTAGTTAGAGGAACAAAGAATGAACTTTCAAGGGTGACCACTACAAGACAAAACATGCATGACACCAGGAACTAACAATCGCAAAGCATCATAGAGGACCCAAGCCTACTAAATTGGTTGTGTAGGGTTATAACAACAAGGTTGGTTGCTTCATGTGCAAGTGACTACACCTAAAGAGAGACTATCCAAAAAGAGTTGCCAACATGATGGCAACATAAAAAGAAGTAGACAATAATATACCAACCCTCTATAAATATTGTGTGCATTGCAGCAACACAAAGATCGGATGGTTTGGTGACAAGTTGATCTATGTGGAGATCTTCATCAACACCCAAACTACACTCATGATGGTTGATAGTGGAGTATCCCATAATTTCTTCTTGGAAAATGAGACAGCACAAATGTGCTAGATGTTTTCATGAGGAGATGACCAAGTCAAAACTATTAACTTAGTGGCATGTACCCCTATCAATATTGCCCATGGAGCACTACTAATGATCAAAGTGTGGGAAGTTGTGTTAAACTTCTAAGTGCTCAAACTAGATGGCTTTGTGTTGTACTCTATGTATGTTCCTAGGTATGGGTGTTCTCCCATTTGGATGGTCTTCTTGTTGTAGTTAAGTCAAGTCCTTCCTTTGTCTTCAAAGTGCAAGGGATCAAGAAGAACCTTGTGATGTTATCAACACTTCAGGTTATAGATGAGTAGAGGTGGGGTGGAGTCCCTCATCGACACTCTCTTTGAGTTGGACGAAGATAGTTTGCTTGTACAAATGTCTAATGGACATGAGACAAGAGTTTTCTTTATACCAAGTGTGGCACTCATAGAAGAGTCAGGTGACACAATGTGAATGGGTGTGGGGCCAAGGTGACTAGTGTGACACATATAGCTGCAAGCATTGACTCGAGTTGTTGGGATGTGCTGGTAGATGCCCCTACAAGCAATGAGCATGTGTAAGTGGGAACATGTGCAGTGCATGCACAGGTAAAGGCAAATGTAGGCATGCACAAGTAGGTGTGTGCTTGGGTGTGCATGTGACATCACACTTGGTGAGTGTGACAAAGGTGATCGACACTTAGGTAGCATGTGTGGTAGGGATTGTCAACATCATGGGATGGCTTTCGATGGAAGACAAAAAAATCCTTAAGATCTACTAGACATCTAGACAAATGGTCAACTCCTTACACATCCTTACATTAGGAGATTGATCGTGAGATAGTTCTTATATTGAGCATATGATTACCAAAATGTGTCTCATAATTTACATCATCCAAACTCAAGATTGAGATAGTGATTGATAACATTGTTGAAGGTGGTGAACCAAATAGGTGTATTGCTCAATCAAACATCATACCAATTCACATGTGAAGAGGACACACGTAAGGAGTTGACACATAGTAGGAAAAAGAGCTCATGTTAGAATCAATGTAACATGGAGTATCAAGTTGGTGACTAGGTGATGCTCTACAACTTGCTCATGAAGTATACAAGCATTAGGAGGTCCAATGACCATTAATACTCGATCCTCAAATACACTAGATCATTATAGATCATGGACAAGGTAGGAGAGAGGTCTACCAGCTCAACCAACCTTCTATATCTCAATGCTAAGGCCCTATCTTTGTAATTAGGAAGATGTCAAGAGATGATGTTCTCAAGATGTATTGTTTCACTCTTAATTCAAAGATCATACATAGGCTGGCATGAGGTTCCAACAATAGAGCCTCATCATGCACCTAAGGAGTAATCATGTAAGTGTGTGCGCACATGAATACACGTGCACAATGATATGCCAAGACACTCAACAAGAGTAACAATATGACATGACATGCAAAATGGGTGCATGTAGGGCACACAAAAGCCCACAACACCAACAAAGGCATTCATCAATGTAGGGCAAGACAACAATAGGTCTACTAGCTTGCAGCATGGTGTAGCATGACGCAACATAGAACAAAGTGCATGTGGGCATATGTGGCATAGTGTGGCACACAGTGGTACATATGGAGGACACATGTGAAAGGGACAATAGTTATAACATGCTCTAGAGATAGTTTAGTAACTCATATATAATTGTTGGTTACAAACAGGCAAAGGCCTAATTGACATGCTTAACTCAAGTGATCAAGGATATAATAGTCAGTCATTAATGATAGACATGGGACATGTTCTATCTAAATATGAAAAGGTCTTAATAAGGGGAGCTGGGTACTCCCTAGGCTCTCTGCTATAAGTTATGGAACCTTCTCTATGGTTTGGAAAAAGCCATGAGCTAAGAGCTTTATCATTGTATTCCCTTCCAGCCCCTCATCTCTTGAGTCGAATAGAGTGTTAAATACACATCCATCACTAGTTTAATTTCCATGATGCCTTTTAGATCGCATGAAGGCAAGGCATTGTTCGGGCATGCCATGGGTCATTCAAAGACTCTCGAGGTTAATTATGTGATAATAGTACTAATGAAAAAATCTCCACATTCCAAATAAAGTCACCCCCTCATAAAAAAAATTAGTTAAAACTGGACCCGATGTTATTTTCAATTCTTAAAAAAATATCTAAAGCAAGTGCTCCATAAACCTATTTAGTTAACTAGTTTTAAATGGGTGACTAACATCAAATTGAAAAATTCTGATAAAACTTACCTTTAAATGGTTTAAAAAATACCCAATTAATATTTCATTTTACGAGTTCTTATGAGAGATTGTACCACTTCAATTTTTACAAAATTTTATTTTTGTGGGAGTTTTTATTATTTTTCACAACAAAAAAAATGTGCTCAAAATGTACTTTGAAAAAGTTGGGAATTAAGTTAACATAAATCTAGAAATATAAATCCAGAAAAAAATAAAACATAGCCCTTACCTTCCCTCCTTTCTGCTTGGTACTTTAGAGAGAGAGAAAGAGAGAGAGAGGGGGGAGGGAGGGAGAGAGAGAGAGAGAGAGAGGGAGAGAGGGAGAGAGGTCTTACATCATAGATTGTTCAATGAGCTGCATTTAAAAGGTTGCCCTCTGGGACGTTAATCCTCTGGGAGAGGCGGGGGGCGGGAGGATTCCTCTATTGAAATGCGAGGGGGGAGGCTGAAGGAGTTCACCGCCTCGACTGTTGGGGAGGCCATTGCTTCTTCGAGGTCCACTGATCCCACTGTGGAGTCGCTGTCCTCTCTGTTTGTGACCAGCCTGAAAGGGAAGGCCTCCGCCGTCTCCTCCTCCCCTACCAAGGAGAAGAAGCCCGAAGAAAGAGCCGCCGAACGGATCGCGACGTGGAAGAGGTCCATTTTGTCCGCGCGTTCCGGTGGCGGACTCCCTGGGATATCCGATTTAGGCCCCACCGAGAAGAACTCCGAGTTCCCTGCTAGGGTCTCGTCGAAGGTGTTGTCTGTGCTCAAGGAAGCCAGGTCTGAAACTGCTTGCCAGGCACCGGCAGGAGGTACTACTAGTTTTTTCCTTTTATATCTTTTTACATTCATGAAACGTTTCAGAAATCTAGCTATCTCTTCTATTTGCAGCTTCTGTAGGCGAGAAGTCCGTTGTTGATGTGGTGTTGCACGTCACTTCAGCGCTGCAAGGTACATGAATGAGTTTATGCCCCGTCTGACATTGTCTCTGCTCACTTCAGGAAGCTAAATTGCTAGCGATAGTGCCTAATTGCGAGTAGTCATTCGGGTGCAGAAATATATCTTCTGTCTGTTTCGAATGTCAAAAGATGAATCTCAAATGGGATTATATATCCCCTTGGCATAGAGAAATGGATAAGACAGTGGATCATGGGTTTTGAGTGCAATTTGTTTTTTTATTTTATTCTTTTCAGATTCAGAGGCATGCTGAGTTGTCTCCATTATGGTCTACGTTATGATCCATTTAACCCACATGAACATCTTGTTTGTTTCTGTAATCTTCTTACTTGTACTGAATTTTTTTGCATTCTATTGAATGTTCAATGAACACGTTCTTCATTCTTCAGTTGAATCATGGGCTTTGAACACATGGATCCTAGGTTTCGCTGAAAAATTAGTTTTATGTAGTTCTGTGACAATATAGAAGAGTAAATGGGAATTTAGAGGAATGAGGAGGAAGTGCTTATGTTATTTTGGGTTTATAAGGTTTTTCATTCCGTCCTCCACCATGTTGATATAAGAACAGGACACAGCTGATACGAATAAGTTTTTCTGAGAGCTCATGGATGCCATGCATATCTTTTCTTGCTTTCATGCTAAATGATCATGTGGTACTATCCACAAAAACAAGGGTTGTTGAACTCTGAGTTATTATCTCATCTATTTAAAATGATTTCTGGCAGATAATAGCTCACTTGCTCAGGTATTCTCATTTGCATTGAAGATTTCATAAAAGTAAATTTATGTTCACTAATGTTGATATCATTTTTCTTTTATTGATGATCCAATGTAAATTTCTATTTTCATTTACTTTGTAGGCTTGGCACTTTCATGATCTTTGTCTTCTTGTTGTAAGGCTAGTTTCTATTTCAGATATTGTGCTAAGCAACTTGGTTGTATATACCCCATGATGTGGATCTGTTTATATGAATTCTTGATCTACGTATAATCTCATAACTCCAGGTGACAGTGGGTTGTTGAAAGAATCTCAATCTGAAGAGGCTAACAATGGCATCTTAACAGAGAACAACAACTTACGTGACATGCGCAATGTCTTTAAATTACACATGCAGAAGGAAAAGTCAAGAGAAAGAAAGGCAAAGTGGACTCTCAAGGACTCCCACAATCTTCGTTTTTCTCGACTGATTAAAAGATCTGCTGAGGCACTAGGGACTGAGAGTACTCTTGAGGTCCTTGGTAAGCTGGGGAAAGAAACGGGTGTCAAAGAATACAATGCTTTAATTGGTCTTTGCATTGAAAAAGCAAGACGGTGTGTTGACGAAAGTGATTCACTTATTCAGCTTCAGAAAGCATTTCAGCTTTTTAGATCCATGAAAGAGCAGGGTTTTCAAATCGAAGAAGAAAGTTATGGGCCATTGCTCATGTACTTGATCGACATGAGATTGATCCAAGAATTCCAAACTTTCTGTGAGATTATCAAGGACGATTCCCGTCTACCCAACCCTAGAACTTCATATTTTGAGATGCTGCTATGGATTAAAGCTGGAAACGAGGAAAAGATTCAGGAACTGTGCCATTCTGTCAGAGCTGATGACAGTGATATCAATTTTAGTATAGCTGGTATGGTGTTTGTTATTTTGCAGTAGACTTGTTTTTGCCTATTTTATTTTTAAATTAGCATAATTCATGGATGATCTTGTCTGGGGAGAATGATATAAATTTATGGAAGATTGTTCCTTGTTCCCTCTTTAAGGTGCTCCATTGGATGAAATTATTTTTCATTTGCAAGCTAGTATATGCACTAATGGAAGAGAAGTGAAACTCGTAAATTACCTAAGTGACGCCGTTGGAAGTACTTTCACAGTTAGTTCGCTAATTCTACATTTATCTTCTCATGGGAAGATCAATTTTCTTATTGAACTGATAAATTTGTAGACCAATAAAGTCTTTTGGAAAGTATATAAAACAGTTCATCCTTGTTTTCAGCTTTGCTACACAGGATCTGAACCAACTTGCTGGATCTTTTCTAATAGAGTGAGCTTGGAGGGCATACAGTTTCGGATTCATTTTTTTCATCATTTATTACTTATTTACAATCTGCTTTCAGTAAAATGTCGTTACTTTCAATGCTCTTCGCCTTGGTCTTTTCAACAGCATCTCCCATTCCCATGTGACACTGCATGGTGACGAAATCTCTCAAGAGAAAACATGTGGCTTGACGTGTGAGGTTCCAGTCAAATGGTGTTTTTCTCTGAATTATTTATGGCTGAATACTACTTTTCAGAAAATAAAAAATTGGCTACTAAATATGAAACTTGGTATTTTTAGGAAAAAGGATTTTATCTGAAAATTTATAGAGAATTTTATATATTTTTCGAATGACAGTTCAAAAAAATTTCATTCTAAATTATACAAATCCAGTATTTTCCTTGAAACGACGAATTCTGATATATTTTATTTATTTGGCAGAAAATTATTTATTAGCATTCTGTGTTGGTGATAGGAAAAAGGAGATGTTACATTTATTAAATGTCTTGGATATGAGGAGGATTTCATCATTAGAGTATTTATCAGTAATATTCAAAACACTGGGGAAGTCGTCATTGGAAAACCTTGCAGTGGAGTCTATCTTGGCCCTAAAGAGTGGAGGTATGTATGCGTGTCACGTGGACAATGCTGGTGTGTGTTATTTTTCATACGTATTGTTAAAAATTTCGAAGTATAATAATTTTGGATGCGAAAAAATATTCGAGTCTTGCAATCTGAGTTTTTCTTTTTTTTCACCATTTAACTGCTTATTTGATGCTTCTAGCTGATGAAAATGAATGGTTCATTGTTTTCTCATTCCTTCTGCTTACACTCACGTGTATAAAATGATTCTTACGCTTTATGTTGCATCTTTGTTTTTAGTTCATGTAACATCATTGTACATTGAATAAAACTCTTTTGGCTAGAGCTCATTATTTAGTTCCTTGGGAGTTCACTTGATATCCATGTTAGGAAACCTATTTGGATCATAAAAAATGATTCCACAGAGTAGGCTATCAGGGGGATTGACATGTGAGGAGAAGAGAAAGATTTCTAATGGGCAAGTTGCAAATCAGGACGACTTAACCTAGGTAGTCTAATGATTGCCAGATTTTGTATGGTTAATTGATATGTTGCCTTTTTCTCGAGTAGATTTTCATTTTCTGTTCTCCTCGCTTTAGTTGATGATGATTTTATGTGACTTTGTTTAGCTGAGTTGAGGTTTAAAGACTATTCTGGTGGCACGATTTAAGTATTGCTTAGCAGATGGGCTTATTGGCCTCATTGGAATGGCAGGCGCTGCTTTATCAGCTTCCTCGTTATTTGGAGGATTATTGCTGGGAAATGTTGTGATCTAACAGGCAACATTCTAAAGCATGAAATGCAACTTCTCTTATCTTCATGTTGAAATATGTTCTAATGACTGATTTTCTCTTACAAGCAGCTAACGTGATATAATAATGCTTTCTAGAAAATAACAAGTACATATTCTTTGACCAAGGTCTTCTGAAGTTTCATTTTAGTTGGCATCTATTTTAAATTTTATTTTCATATTTTGTATCTATTTTCAATCGGCCTAGTGTCTGTTTTTTGTAGTTATTTCTCCGTTTTTCCTCTCTGATTTAAATCTAGAACTGCTCTTGTAACTGCAGATACGACAGAGAGCGATATCTCATCATTGATATTTGACTACACCTCCAAAATACCCGATCTTGCTGTGAGTAGTTTCCCATCGTCAATACTGACACTTCGTTTTTTCATTCGTCTTATTTGTTTCGGAAATGTACAGAAATGTATGTCAATGCAATTTTCTGGTTCCTCATTTTATGATACTTTTAAGTTACCTTAACACTTGGTTTGCTTAAGTAGATGTGTACATATGGAGTCCTGGTAATTTGCTCCATATTAGGCGTTTAACCAAGAATGCACTTCTCTGTAGGTTGAAGAGGTAGTTTCGAAGTATATAGGATTGCATGTAAAAGTTGAAGTAACACCATCTGTTCGATCATATGAGAAGCTCACTGCATACTGTTGCAATTTGTTCAAGGTAAGTTGCCATTCTAGTTGATAAAACCAAATGTTGCCTTCTAATTTTCAGCTCTCATTTTATTTGTTCAGTGGACACATAACGGCTTTGCATAGTAAATAGTTGACGTGTTTAAGATGAGAATGAGTGAAACACAAATATCATGATGGCATGCCTTGAGATTAAGATCAGTTTTATCCCTTCAATTTAAGAAACTTCCAACCTTGATCTGGCTTAGGCTGATTTATGGCAACTCATACTGTACATGGTTTTTGATTGAGTCAGGTCATATGAATTGCCCCGAGTTGGATGGCAGTATGGACTGTGCATTAGTGTATGATACTATTGCTCTATGATCAATAATATTTGGGAAGGGTCCAATTCACTATTTTGGCATTGTTAAATTTTGATAGGCTGTAAGCAGGGATATGGAGATGTGACGAGATCATTCAACTGTTTCCACATGATGCTTGGCACGTGCCCTGGTGCAACAGACTGGAATATCTCACTGGAAATAAATGATTAGTTTTGTATGGTATTTTGAAGAGACTAGGGCTTTGGATTTTAATTTCATATCTTAATGGGCTTTCAGCATGTGCGTTGTCCAGGCAATCTGCTGATTGATGAACATACGTTTCTGACAACTTTGTAAATATAATAATACTGGTTTCTCTTGCATAACTTATGCCACGTCTCGTCCTAATTTTATGGGTAATGCCCACTATTTAGCCACCCTAAGAAAGAAAGAAAGAAATAATCAGTGTTTAGATGGTACCAGTTGGCGAAGTAGATGACAGGAAACTGACTTTGTCTCTCAATGCATGGCTGAGTGACTCCATGAAAAACACAAGAACGAGCCCAGGGGGATCCAACTACCGGTGAAGCTTGAACCTCCAAGATACATGTCAAAATCATACAATAAGCTGACATCAGTATAGCCTGTGAAGGCGTGCCTCTGTTCTAGGATGAGATTTGCGTTAATTTATAGTGTTATGTTATATTTTAAACTCACTTACTTAATGTACTGTATTTTTTACACTAGTTCATGTTTAGTTTTTTTTTTTTCTAAGGAAAGATCGGGATATTTCATCTACACAAAGGCCATTTCTAGCCATTTTCATATCTCTAATTATATAATATTTTGACTTTAATATTATTGATCAGTTGCCATGACTAATGCATTCTCTTGTATGTGGAACATCTATGGTCGCATCATGCTTGGATGCCAGTCTCGTGATTCAAACCTTAACGTCTACTTAATGGTTGCTTATGCCTTTAGAGTCAAGTATTTCTGCTTATGATGCTTTTCTAATGGTTGATACATTATGGTTGCAAATAATGTAGGTCTGTACAACTCTTGATCCACTTGTGCGTGGAACAGAGCAAATTTGCAGGCTTGATTGGGTAAGTGTTTCTCTTAGGTTACCATGTATCTAATTTTTGTAGTTACTAGGTTCCCTGGCTTTTACCAAGCGATATCGTTTCTAGAAAGCTAAACTTATTACTATTAATGCTTTTTTTTTATAACTTGTCTATTGTTATATGGCTTCTGCAGAACATGTCACAATTTAGTTATGTTCATGATTTCTTTATGTGATTTACAGAGTGTCAATAAATTCTGATTTTTTTTTCCTGTTTTTGAATTTAAGGTTCGAGAACTATGTTCAGTGGTGCGGAGGCACAGCCTGAAACTAGACAAGGACTGTTCCAGAAGTATGATGAGCTTGTATGTAATGATAAAAGATGTAAGCAACCGGTTGTTTTTCTTATTGTCCACCATATCCTATCTACATCATCTGCCACCATTTATTTGATAAAGTTATTATGGATGTTAATTTTTAATGGGCCACTTACCTTTTTGGAGGCCGGTATTGCATTTTAGGGAACAGAGTGAAAGATGTTGATTGCGTTCTCAATCTCTGATTTTAATAATCCTGTCATGATAATGCTAAAAATTATGCTGGAAAGGAGTCTATGCAGTCAAATGTGTGAATGTTTCAAAGTTGTCTAATGTTATGCTGTTCTAAAGAAATAGGAATCCTTGAACTTAACGTTAATAAAAATGGTCTCATTGTGGTTACTGTAAAAATACTGTGATTATAAGGATGGGCCTATTTCAGTCATTGCCAATTGGTTTTGAATAAGACGGCTCAATAAATTTAGCGTGATATTAGAGTCAGTGACCGCTCTTGAGCTACAGAGACCCCATTTGTATGGTCCAAGTCATGGGGCTCATGAATTGTTTTGGATGTGAATGCGTGCATGAAGAATATTCTTGTATTAGTTATTTCAAAAGTAAATATCTGATTAGAAAATAGGTTTACTTCACTCACTTCCATTTAATTTTGCGTTAGATGGTCTAAAAACTTTATCAGATGTGGATAAGCAAGCTTGTTAAAATACTGTTATCTTAGTCTCTTTGTACTCATGAGGATGTGATTAGATATGGTCTGTTATTACTGGGTTTGCGCTATGTTATTTGTCTCTTTACTTTGCTCTTGTGAAGCATTTTGAGTTGCATCTGGAGAGCCTGTAGATTGATGTCTTATGCGGGACATAGGTTTCGAATACAAACCTGAAAACCATTCATGCACAATATCTAGATGAAAAAGTGGGCCTTCCATATGAATTAAAATATGTTGACCATCTTTTTGATGGAAAGAACTGTTCTATTTTTAGAAGAGCATCCTTATGCAGATTTAGATGTTGCGCTGTCTGGTACAGGAAGGGCATTTTGCTACTCAAACCAGGGTTTTATGAGGGTTGTTCTGTAGGGCTAAATCTTTTCCTGGAAGATGACGTAAGGTGGCTGATAAGGACTTCATTTGCTGTTCTTTGTTTTTCAATGTCCTGCTGTTAATCATGTTTATTGTTCAAAACAGGTTGATGTGATAAGGCTTTTGATAATGATTATAATGAATGTAAATTTGTTTCAAACATGAAGATGATTCATTGTGCCCTTTTCCATGACAGTTTGAAGGTGCGTACAATCTGCTTGCAGAATTGAAAGAAATGAATATGGAGATTGATGCAAGCCTATACAATGCTGTAATGATTGGATGTTTCAAGGAGGTAATCGATTTCATTAATTATCAACTTATTTTTACTTTTGCACCTAAATATTGGGCTCGTTCTGTTCTCACGTACCTCATACTTGGCTTCTGTTCATCTTCCCAGAAAAATATTCATGGAGGGCTTAAAGTCCTCAAAGAGATGAAGCATGCTAATGTAAAGCCAGATTCTGAAACTTTTAGTTACTTAATATTCAACTGTGGATGCGAAGAGGATATTGTCAAGGTTTGCTAACTCTGCATCGTTTTGGGTATTTCTTTCAAGAAATTGAAATCAAAGCCTTAACTTTTGGCATAGGTGATCTCTTTCACGTCTTCTGTCAATAAGACGTCTGCTGTTTAATTGAACCTTGCCATGTATCCGGAATCCAAAAACCATTACATAATCAGTCTAAGTGATATGCTTTCTCTTGAAAGTAGGGATATTACCATTGAATCAATACATATCGCGTTAACAAATGGAAAACTGTGCATTATGAGTAATTTGACTGCTACTTTAGAGGTCTGCATGCTTATCTATTGAAATGCGCTTATCTAAACTTAAGATCTTTTGTTGAACTTTGATTTAGTTTTCCACCAACATGTTTGTTCCACGGCAGCCACGGAAATCAAAGACAGTTTCCTATTTGTTGACTCTTCATGTCTGCCCTTACGATACACACAGTTTGTGTAGGCAGAGTGAATGGAAAATCGAGGGACAAAACCTAGAATCGTAAAATCAGATTGGTTTTCTGGGCCCTCCGAGTTACATTCTGATCAGAATCCGATTGGATTTGTTGAAATCTGTCAATCATAGGGCAGCTAATTTAATCTAGGTCTGGCCAGATCCAATTTGAAAAATACAAAATGAAAATAAAAAATATCAAATGAGGAATATTAAGAAGGAAAAATGAGAGAAATGCTAAACTGTCAACGCTATAAGAGCATACAATTCAGGAGTAGGGCCATCTTTTTAACTATTCGTAGTCAAGATCGAATTATTCTAGTAGGCAGGTGACTTTTGTGCTTTGTCACATTAACTCTTGTACGTGTTGCCTAAGATTTAACTTTTTGGGTTTGATATCATATTAAAGTTTTTCTACTGTTTAACTCAAAACCAATTAGAAATGAGTGAAGTAGGTTCATCTTTATATAACCATATAATTTCTTCTTGTATTAGTGTACAAAAGACTGTTCTGACATGACCACATTAAAAAGTAATTATCAAAGACAAAAGTTTTGAAAGGTTCATTTCCACATCACCTCATCTCGAAGTTACACACAATACACTTGATACTCGTGGAAGGTTATGCTATAAATTTACTTCTGATGGAAGAGAACGGCACATCCTCATGATTGCATTGGTTATCTAATTATTCAATATGAACCGTCAATATCCATCCTGCAATAATGGTGCAGCTTTTTTTAAAAAATCTTCATGCATACTTCTCAAGGAATGGGATTTTTAATGGCTCTGGCTGGGATTTTTTAGTGGGATTTTGCATCCTTTGCTACATATCTCTATATCCACCTTTGAAATCAGGTCTTTCGTCATGACAACGTTCCGGGTATCCTTGATAGGAATAGTCGCCTCCACTTCAATTCTCATTATGCAACAAATACATACTTATCAATCCCGTTCTCTTTTTAACATGTATTCCTATCCTCTTTATCTTCTTTTAACATGTGTTTTTGTAACTAATCTAGAACCATCTGGATGAGATCTTTCAGTAAGATGTAAGAGATGCGTCTGTTATTTTGGAGTTTTTGGGGGCCCGGTCTTCACCTATACGATGCTGGGTCTTTTTCTGGAGCTCACGGACCGCACACTCTTGCATGTTCCTATCAGTTGAATAATCCCTGAACTGGGCGCTTTCCAATTCAGTATTAGAAAGAGTTTTGAGTCGAATTATATCTGTACTACCCACCTGTATCTCTTCCATATTTTAATTCCTTCTGTGCTAGCATGGCAGCAGGATCGTCTCTTGCACATCAAGTTCTCGCATCTGATATGATGTCATGCTCATCATCATCCATAGGGAGTTCACAGCAAGTATTAGTTCAAGAGTCTCTAACATGCTTATCTTTGTTTTTATTATTTCTGCCTTCTCAATTATTCCGCATGAGGAATGTAAATCTTCATTGTGATGTATCTGCTAACATACTTAGAATGTGAATCTTCATTGCCCCTTATTGCCTTCTCTCTCCCTCTCCTCCTCACCCGCTTTACTCTAGAGTTTCTTTGGAAGTTTTCTTCTCTACTGAGGGGGCTTCGAATTTATATGGAAAATGAAATAATGGTGCGATTCTGATTATCTCGACAAAGTCACACGGAAGCTCACCTGGTCAAAGGAGCATTCTAGCCTTCAAAAACTGCCTGTTAAAGAACTAAGATACATTATTTGTCAAAAACTAAGGTATAAAAAGAGATTGTATTTTTATCTTGTGCGGGTTAGTATGAAAGTAACTATGTCATCCCATGTTTCATTATTTTACCTTGGAATAAGTATTGAACAGCCTCTTCTTTTCTGCAGTGCCTGGAAGAAATGAAGCATTTTCAGGCAGACTTTACAAAGCATACTTACATTGCCCTCATAAATGCATATGCAAACTGTGGGAAATTCGACCAGGCTAAACAGGTGAAGATTATGGCATCGGCAATTTATGTATGCGTATATTGGTTATGTTGTTGGCCCAGAATATAAGTTTTTATAGGCAAAATTTAATATCCCATTAAGTGCCATTTGATAGTGTTTATATATTAATGCATACGAATGATTTCATAGTATGAAAGTTCCCCGTTTATCTCAAACAGTGTTCCCTAACTATCTGAAAATATTACCCTCAAAATGATAAATGCCTATTTTCCCTTCTTTTTTTTTCTGGGTTTATTACTCACAAAATGATAACGCATATTAATTTCCTATTTTATCAATTTGGAATATTTTTGCATCAGCAAGTCAAGGTTCAGCCCAACCAATTCGGTAATTAATCCCCATTTTATGATCCTTGGTTTTCATACACCTTGTTATTTCTATAAAAAACCATTTAATTTTCAAATCAGCCATTTTTTTCTGCCAGCTGGTTGGGGTCACTGCTGATCAATCTGGTATTTGATTCCCATTCTATATATAGTCTTCTGGATTTTTTTCCATCTGAGAGGCTTATCTAGACTCCCTGCTCAAGAGGGCCCATTCTAGAAACCCCCCAAAACCTCTCCTGGACCCTGCTGCTGCGGCTCCCCGTGTTCATTGATCCATCCTGAAGATTTCTCTTTTTTTGCTATTTATGATCAGGTCATCGAGGATAAGTGGGTCCCAGTTGAGCATATAAACGAGATTAAAGGGGCACTTATCACCGCGCTTTCCTCTAAAGGGAGAACATCAGACGCACTGGAGATGTATGACGCCATGAAGCAGGCTGGATGCTGGGTTGAGCCGAAGGCCATTGTGAGCATCATTGTGAGTGTCGATCCCCTGCTCTCCCTCTCACTGTGTTCTCTCTCTCTCTCTCTAAAATAGGCTCTGTTCTTCTTCCCTCCCGAAGGAGTTCTACCGGTCCAGAGGACAGACTAAAAGATTGCTCCAGCTTCTGGCTGAGTTGGAGAACTCGTGCTTGTGGTTTGATGCGTGCGGTCGGGTTGTTCTCTACTGCATCAGAAACAATCTCCTAAGGTTCAGATCATCATCATTATCATCATCATCTTCTTCTTCTTCTTCTTCTTCTTCTTCTTCTTCCTCTTCTTCTTTATATGATGCAGCTCTTCCGTTCTTTCTCCCATGGTCTTCTCCCCTCACCCACCCAGTTCTGTCTCTGGTCAGCGCGGCAGTTGACTTGCTCAGGCAGATGAAAGAAAAGGATGAGGCGGGTACATGCTCTGTTATTGATCAGGTCAGAGGAAACACCATCTCAATTCATGCTTAGATCTTCTGGGGTATTATTATCCTCCGCTTTAATCATTATGGGGGTGATATCTTGCTCCATCTACGTATGTTTATTTTTATTTTTATTTTTATTTCTAAGCGTTGACTTATTCTACACCTGTCTACATCCTTGAAGGACGAATCACTGTTTCTATGCGTTGACTTATTATTATTATTAGTATATTAGTATTTTCTCATGAAGAACTGATGGGGCAGATATTCTGCCAAATTTGGGAGACCGAGCCCACGAACATGGAGATTGGGATGGGGTTGCTCTGGGCCATCAAGGAGGAGCTTGGCCTTCTTCCTACTCGCGCGAGCCTCGACTTCCTCCTCAGTGCCTGTGTTAAGGTGAAGGATCTGAGATCCGCGAGGTCCATCTGGGTGGAATACAGCAAGGCTGGCTTGCCCTTCAATGTCTTAAGCTATTTGAGGTTCACATCCCTCCCTCCCTCTCTCTCTCTCTCTCTCTCTCTCTCTCTCTCTCTCGCTCACTCACTTAGATGCATCCATCTTCTGGGCTCTAGAATTTCCATTTTCCTATTATATTGAAAATTGTTCTTACATCTCCACCGTCAGTCTTCATTTCACCCAGTTATGGGATAACGCCCCTTCTCTCTCTATCTCTCTCTATCTCTCTCTCCCTCTCTCTCTCACACACACAGTTAGATGCATCCATCTTCTGGGCTCAAGAATTTCTATTTTCCTATTAGAAATGCTGGTTTACCCAAGCATGTGATGAACTGCTTTCTCAAAACCCCCACCTTCTCTCTCTCTCTCTCTCTCTCTCTCTCTCTCTAAAATAGGTTCATCCGTTCGATGGGCTTTTTTCCCGGGCCCGGCCCGTTGACACTCTATCAGGAAAAAAGAAAAAGAAAAAAAAGAAATGGAAAATATGACTTTTTTTTTTTGGTTCTCCCCATTGTGGTTCAGGATGTATCATGCTCTCATGGCCGGGGGAGACTTCACCGCCGCACAGAAGATCTCGAAGCTCATCTCCCACGAGGATAAACACGTCTCCAGCATCATCCGGGCCTGCAAGACCGCCTACACGACGCCGATGGATGATCTCCTCCCTCCCTGAAATCTCGGCCGTTTATTCTCTCATCTACGGCCCTGGTTCTCTGTGGATAGCTGATTATGAGAATACTTCACCGATGGCCCCGCTATAATTTTTTTCATATAAATAATTGTTATCAAGAAAAAAATACCTTTCTATTTTTTAATTTTTTTTGTGTGCCGTATTAAGACGAAATAGCGGGGCCCATTTCCTCGGCGTTTTGGGCCGAAATTGGGCTTAATGGGGGCCCAATTGGGTGGGGCCGGGGCCAGAAAACCCGAAGAAGTGTTGGGAATTCCGGTTTTCTGAACCTTTATTAATTGTATTTCCGAGCCGTTTTCATTATCTGAATATTTAAATAATATTTTTCATTTATACCCTTGTTTCTCGCTAAAATACTTTACCGATGTAATTAATTATACGTTCATCCTAATTCCGGGCAATTTTCATCGTAATTATACTTTTCGATATATTTAATGCATCTATTTATTTTCTGAAATTATGCCTCTGAAACTAATTGTATATTTCGTAATTATAATAATTTTAGGCTCTGTACAAAGAGGAGAGGGAGGGAGGAGAGAGAATAAGTGTACAGAAATAGAGAGCGAGCGAGAGAGAGAGAGAGAGAGAGAGAGAGAGAGAGAGAGAGAGAGAGAGAGAGAGAGAGAGAGAGAGAGAGAGAGAGAGAGAGAGAGAGAGAGAGAGAGGGAGAGAGAGAGAGAGGAGAGAGGGGTAAGTAAGCGTTCTGCAACTCAACCCCCTTTCCCCGCGTGGAATCTCCACAGCGGCAGACGCCCTGACGAAGCCTCTTGAAAGAGAGAGAGAGAGAGAGAGCGTTCTGCAACTCAACACAAACAATCTTAACTTTGATCCTTCTCGCCTGGCGTGGCTGTTCGAGGAGCTTAGAAGAGGGGGGGAGAGATTGCGGGATGGCGAGGATCCCTCTCGGATGCGAGCCGGCAGTGGGCTCGCTGGTTCCCTCGAAGAAGAGGGAGTACCGCGTGACGAACCGCCTCCAAGAGGGGAAGCGCCCGCTCTACGCCATCGCCTTCAACTTCATCGACTCCCGCTACTTCGACGTCTTCGCCACCGTCGGCGGTAACAGGGTACGCCGTCGGTTTTCCTCGAAGTAGATTCTCCAGGCCTGGTGTCTCCCTTTCGATAATCTATGGCCGTTTGAGCATGATTCTTAATCTTCGGCGATGGAGCAGGTCACCATCTATCAGTGTCTGGAGGGAGGAATGGTGTCCATTCTGCAAGCGTACGTCGATGAAGATGTACGTCTGGTTTCGATCCTTCAGGCTCTCCTGGATCCTGGTTCACGGTTTAGGGTTTGGAGCTCATCTTTGTTCGTGTGGATCTTTTGTTCTTGTCTTCTCATCCGAAATAGTTCAGAAAGACGAGTCCTTCTACACCCTGAGCTGGACCTGCAACATTGATGGAATTCCTCTTCTGGTGGCCGGCGGCATCAACGGCATCATCCGTATAATCGATACCAGCAGCGAGAAGCTTTATAAGGTATTCCACTCGGTTCTCGTTGAAGGTACCCTCGATCCGGATGATCAATCCCTGGGAATCAATCATTCTCGGCTCTAAGCTTCCTCTCTCTCTCTCTCTCTCTCTCTCTCTCTCTCTCTCTCTCTCTCTCTCATGGTTCATGTGCAGAGCTTCGTTGGGCATGGTGACTCTGTAAATGAAATCAGGACGCAGGCATTGAAGCCTTCACTGATTGCATCGGCCAGTAAAGTAACCGGCTCTCTGTGACCTGTTTGATTAACTGATTCTATAGACGAAGCAAGGATATTTTCTCTGATCTACTGAAATCCATTGTCGTAGGATGAATCTGTTCGTCTTTGGAACGTACAGACGGGCATCTGCATCTTGATCTTTGCTGGGGCTGGCGGGCACCGGAATGAAGTTCTGAGCGTTGTAAGTGGTGCATTGAAGTGGAGATCCCTTCTTTTCCTGGACAATTATTCTTGCTGGGACATTCTATTTCATTTCATTTCATTTCATTATTTCTATCAGAGAATTGATCTCAACACTATACTAATGAAGGGCAATTCCTTGTTAATAATTTTCAACTCCTGTAGGACTTCCATCCCTCTGATATATACCGGATAGCAAGCTGTGGAATGGATAACACTGTAAAAATTTGGTCGATGAAAGGTGGGTCCTTTAAATAATTAATGGAGGCTTCGTGTGGATTATCTTGATCTGACTTTGGGATGCTTATGCAGACTTTTGGACTTACGTTGAGAAGTCATTTACATGGACCGATCTTCCTTCCAAATTTCCCACCAAATATGTTCAATTCCCTGTAAGCGCTATTATTTATTTATTTACTTTTCAAAGCCTTGGGATGTTTTTAGCTTTTCATATCTCTAATGTTGAACCCTCATTCAGGTGTTCATCGCCTCTGTTCACTCCAACTATGTTGACTGTAATAGATGGCTTGGTGACTTTGTTCTTTCCAAGGCGAGTTTTACTGTGTTGAATCTTTTGATGCTCTATTATTTTCTTAGTAGTAAAATTTCGTTGACTTTTTTTGGTAACATATGATCTGTAACGACTTGTAATCATTAAGTGATTTGAATGAAATTGGTTTCACATTGAGTGGCATTTGACTGCCAGATCAAAGATCATTTTCTAAGATGGATGCAAGTAAAAACCAAAGAAATGCTTATCTCACAAGATTCATATGCCAGGAGTAGGAATCGGGACTGCTGTCTGTTAATTAGGAATCGGGTTTCCAAACGTATGAAAGTTTTTTCAGTTTTTTGGTCACAGTGTTCTCATCTTCCCAGGTAACATGTGTCATAAACAACACAGAGCATGTTTACACCTTACGTGAAGGATTAAAAAGTGCTCTTGATTCAAATCCATGGAAAATTGAGTGTGTATAATTGGAGCCCCATCATTAAACATTCTCATGTTATTTTTTCTCTCCTTGTTTTATGTCAGATTTTAAGGAAGGCTTGCTGTTCTTGCGTTTCCTCTTCATTCCCAAGTATTATGTGCTTGCAGTCATAACAGGCAACAGTCCAAAACTAAAAGGCAGATGCCATGCGAATTTTTATGATATATATATATATATATTTATTAATTTCGGAAGCATGGTGGTGCCTGTCTTCCAAAAATAAAATTTTGGGTTTTTCCCCCATCAGTATTCCATTAGTTTCCACGTGGAAGAAAATATGGCATATAAGAAAAATCTCTCTAAATGTAAATTAATATTTTTTTACGTCCTCACTGCGGTTGATTTGATAATTTCCTTCAAAATGCAGAGTGTTGACAATGAAATCGTTCTCTGGGAACCGAAGACCAAGGAACAGAGTCCTGGAGAGGTGATTTTTCCCGTTTATTTTTGTTCAAATATATTTGACCAAATTAACTGAAATTTAGCCTTATTGGAACCGGTTATTTTCGATTTTTTAATGTGGGATTTTAGCGGATTCACTGTCCTGAATGTTTATTTCACATAGGGCACAGTTGACATTCTTCAGAAATACCCAGTACCAGAATGTGATATCTGGTTCATCAAGTTTTCATGTGATTTCCATTACAAGTCAGCAGCAATAGGTAATGATTCTTCTTCTCTGAACGATTTTATATGATATGGAGCAACAGTTTTTTTTGGTATTATTATTTTTTGTGGATTGGTGAAAGGAAACACATGAATCAACCCTTTTCTGGAAGACGATTTCTGCTGAAGCATGAAAATGGTTTGGCTGATCTTGAATCAGTATCCACATGGCACAATCTATTGAAGATGATCAGCATATTCCGAACTAAAAAAATAGGAAAAACCAGCAACAATTCACTGCATTGACTGGAAAAATGCACTGAGAAACAGGTTATTCATGGCATTTATTCAAAGATGGATTGTCAGCAGATGACAAGGGAAGAGCATGCCCTAAAGAGATTATATTTAAATATATAGCATAAACTTGTGGTGAAAAAGGTATTATCTTTGTTTTCCATTCAGATTTATACATTTTATGGGCATGGGCCATGGGCATAATGCATTCTAATAACTAACTAACAAAAAAAATAGAGAAGGGGAGATTTTTTTTGGTCTAAAAAGGCAATTTAGACATTTGTGGATGTGTCACATCGTCATAATCCTTTCTAAAACAGGGAATGGGCAAGGTGAGATCTTTGTTTCACAAAGTTTGAGTTTCTATTTATTGTATGAACTTGGGCTAAGAACCCTTTTACTTTTAATCCCCAATTAATTCTCATGCCCAACAGGAAACAGGGAAGGGAAGATTTTTGTTTGGGAACTCCAGTCCAGTCCTCCAGTCTTAATAGCGAGGTCAGCTTCATCTTCCCCCATCCAGACTGGCTTTATTTTAATAAATTATTCCACTTATTACCATATGTGGCCTTGTACACCAGACTGTCTCATGTTCACTCGAAGTCCCCCATCCGGCAGACTGCCATGTCCTTTGATGGAAGGTATCTCCTGTGGGATGGTCTTCCATCAGCTAGTTGAGAATTTTGGTTTTATGCCATTTTTAGGTAGTCTGACTCCTTTGTGGGCTACAGCATCATACTTGGCTGCTGTGAGGATGGCATGATATGGCGGTGGGATGCCGTTCAGTGAGAAGGTCAACTTGGCCCTGTTCGTCCTCCAGAATCATCTTGGTTCAGTGAGAAGGTTATTTTTCTTGTGTCGTTTTGTTTAGCTGCCCTGTTTGGGTTGTTTCTTGTGAGATTGATTTTGCATGGAATCTCCCTATTTTGGGTGCCATTTTTGGCTACATCTTATGATACCATGCGTGGTTGCAGCCAGGACATCTTATGGCATCATTTTCGGGAACATCGAGGACATCCCATGACATCATTTCTTTGGGTTCATCAAGGAAATTTGATGACACCATTCTTTTTGGGTTCATCGAGGAAATTTGATGATACTATATTTGGCTACAATTTGGTCATTTTAGGATGCCATTTTTGGGTACATCCAGAACATCCCATGAGACCATTTCTGGGTACGTCTAAGACACCTTATGTTTCCCTTTTTTTTTTTTTTTTTTTTGGTTCTCAAGGAAATCTTATGGTACCATTTCTGGGTACACCAAGAACATCCCATGATACCGTTTTTTGTGTTCTCAAAGGAAAATTTAGTGCCATTTTTGGGTACATCAGACATCGTATGATACCATTTTTGGGTACACCAAGGACATCCCATGATACCATTTTTTTTGAGTTCCCAAGGAAATTTTATGGTACCATTTTTGGGTACATCTAGGACATCTTATGATACATTTTTTGTTACACCAAGGACATCTTATAGTACCAAATATTGTTTTTGGTAGCACCGATGTCATCTTATGGTACCATTTTTGGGTACATGAAGGATATCTCATGATACCATTTTGGGAAGACAAAGACATCCCATGATACCATTTTTGGAATAATGTTGACATTTTGGGTATATGAATGATGTTTCATTGTATATATCATTTGGGTTTCTTGGTGACGCTTTATCGGACCATTTTGGCTATATCAAGTGCATATTATCATAACATTGGGGTGCATTAAGGATACTCTTTCAATACCTTATTTGGGGATATCAAGAGCATTTTATCTTACCATTAGGGTTTATTAAGAACACAATGTGAGACCATTTTTGGAGATGATAAAAGGGGCTAGATAGGATCTTATGTCATCAGATAAGGATATTGTTTGGTTTTTGGCCTACATTGTGATCAAGAATGGGGGGTTCAATTGATCTCAACTTATTAAGACTTCTAATTTATTTATTACAAATAGATTAGATATATCCTCTCTAATATTCTTTGTGTTATTTTTCAATTAATAATCTCTATAACTCACAAGTTTTATAGTGATTTGGCACACTGTCTACATCCATTCTCCAAGATCAAATGTGTTCTTGGGTTCCACTAAACTTGATGATTTTATCACAACCATTGATTAATAGGATCAGCTCTCAAAGAGTTTCACCCGAAACTTTTATCTAGATTCACAACTCTAGATGGCCCTTCAATTGTTTAATGAGACAACTTTTAAATAGTAATAAAATCTCATGTTTGTTCTCACAATAGATATAAAAAGAGTTCATCATGGGTTGTCTTCTAGAAGTAAATTTGACTTTAATGTTTTAAATGTCTGATGAAGAGAGGATGATATGTTGTCAAGTGAAGATCGTTTTCTTCTAGTTGAGATATTAGTGAGTATTGAACACTCTTTACGTTTGTGCTTAGTCATGAGGTTCATTCAATATAGTAGTGATTTCTTTTGTATTAACACTTTGTAGTTGTTTGTGCTACCAGCTTGAATCTCTTTAAATCTTTCTTATTGAAGATTACTACTATGTCACCAAGAGGTTGATTAGAGAGAAAAATCGATGTATTTTCATTGAAAGACAATGGTATATATATATATATATATCTTGTACAAAAGTCTTATTGGATCTCTATCATTAAAGAAGAACCAATATGTTTATCATTTATCACATAACATTAATATTCAAATCATATGGGTTCTCATTATTTCATTTCAGATCTAATAATACAAAAAAATATTTTCAATGGACTCCGATATAGTTAAAATATAACCAAGGATAATGATTCAACTATCATCATAATTTGACATTCAATCATTTTCAAATCTCCTTAATCAATATAAGACCCTCAAGTTAAGTTCTTCATTAACATTTTCAACTTTCATGATCATAGGTGAACATTTAACTGATTAATTGTGAATTATAACTTGTCATTTTCAAATACTCATAATGTTGTTTTTGTTAGAGAGAACTAATTGTGTTCATTTACCCAAGACAATATTACCATGTGAAACACATGAAGATTTGTTATTACAAGGATGTAATAAATTGAGTAAACATACTCATATTTCACATTTGGTTCTTTCATTCGTACTAATGTCTTCATCATCATTTCCAAACCACAATATATTATGTAAATATAATCATCTAATCTAACAATATGTATCATGAGAATTTCATGCACACATGTATGCTTAATTTATGAGTTCATCAATCCTTGAACAATGTCATTTTTGTGCAGTTCTTTTTTTTATTCAATTTGCCATCATCAAAACATTACTAATGTAAGACTCCAACAAATATTTCCAACATGAAGAGGGTATTTTTTTAAAATTAAATTTATGTTCTTCATTAATTTTCTTAGTCTTAGTTTATATAATAATAAGAATTTTTTTAACACACCATTGAATGACATGATATCATGTTAATATGTGATTTTCACAAGGATAGGTTGTATAGAGTTTAATACTTAAAGGGGTTTGTCTTGCTGAAATCCCTTGAAAGTAAACTGCCTTTAATTAGAAAAAAACTCCACTCTTTACTATATTTAGACATAAGCCTTTAAATGCCAAATACTATGGTGCTATTGGGGTTTGAAAAATAAAATCACATTAAGAGGTATAACACAAGAAATGATGACGATAATTTAATTTAATTTATAATCCAATAATGCCAAATATCATATTTTTGAGTAGAAAATCATCATATTTACAAAATAGATGGACTAACCTAGGTTGCCTCTTATTCTTTTAAGAATGTGACTAGGTTGACCCTTTCATAAAAATGATGGGAATATAATCTAACTTTTTTCTTAAAATTTTAAAATACTATCCTTGTGAAGTATCTCATTCTTTAAAGTGAAGTATTTTTAAAATAATTTAAACTATTTTAGAAAGTAATTATATTCGAATTACCTCCATGATATATTCATATTCTCTCTCTCTATCTCTCTAAAAGCTTTCTCATATGGGAGAAAATGATGGAGACATGGCAAGCCTACTTTATTTAGCAGACTAATTGAGGAAAGAAATACATTTTCTTCTCAATATCTCTCAAAATGACAATAACACTTTAAGGGTCTTTTTATAAAAAAAATTAAGGCCCTCTAAAATACTTGAATTAGAAAAAAAACCCTATTTTTTCACTCGATCTATAAAAAGCCTTGAAATTTTAGATATTATTTGTACCCACTACCCATGGAGAGTTGACCTGGCATGATGTGCAAAAAGACAATTATTGATGTTAGAAGTATATGTAGATTGTAGTGAACCCAAGAAGGGGCAGCGAATATCTGGGCTTCAATGTTATCTTTGGTGGCGCGGGGGGGGGGGTAGAGGGGCTCAGTCATTTGACCAAGTCCACCCACCATGCATCATCATCTATAGCTTTGTGAGGGGTCCACTCCTAGCCCATTTTTCTCAATTAATGGTGGGTCCACTCAATAAAATGGTATTTTTTAATTATATAAATGATGAGAATATCCTAGGATATTATTTCATACTTTTTTTTTTAATAGTTTCATACTCACTCATAGCTGAAGTCAATTATTTATTCCTAGATCTAACCAAAGATAAGATAAAATATCATAATTTAAGATATTTAGGTGATAAACAAAAAAAATGCAATAATGGAATATTACTACAATAGATTAATCTGATTATTCCCAAAATAATTTTTATTTCTATTTAGACGGAAAATCTGATTATCTAAAATGGATGACCAAACTCGGAAGTACCAGGCGCCTAAACAAAACCTGGGCGTTGACCTGACGGAGGATCCAGAGGCTCAGTTAACCTCACCGCCTGGGAAAATGGGGAACTAAGGATGTTCCGGTTGTCGTCCTCGTCCTCGAGGTGCCCTCGCCAGCGTCTTCTTTGACTCATTCCCTTCACTTCGAGGATCTTGTGGGGCGGGTGAAGGAGAGCATGCCCGGCTGATAAGTGGCGGGGGAGTCTCCAGTAGGGATGGCGGCGTCGACGTCGGACGACGTCGGGAAGGACGAGCTGCCAGAGGCTCTGAGTAGGATCGTGGGTGTGCTCGCCGAGGTCCAGAAGAAATTCATCATTTATCTCAGCGACGAGGTGCGTTCGGCCTTTCCTCCTCTATTCAAGCCCCCTTTTTCTTTTTTCTTTCTTCTTTCTTCTTTCTTCTTTCCCCACGTGTGATTCATTGGCTAGCCCATGATGCGAATAGGCCGCTCGGCGGAAATCGGATGCTGGGATATGTGGGTTCCTTGTGGATCTGTAGCTTGAATAGAAAAGTTTACGCGCACATTCCATTCCCTTGAAAAAAAATGAATGATTGGGGAATTGGACCTCTGGTTGACCCGGATGAGGCGCCTGAATATAGGATCCGACTCGGATCATCCTGGATTGCTTTAATCGGCAACAGGTTTTCTGTTTGTTGCTGAAAAGGAGGATGAACTTGTGACTCTGGCCAACTGATTGTATGTTTCTTCAATTCTGCAAGCTCGGTTCAGCTGAATAGTCTCCATTGCTGAATAGTCGGACCTGTATTTACTGAGACAATGAAGTTCCTTAATTTCGTAAATTTGTCTTACTATACTTCTTTTGACTGCACCTATGAATTTCCATGTTTTCTTGGTTTTCACACTTTTTTGACAGTTTCTGCGACGCAAAATGGCTTCAGTTCTCATTTTGGTCGTTTTTCCTTTATTGAAATGCACCGACAGCTGTGTTTGGCCGTTAAGTTGAGTTGATAGCTTGCCCGTTACTATGCTGTTGACTGGTCTTGGTGACCCAGTGACTAATGGACCTTGTGCTGTTGCATCAAGAGACCATAAATTTGAAGAAAATACTGAATTGATAGAATGTTGGCAATTTTCTATGATGTCGAAGTGTCTTGAACGTTGTCTTTATTGGTATAAAAGGCAACAATCCAGGAAATATCCGTCTAAAACATCCACAAGAGACTGATTTTAATGATAAAGTTTCTGATTTTTTGTCTCAATCTGATCATCATGCAGCGATCTAAAGATGTGCATAGCATTAGAAGCTAACACAATGCTTATGCTGATGGCATTTATCTTAATTTATATGCTGACACTAGTTATCATGATTTTTTAAAAATCTTGTTTATTTTCCAAGATGAGTTTTAAACTCCCTTTGAAACGGAGACATCATATTTGTTTTCCTTAAAAGTTCTCTGTTAATTTTTAACTGAGTTTTAATACCATAATGCCTTATACTATACTTTGCAGTTGCCAATTGTTAAATAACATTTCATTTAAAAAAGATTGAGATGATTTTGCCCTGATCTTGATTAAAGACCAATCAATCGTTCTTTAAACTCTATGGCGCTAGCTAAACCCGGTCAAAATCGGTCAATCCCGATCCGATGTGGATGCTTTTGAGATTTGTGAATAGCTCACGGAGCTGTTCTGAACTAGTTTTTTTAAGTTTTATGTTGCTTATTTCACGTTTTGAAGGTAGCTTTTTCTTTCTTTCTTTTTCTTTCGACAGAGATTCTACCCTTTTGTATCTCTTGCCTGTCTTCTGGTCGCCATACTGTATTCCTGGAAATTGTTGAGAGGTAGACCTCTACCTGAAAACCAAAGGAGACGACAGAGAAGGCAATTCACTTCGTCACCTCAACCCACTGCTACACAGCCTAGCTTGAGCATTTCTTCAAGCAGAGACGCTTGCTCATCCTCTGGTGACTCAGGTGCACAGGATGTAGTGGATGAGTTTTCTAACTCTGCGAAGGTAGGTGTTAATTTTCTTTCTGTTATTTGAGCCCATGTTTTTTTTTTTTTTTTAATTTTTAAAGTCATCACTTTTGCCATGGCAGCCAACTCTGGGGCAGCTTGTAAGACGTAGATTGTCTGGAGGACGAAAGGTACTTGTGTTTCCCCCTCTCTCTGATATTGTTAATGAACAAAGAAAAGAGACGAATTTGACTTAACAGCCTTCATGAACATATGCCTATTTTCATTTACCTTTGGGGAGATATGTTATATTGCATACAAAAACAGTTTTTCAGGGATGTGATGATATTAGTCAACGCTTGCTGTTATTCTTAATGTTTCCTATGACGGTGTGATGTCTAGTTGAAAGCAGCACTTTGGGGCTGATTCTTTTGTCATATCTTGTTCTTGTCCTACAATCATCAGAATTCTGTCTTGACTTTGAGATCAATGTGGGTCAAACCAGAAGATGATGAATTCAAGAGTCAATACCTGGTCACCACTGTTTTGCTGATCAACTAAACCAAGCTCATAGAAGAGATTTCTGGATCAATTTATCTTGTAAACGCCTTCGTGGAGATCACAAAGGTTGACTTCTGTGAATGATCATATACTTGAAAGGTCTTCTAGAGCTTTAATTCTACGGTGATAATTATTTTTCTGTTCCTTTTTTTCATCAGTGGATATGATAATATGATGGCCACCTTAACCTAGCTGAAATTGATACGATGCTTATGAAAAGATACATGGTAGGATGCAGATGCCTGGGTAGGATTTGAAGCAGTCCGTTTTCAAAATTATAGCCTCATATAAGATTTTTTTATTTGGTTTAAATATTAAAGCCTCTGCTGGATATTTGACCCCCTTCTGAGGTTTGTGCTTCGGATCCTACTTGGGGTAGATTACCAGCTTGGGTTATATCCATGGCAGGATCAGTAACTTCAGTTCCTCCTTTCAGAGTATCTCTCTCCTCATCAATGTGAAATAGTGTTATATAATTCATATATTCCATATGATTTACATCTGTATGCTTTGGTGGCAGGTGACATGTCAGTTGCTGGGGGTAATTCTTGAGGAAACAAACCCTGAGGAACTCCAGGTGTGAGAAATTTCCAGCTTTCTTGCTGCAGGCTACACGGCATCCCAACAGAAATGTTTTTTTGTTGGCAGGAACATGCAACAGTGAAACCCTCTGTGCTTGGAGTAATCTCAGAGATTACGAAGTTATGCGATCTTTATCTCATGGAAAGAGTTCTTGATGATCAGAGTGAGGTGAACAGCTATGCCCATCGCACTTTTTTTTTATTTTTATTTTATGATGGTTCATATCTGAGCTCTATAAGCTACCTACCCATTTCTATGATCACATTGGGGCTGGTTCAAAATTTTGGTATCACATATCTAAGTTAAAAAAATTATATTTTTATCATCAACATCTGCTCGAGTTATGAATATGTTTTCCAATTTCATATAACATCAGATTAATTTATGAAATGTTTCATTTAAAATGATGCAAGCTATGCTAATTGGCAAAAAACGAAAAATTGGATTTGGCTTAACTCATTGAGATCTGTTCATGAGTAATCTTCAGTTGTACCCAGCTGCAAGTTTGTATTTTTTCAAGAACGAGTTTGTTGGTTCAGAAGGATTTAATGAACAATCCAATCAATTTTGTGCAAGATCCCAGATCCACACCTTTAGCTTTCCTTTTCTGCAGTCATGAACTGATTTCTCTGTATGTGAACCAACAAAGATCTGATACAAATTTACCATTATGAGGCAAATTTCCACGATTTATGGGGCACATGTTTCTGGATTGAGTCCATGGATTTGCCTCCCCAATATATTATCTCACGCCTAATGTTCTAGATCTACATGCATGCACACTTAGAACGATTGATCTTCCTGATTCATGACACATATCCTTTTGAGTACTATTGTAGGAAAAGATTCTTTCGGCTTTGAGTGACGCTGGAGTCTTTGCATCTTGTGGGCTAGTCAGAGAAAAGGTGAGAAGACAATATCTGCCTCGTATATTTCCTCTTTTGTGTAGAAGCTTTTCTTCTCTCAGATCTTCTGTTGTTGACCTGTTCTCGATTAAACCCTCTGCGGATTTCAGTGTGAGGAAATATTTCTGGTGGATTGGGCCTGCTTTGGGTGGAGAGTTTCAGATCGTCTGAGAGACTCATATCCATCTCCCTCTCTCCCTCTCTCCTCTTTCACTCCTTTCTCTGTAGAGAGAGAAGGGAACATCAGACCAACCTGATCTGGTGATGGGCCTAAATGGCAGAGAACACTTACCCACTAGGTCAGATTTTTTTTCTCCAGTTGGGGTTGACTTCTCGTATCCGTCTCCTCTCTCTCTTCTTTCTCTGTAGAGAGAGAAGGGAACATCAGACCAATAAATTCTAGCATAGACCTGGTCTGCTGATGGACCTAAATGGCAGTGACCACTTACCCAGTAGCTCAGATTTTGTCTCCGGTTGGGGTTGACTTCTTTTATCCCCATTCTCTCTCCCTCCCTGGGTTCATATCGTCTCCAAAGAAGCAACAACTGGGGAAAGCATCTGTGACTATAAATGGAAATAATCATACTACCTTCATTCTTTAGCTTATATTATTCTGATTATTTGGCATATATAATTCTGATTTTGCTTTTTGCTGTGCAATCTGTAGGTCCTCTTCTGTGGTACTGAGAATGGGCGGGCTTCTTTTGTGCGGCAACTGGAGCCGGACTGGCACATCGACATGAATCCAGATGTCATTCACCAGTTGGCCGTAGGTTTCCCTCATCTCATTACTCTCTAATCATATCTCAGATCGTCTGTTTGTGAATTTCCTCTCTTTTTCCATTTTTTTTTTCATTGCATATAAACCTCTTTTTTCTTCTCAGATCGTCTCATCTCAGATCATATAAATTTCCTCTTTTTTCGTTGCATATAAACCTCTTTTTCTGTATAAATTTCCTCTCATATCCGATCGTCTGCTTGGTAATTTTCTTTTTTACGGGCCATATTATTTGTTTTTTAGTATTATAGTCTAAAAACTATTTAATCTATATTTTAGCCACTCTAATCGTTTATAATATGCTTTTTTTTATAGAAATTCGGCCAATTAATTTTCTCCGAACCAAATCTAGTATATTTTTATTTTGGCAAAATATCATATTCATAGTATGCATTTTATATATCTTCTCACCTTGGCCAATTAGTATACGCAACATATTCCATATAGTTTGTTTTATGAACCAGAATATCCATCATATCCTTTTCACTCGGCAAGTTGACTTTTTTTATATCCACCATATTCCTCATAATTTTATTTTAGCAATCATATACCTTTAGAGTATTTTTTTTAACGTTTATAATCCTGGAAACATACCTTTAATTCATAAAAAATAGTCTGCATTTTAGTAATGGAAAGTCAACGCATTACTGGGTAATGAAAACGTTGGTGGAATCTTTGGGCCCCAAAACGTTATTATCTCTGCAGAGGTTCATCAAGTACCAGCTCCACATCTCACCGGAGAAGCATCAGCGTGAGGCAGCCAACATTTTCTCCTCCCCCAGCTTGGAGCTCTTCTTTGGGGCTTCAGAAAGAATCTGAGTGTGCGAGTATTCTCTCTCTCTCTCTCTCTCTCTCTCTCTCTCTCTCTCTCTCTCTCTCTATCTGTTCCATAGTCAGAAGGGTAATTATAATTAATAGCGGTTAATGGGTCTTTGGAACAGCAACGAGGTCCTTCAGCCGACGCCACCATTTTGTGAGGACGGTCAGCACCACTCACGCATATCCATCTATCCTTTTATGTTGTATAATCTTAACTTGGACAAAATGTCAACTGCCCACTCTCCTCTTGTTGAACTTGTATATATTGATTGATTCTCCACGTCTCTCTCTCTCTCTCTCTCTCTCTCTCTCTCTCTCGCTAATTATTCTTCCCTCTCCCCTTCCCACTATTTCTCCCCTTCCCTCTCCCCCCCTCTCGAGCGAGAGAGAGAGAGAGAGAGAGAGAGAGAGAGAGAGAGAGAGAGAGAGGGAAGGGAAACTCCGAGTGCTACTACGATTACCCACTCAAAACCTTCTGATAGACCCTTCAACCCCCCAAATAATTAAAAAAATATCGATTATTAAAAAAAGTAACAAAAAGTAATAAAAAACGCCTTCTCATAACTCTGACGACCCACCAGCCAAAAAAAACACTCGAAAAATTAAAAAGCAAAAAATATTTATAAAAAAAACTTACTCGAGACTCTGACCAGTCAACCTCCGTTCAAGGGCCCTCCTCTTCTAGGCACCTGGGGCACCGACATTCGAAGCCGTAGTCAACCAGCAGCGCCTGTCTCTCCTCGTATGGCAGTTCTTCGTCAATGTACGATATCGTGACCTGCATTCAACATCTCAGCCGACCCACCCACCACCCAAAAATTTATTCTTTTATTTTTTTTATTTTACTGGTATTTTAATCCACAACCACCCTAATTCCATGATTATATATATTTTTAACTCTAAACGTACCTCTTCCCCCTTGGCGATGGGTCTGAGAGCAATGATTGTCGCTTGGCCGTCTTTGTCCTGCGGTTAACGCGATATCAAATCAGTTCCACAAAGTCAACCAACAATTGAATACAAGTATGGACCACCCACCCAGATTCTGTATGCCACAGATCAATCAAGGTAACTATCTGGGCGGGAAGAGAGAGGACTCTCTCTCTCTCTCTCTCTCTCTCTCTCTCTCTCTCTCTCTCTCTCTCTCTCTCTCTCTCTCTCTCTCTCTCTCTCTCTCTCTCTCTCGCTCTCTATGCTGATCAGATTTGATCGGCTAGATCAGGTAGGATCAAGCATAGGTCTCTCAATTCCACAGAATCAACCAACAATTGATACAAGAATGAACCATGAGGGTTCCTTAAAATTATCAAACTAGGTGTCTGGAGAGAGAGAGAGAGCTCATGCCACAGATCAATCAAGCTAGGTATCAGGAGAGAGCGAGCGAGAGAGAGAGAGAGTGACTGATTAAGAGCTCTCTCTCTGTCTCTCTGTCTCTCTCTCTCTATACGGATCAGATTTCTATCAGGCTTGATCGGAAAGATCAGGAAGGATCAAGCAAGGGTCTCAGCCATATTCTTTCATCTGGGAATAAAGTCAAAGCCCTACGCGCATTCCATGATCTCCCTCTGGGTTCTTTGACCCTGAAAAAAATCTCCCATTTGACGATATCCCCCCCACCCGGTTCGTCATCTGATCAGAACTACCCAGATGTTCAGCATTTAGTACATTACTACTGAAGAGCTACTCCCAGTACCAATAATCGAATAAGAACTAATTTGGGTAGAGCACAGTGACTATCATGGAGGTTCTAAGTAGCGAAGTTTGAAGCGATTGTAGGTCAAATAGGGGGGTTATTGACAAATAGCCAGTTGACCTAAGGACACTTTCCTTCATGTCTTCATCCATTTAATAAAACTCGGTAATCCCCCAAAGTCTTGCAAGATTTCAGCTACCATTTAAATTCGATCAGAAGCTCATTTCATACCTCCTCTCTTTTGAATGCTTTGGCGTTCGGACAGCAAGAGTGGTTCATGCAGCTTTGAAGCGGGAAGAATGCTGAGCCTGATGCAGAAAATTAATATAAATTAATCAAGGAGTATACAATTAAAGTTCACCCTTTTCTGAACCAAACCCACTAAATAAATGAATAAATGAATAATACCCACGGAAATATTTTTCTGCAAAAATACCCTTCAGGCCCAGGAAAGACTTGGACCTAAAGTTCCACATATCATCCCCCAAAAAAATATTTTTAGAAAGGAAAATCATCCAAAGAAGTCGAAAACTGAGTACGTGTCTTATGGTATGATATGGGATGGATATAGTGATGGATATTGTGATGGATTTTTACAGATCGCCCCTTAAAAAATATATCATTTTTAACGTGTTTAATGACTCGAGAGGCTCCATGCCATACCTTCACAGCAGACGGAGTAGTCATCTCCCAGGGCATCCAGGAATGGCCGTGTAAGCCTCTCGGCTTCAGTCTGAGAGAGAAAATGGCTCGTTAGAGCAAATACCATCCAATCATATTACGCAGGCAAGATGATTGTTGGATTATACTGACTTTCAATGAAGAGGGTAGATCATCAATATATATGAAGTAATCTTCCACCGGTGATGCCACAACCAAGTCACTGCACTCGGAGACCAGTTTCATGTTCTTAGAACACAGAACAAGGCAATGCCTTGGTAAAGGATTCCTTTTTCCTTTAAAAAAGATATAATTCATGTTGCCATAAAACATTGAATTTCTTGGTTCATGATGCTATTTAACAAAGGAAAACACTCTTACAACGTCAAGAATGACAATCCCAAGCTCAATCTCAATCACAAAAAGAAATATAGCAAGAGACACGTCATCGATGAATAGGTAATAATTGAAAAACTTACAGATTATTAAGCTCAAACATGCCAATTATGTGCCCATACACATCAAGGGAAAACACTGAGATTTCGCGTCAAGGAAAATAAATGAATGGCATCCAATGATCTATGTCAACCACCATGAAACTGATAAGATCATCAATTTAGGATACAGGGCGCACACTCCTGCACGAAGATTGCCTCCTTGAGAAGCTGAAGTGACTGTAAAAATGAAAGCTTTCCGTAATAAACACACCCGAGGAATTGGCCCATGAAAGCAAAGAATATAAAAAAATGATTTATATGGTGTGGGCAAAAGTTCTGAACCATTAAATATGGCACATTCAATTCTCGAGTGAGGTTTGTTTTGAAAATTTAGAAATGTTTCTAATTCCATAACTCTCAAAATTGTGTTGAGGTAGTCAGCCATGTAATTGTCAGAGTCTGCAAAAATGTCCAGAATGAACATTATTGAATCCTTCGCCTCTGGCGCTAAATTACAAGCTATGAGCTGTTAGTTAGTCCTTTGGGAAGAAAAATACTCCTAGTAAGATAAAGACAACTTGCATGACCCTAGGCAGGCCTAATCATGAATAAAACTGATGATTCCTAAATCAAACAGCTAAGATGGCCATTACATGAAGTTCAATATGGTGTGGGCAAAAGTTTATGGTCTTAAAAAACCGGTCCAATTTCCACTTCTAGAGAAAAGATTACAGAAAATAAAGATAGCATGCAAATGGTTTATTCATAAAGTTAGTTCCCACTCAGCCGGACCCATTCCTAATAAAAGATCATCATCGAAACAATGGGAAGATTTATGAATTCACGCACAAGTCGTATCAAGGTGACATGATGATAACAATCATAATGATGATGATATAATACACGGATCTGATATAATAGTTCGATAAATAAAAATATGCGGCAAATAAATACACTAGCCCTATGGTCGGATTTGACAATATCATGTCATAATTAAAAGGTGCAAAACCCTGAGCAACCAGACTTAACATGAATGTAGACACGGGCCATTCCAAAAGGGAGAAATCAGAACTACTAAGTGAAATGGGTTCTTCTATAATCAACTTTAAACAATTTCCAAGGGGCTGTAGCCAACCGAACGATCCCACTACATCAGGACCCTTTTGACATAGCACAAAAGCCATGACTTTACGCTCAGATAGCACTAGATATACTACTAGTATCACATGGATTCAAAACGGTAAAATGAGTCATGAGTTAACTTAGAGAAAAATAACTAGTCTTAAAAACTTCCGCAAAAAGTACAGTAGCCACTTGTTGCAGCAAACAAGACGCCGTTTCTTGCAAATAAGGAAAAAACATACCTTGTGTGCCAGATCCCTTATCTCCATTCTGAATGATACTTCATCACCGAGATCAACATCATCTGGCAGTGCAACACATTCCCACCACCTAAAAGAAGAAATTACATGGGTAATCACCCAGTTAGCTTTCCCAAGAGGCATGCATTGAGCCCACGAGGCAGTTCATAAAAGATAAACAATTTCCTTTGCCTATCTGTATGCCTGCATAATTAGAAAGTAGTAATAATTTGATCAATTTCTTTGAAAAATAATTCGCTTTATAAACAATATTAAACTCACCTTTTCTTGAACCCCATGGATACTGGCTTCCAAGCCTCCAAGAGAAGTGAAAAGCAAGACGCACAGTTTCCATTTACTGCAGCGTATTGTACTTCTCTTCTAAGATGAGACTCTTTTAGCCTTTTATACCTTAAAATGGTTGACGAAATCACCTGAAGATTGATCGAGCATAAATTAGTGATTGCATTTTTTTCTAGAGTAGATACCACAATAAACAGTGTTACTCTACAAGAAGTGAGCTCCGGTAGAATACTCTGTCAACCCCTACTCAAGTAGGCCGTACACAAATACTTAACCAACTAGGCCCTATTGCAAGGAATCTCGTCCAACATGACGTCAAAGATGGATGGATAGCCAGTACTAATTAAAAATATGTTCTGCAACTTGCATCCCTCACTCTCTTCTAAACTCCTAATTTTTCATTCTGGTGACTCATTGGATCAACCTGGTGCTTAAGATAAATTAGGACCATGATGTCCTCGTGCTTTTATACTATATTTTCTAACATCCAAAAGTACGTCAGGTAATACATCTTGGAAAGAATAGCTGGAAAAGGTTGACTATCAGTGTAGGTGTAAACATTGGTATTTTGTTAATAAAACATTCTCCAATAAAAAAAATGAGGGCCTACTTTTTCAAAATGTTCAACTTAAAATGATTTACTTCAGTGGTCATATTTTTTTCCCATCAAGTAAGATTTTTATTTAAAAGTAGAATAACTTCATAAACCTTGCAAACTCATTAGACATCAATCAGCTAGTGAGTTATCTTATAATCCAATATCTTATTTGGGCCTCATGGCCAAAGTTCAGTCTGATATACAAGTATAGCACTTAGTCGTTTTTTCCATATTCTATGTTTAGAGAAAAACCTGTTCCAATAGCTTACCGTCCAAAAGCCTATTTTTCTTATCGTGTGGCTGCCTTACAATCATCCGTACAGCTAGTGTATGGCCTGGTCCATTCGGACCCTCCCTTCTTTCAATTTTTTTTACATTATTACCCTTTTCTCTATGATCAAAAGTACAGTGTAGGGATTTCATTGTTACACAGGGTTTGCTAACATCTCAGTTTAGCTAGCTGGTGCTTAATGATTCGTATATTTATGAAAAAAATATCAGTGAATTAACCTTATGAAATTGGAGACTTTCATGTTTCATATTAATGAAAAGCAAACAAGAATTTTAGAGTGTGTGCAACATAGTTTCTTCCACTTAAAGAAAAAAAAAGATCATATAGGGTTATAAACCCAATAGAGCAAACCATTGAAGCATAGGACATCCCACTGCATGTCCCAAGTTTCTTTTTATTTAGATTACACTAAACTTGCGTCAACTCAAGTTTCTCTTCCAAGAAAAAATACATGTGGTAGGACCCGAGGTACAACAAGATAGAAAAGAGAGAATTACTGCAGTAAAGAATGTAAAAACACGCCAGGTATACTCTAGAGGGCAAACCCTAGAGCTGCAGAGACCATGCTACCCATTCGAGAGGGCTAATTCTCTCCCACAAGCCAGCACCTGCAACAAAATAATCGTTCTTCCCTTTCCCCTCCCCTCTCCAGCCCTAATAACCCCCCTTCTTCCCCCGTGGTCATTTACTCAATCAACCCCGACTTAACCTTCACATAACACACAAGCCTCTACTCCTCCAGGAGTAAGTTAAATTTATTGAGGGCTTAACAGCAGCACCCACAACATTAATGATTTAAAAAGCTCATCACTTTTTTCAATGCTGGCACTCATTCCTTTGATGCGATTTTCTCAAGTCTACCAAGCCTTTGTTAATAAAATTTCTCTTCAGAAATTTCTTGTATACCTCGTTTACTGTTAGTCCGTAAAAAGACGTGGGGCATAAGAAATAAACTGAAGATGACATCTAGATCAGCATCATCCATGGGAGGTAGACCGCCTAGTAATGATAACACAAAAACCACATATAAAGGGGAAAACTCAGAAATCGCCCATCTATGCACCCCTTTCTGAAAGCTGTACCTTAACATGATAGAATGATAATACACATGAGAGTAACAAATTAAAGGTAAGTCCGCATTCAGAATTGAAAACATAATCCACATTATGACGTGCAAATAAATTTATTACATAACTAGAGAATGAATATTTACAGGTCTTAGATTTGTCAAGATGGAGGTCGGAATTTACCTTTGCAGCAAGAATAAAAATGTCATTTGTTTCTGAAAGTGAACACAAAACGTTAAAAATCAATAAGATATCCTAGCGACAATAGGTGGATAGAAAATCGTTAAATTGTTACGGGAAATAAACATCAAGTTTATAATCGTATCTTACTGTTAGCATGCTCCATAAACTTGACAAGTGCCTCCCTTTGAGAAGGATCTGATTTATTACCCGTACAAAGCAAAGAGTGGAATGATTCCCAATCAGCTTCTGCACATAATTCACTGCAGAATAAGAAGCTAGTGAGTCACCCGTGATATCTAAGGATCATCTATGTACCATCAATATCACAAGTACAGCACAAATTGAGGGCAAAACCATGAATCCATTTCCATCGTTCTGCTTGATCATTCTTTATTGCCAGTCTATAATCAGAGAACTGGAAGCATTGAGAATACACATAATCTACTCAACATCAATGCATTATGAACCAATATTTGCATCTTGACAGAAGTTGACGTACAATCTCGCAAGGTTATGTAGCATATTAGTTAAATACACACTACCAGCATGATCTGTCGATGCAGTTGATAGTGTTTAGTTCCCCCAATAACAAAGAATCAACAAACGGCAATATTACACAAATGTTCACGCACATGACTAAATGAACCGTGTCATGGCCCCTCATTTTCGATTTGAACCCCAAAACAAGCCATTGAAAACTTCTCACAAACTTTTTCCCAATCAAGGGGTACAACACTGTTGCAACGTAACCAACATAGTAAAAAATTGGCACATTAAATAAATACTTTTTTTATGATTATCTAATAAAGAATACACCATGACAAGTAATCAATGGATTCTTCATTAGAAAGATACAACTGGCATGGTTCTGAAGAGAGGATAAATATCAGAATGAAAAGGAAAAATTAAAAACGAAAATGTGAGAGCAACCATTCTACGTAATTCCTAAATATACTTGAAATATTTTCTAGGTCCAAAGTCAAAGAATATAGTTATAATACTTCCCATCATTCTTCCACTAAAATGACTCCTTTTCGAGCAGTATATGGGCAGGGACCCGCAGAAACTTATCAAATATGGAACATCCCCTTCACCACTTGAGGCCATCGATCAACTACTCAGGGAACGAGATGCTATCCTTAAGATTTTGAAATTCAACATGCACAAGGCACAAGTGAGTATGAAATTTAATACAGATAAGCATTGTTGAGAAGTGGAATTAGAGGTGGGTGATTTGGTCTTTCTCAAGATCAAACTATACAGAATGAAATCTCTGGCGAAAAAGGAAAACGAGAAGTTAAACCCCCACTATTTTGGTCCGTATCCTATTATGGAAAGAATTGGACCAGTGGCATATAAACTCCAATTGCCCGACCATTCAGCTGTTCATCCAGTGTTCCATATATCCCAACTTAGGAAGACACTAAGAACAGACAACAGAAGCCAACCAATTCCCCCCACACTATCAGAAGAACAAGAATGGATACACATTCCAGATGGCATAAAAGCTCACAGGTCGACTCCTCAAGACACAGATTTTAGTTTCATGGAAACATCTTCCAGAGTTTGAATCGTCATGGATGACAGTATCAGCATTCTTGCGACAATTTCCTACATCTCACCTTGTGGATGGACAAGGTGAAACTCATGGGGGAGAGTAATGTTACGAAGCAAACCGTCGACTACACAAGACGACCTAGACCCACGTGGAGGGGGGACCACAAGAGAATAATGTACTGAGGCCTATAAATATAGAAGAGGCCGAAATAAGAGGGGGGGAGAAAACAGAGAGTGGAGGGGGAGATCTGTCCCTGGAGAGGTCCGATTCGGGCTCTCCTGTTCCTGAGGATCGATTCAACCTCAGGAACTCACCCTACTGTCTGCGAACCTATATTGTCTTTCCAATTTCATTTTCAATTGTTCAATCTAGTTCTTCTATACACAGAGACCTGATTCCCTGAGTGAGCCTCGTCTAAGGTAAGATTAGAGTGAAGATTTCGCCCCAAATCTTGAGAGGTTCGTAACACTTTATCTCGGAAATGATTTTCAAATCAATAAATTGAGGTTCCCAAAAATTTACGTCTGTAAACTAATCTACAGGCCCAAAACATGATGGTGGCGTTACTCCGTATCTAATGGCGTACACACACTTTCAGTAGATAAGCACCAGCATGGCACAATGTCCATTAGTTTTTTGTAGTTTTCCTTGTCAGGAAAACATTCAATGGTGCAAGGATCATGGTGTTCTGACATCTTCAAATGGAAACTCCAGCTTCAGAAGCAACACAATTCTTATAATTGTCTAACATTAGAAAATAAACAAAACTCTGCATATTTGCGACGGTCTAGTCATTACTATTGGTCTTGAGTTAGATGACCCAATGTTTTACATGATATCAGAGCCAATGGTTGCTCCCAGTTTACGTTTATTCCTTGTGTACTGTCCACGTGACAAAATCCAAAAATCTGCCTGCATTCAATACTCTCGCATTGAAGGAAACAAAATAAAATCATGTGCTCATACATGCGAATAATAGATTCCACGAAAAGCTTCCTTGACACTTTTTTATATTATGTGACGTTTAAAGAGTCAGCCGAGCAGCATCTTCTGAACACGTGCTTAACAGTCATAACTCTATTGCATCTAATTCTTGATGAAATTTCAACGAAAATAAGGACGCAATGAAGCACAATTTTCTAACCTGCAGTAATGCTCTTCTCCACAACCACCATTACATGAAAAGACTGGTGGCAGGGAGAACTGATCTGAGTAAGGCAAAATTAAATTGCGATTCATTAATGATGCTAAAACTCCTTCAGGGATGGCATTTTCCTTTCTACTGCTAGAGGAAGAGCCCTCCGAGTTGTGATTCTGATTGGAGCTTTCTACATCCATTGAATCAGTTTGAAAATCATCTTCAGAATCATTGGCGAGGGTTTCAATCCCACATTCATGCTTAACCGATAATCCCAGAGCTTGCAGATAAAGCTTCCTCCCAATCTGAAGTTCTACAGATCCAATGAACCGAAAACAGTAGCTACAAACAAGACAGTCAACCTGTGTGTAAAGAAAAGGGAGGATACGTGAACAACCAAAAAATGTACTTTACCCATAGCAGAACACACAGAGAATCAACTGATGTAAATATAGCCGGAACATCTAATGGCATAACCTTATTAGAAATGTGCTGTGAAGCAACAAGCATTTGGTCCTTCAAAATGAGTTCCTCTTCTCTAAAGTCTACATTTGCATAGACACCTGTCGTCAAAGTTCACCTTGAATCACACACCGTGTAGGTCGTAAAAATAGCATAGCTGTCCCTTTCCCAGAAGAATAAGATGATAATCGAACCAATGAAATTTAGACAAACCAGGAAGGGCATATAAACTAACTATTTCACAAAAAAAATAATAAAAAGTTAGTTAGTGCCAAGAGAAAGCTGTACGCCAGCGATGATTCAACTAAACTGACCCTCCTTGTTGGCAAACAGGCCGGGATAGGAACAGTCAAAAGTAGTCTTAACTTGAAAACCATTTGCTCAGGCTGGGATTCAGCATGCCTAAACAGCTTGCTCCATAATCAGGGGACCATCAACCATTAAAATGTAGTAGTTCAACTAACGTCAGGTAACCTCTGCTAGTACGAATTCTGGGTTGCTTTTTCCATTAAGATTTAGGAAGTTGGCTCAGGAAAATAACCAATAACAACGTGTTGACAAATAATTTGAATCCTTAACTGAATCGATATAAAACTGTTCCTTTTATGAGGCTGGTGACGAAATGATGATATAAAATCAAAAAACTAGTCCAACAGCAGAAATTCATCAACATATGATCGATAGGACAGAGACAATTTAGGGAAAAAGAAAATTATCCATAAGGAAAAGGATCCAACGTTTGGGTCACCAGAATGATACAAGATTTATTCAAACATGACAAGGAACATTATTTCACGAAGAACATAATGCTACCACATGGACCATGATCAGTACATAAAAATTTAGCCATGGTTTATAGAATACAGCCACCAATGTGAAGATCTACTCTTTTACTTGAAGAATATCTTCTCTAGAAAGTTTCAGAAAGCACAATATTAGACGAATATATAACAACCTAAGCAGGTCTGGCGCTCTCTAAGTTCCCCTTTGTCCGAGTCAATCAATCTTCATAGAGACAAAGTTAAAACATTGTGAAAATAGCGGGATATGGACTAAGTGGTTTTCACGTTGAGGTATGCAACAAAGCTGGGAAGGATGGGGTATTTCCACTCCCCGGGATGAAACGCTCCCTCAAATTGATTAGAATGTATTGCCTCCACTAAGGATCTCATTCAAGGTTATTATTCTCGGTTTCAAAAAAGTATCACTAGATACAGGAATCTACATCTAACACTATCAGTGAACAAAGAACAACAACTTAAACAAGATAAGAATGGAGCTACGTAGAAGGATATCATGGAGTGATAAATATAAATGGAAAAAATCCAGGAACCAAAATATGATACCTTTCCCATATTTGCCATCTTTTACTTTGATTCCATGGTTTTGCCTTCTTATTATATCATCAAAGTACTCCTGGTAAAAAAGTGGGCATTGCCAAGGGTAAATTAGCATTAAATGAACAACAAGAAAGTTTACATATATATTAAATATGACCAGTAAATCAAGCTTGATTATCTAAATTTATTCATGTTAGTGCAAATGAAAACCCAATAATTAGAACACAAATAGCAAAACACCCCAGTCCAATACATACTAAACTAAATAAAATGATAAAGTGGTAATAAGTTTTAAAGAATCAATTGATTCATGGTTAAATCCCGCCATGATGCATTTTATGACAATTTTAACTAAGCATGAAAGTCGCAGTTTTATACTTTTAGAAGAAGGAAACATAATGCTACTTGAGAGTTTATATCACAACGTTCACCAATCACACACACTATTCTGAAACAGTTCATCTAGCATATTACGAAGCTGCTCATAGTCTACAGGGAGTGAATACACCCCACGGACTCTAATTTTCAAATGTTGTCGCAACGTACTGCTCAATTCCTGTTGAACGTAACCCGATTGGATGCTGAGAGAAATGGGAGAGCGGTTGCGTGGAAACCACTTACCATTCATCAACTTCTACTGAAACCTCAATTACAAAGCTTTACTGTTATGCCACATGTCGAAATTATTTTCTGCATTATCGTGAGATTAATTTTCTTTCGCCACCTCTCCCCCCATCCCCAATCAGCCAAAAAAGGGAAACTGATCAAACAATGTATCCACCATACTAAGAGGCAACTGGGAGACGAATAAATCAAGCAACCTGATTCTCACCATTACGGCTAAACAAGGAGTATTTTTCAAAGGAGAAGAAGACCAGCCATCCCTCACCAGAGAGATATGAGGCATCCAGACGCCGCCTCTACTCTAAGTGCGCGGAGAGCAACTCACCTTCTTTGATTCAGGAGACGGAGGAGCGAGAAGCGCAGCTATCCGATCAGCAAACTCGACGTCCAGCGAACAAGGAGATTTCTCCATCAAGGGAAGAAGTGCACAGAGAGAGAGAGAGAGAGAGAGAGAGAGAGAGAGAGAGAGAGAGATTGAAGAGCGAAAGAGAGAAAGCGAGAGAAAGAGACAGGGAGAGAGTAAGGTTTTGCGGGGGCTTAAGAAGGGTGATAGAGTGCTCCCCGTATTTTCTCGTAGGGTTCCTCGGGCGACAAGATCCCACGGCCAAGACGAGGCCACAGGATTTTGATCTGGCGGCCACTAGCTTCTCGTTTAATCTTCCAAATCTAGCATCTTCGGTTTAATCATACATCGCAAAACAACTTACCGCCATCAGGGGAGAAACGGGACCTTCCTTCTTTTTAAAATAAATAAATATATAATTTATTAAATTAAACGGAGAAATAAACTGCTTGCATTGAATGACGATGTAAGGAGGTTGTATGTAATGCCGCCCATAATTATTATTTTTTTGACCATCACTTCCGTCATTAATATTTTTTAAAAAAATCACTGTCGTGAGTAATGTGCACTTTTTCGTACTTTCCAACAAGTTTGACTTTTCCATTTTCGAATTAAATATTATTATCATTATTATATTTTCAAAAATTTTGAAAATATATTTACAAAGTAATCCACGTTGTTAATTGGCACTAACCTTATGATAAATTAAAATCATTAATTTTTTTTATTTCTTTTGTACTATTTACTTATTACCCCCAAAAAATGGCGTTACTAAAAAGCATTTATTAAACATATAAATTATTGATATTCAATGGAAAAATCAATGATTCCACTGAATGTGGTTTTGGTCATGTAATATCTATTGTTGTTGGTAATTAATAGTCTTTTACCATTAATTATTTAATTAATAATATTGTTAAAATCACTTCTAGAAGTACTGTGCACTATCTACTACTTTCCAACAAGTTTGAATTTTTTTATTTTCCAAATTAAAATCATTAGAATTTTAACCTTTTGACTTATAATTGAAATATATTTATGAAGTAGTCCAGGTTGTTGATTAACACTAACCTTAGATTCATCCCCATTATATGATAAATAATAATCATTATATTTACTATTTACTTATTATCTCCCAAAAAATGTGGTTACTACAAGGCCTCTATTAAATTATATAATTTATTAAAGTTCAATGGAAAAAGAAAATGTTGTCATTATATGTGATTTTATTAAGATAATTCTAATGTTGTTGGTAATTAATAGTGTCTTCCATCACATATGTAATTAATAATTTTTTGAAAATAATTTATGTGACTAATGTACACTATTTAGTACTCTCCAACAAGTTTGACTTTTTCATTTTAAAATTAAAATCAATAGAATTTGAATCCATTTTTAAAGAAATGAAAATATATTTACAAAGTAGCCCAGCTTGTTAATTGGCACTAACCTTATGATAGATCAAAATTATTATTTTCTTATTGACCTTCATCTTTTATTAATTAATTATTGCCCCAAAAATTATGGGTTAATACAAGGCATCTATGAAAACTATAATTTATTAAAATTAAGTGGAAAAGGAAATGTTTGCATTAAATGTGGATTTGGTTTGGTAATATCTAATGTAGTTAGTAATTAATAGGTTTTTGAAAATCATTTTTGTGACTAATTTATGCTATTTAGTTCTTCATGACAAGTTTGACTTTCAGTTTCAAAATAAATATTTTTGACTTTGAATATTTTGATTTGTAAATAGAAATTTTATTTGGTACCATTTACTAATAACCCCCGAAAATGTAAGGCATTTATTATAATTTATTAATCTCAGGGACACAAACTATAATGATAAGACTCCCGGGGCTAAAAATTGATTATGAGCTCAATGGAGCTTTTCGTAAATGACAATTTATCATGGAAAGTTTGATTTTTATACGAATAACCATATTCTGGGGTGGACCCGGGCCGGTGGATGGCTGTCCGCAGGCCCGGCCCGCCGCCAGGTTCCTGTCACGTTGTGGGGAGGGGGACGGATGATGACGTGGCATATTCTGGGCCCCACCACCGGACTTGACCTGGCCAGTTCCCCCGGCCCGAGGTGCGCTCCCAAGTTTTTCTATACGTATCGGTATTTAAGTAAAACAATACTGAACAGGGATATTTATATAAAATAACGAAGAGAGAGGAGGAGGACTACCTTCGTTGGCTAGTCGTTATCGCGGTCGAGTCTAAGCCCCGTTTCGGACTTCGTCTCCTGCTGTTTCATTTGGTGGCCACATTAGACCCCCCGGATCAGAGTCTACCAGACGGCAGCTCCCCACCTTCCCTCTCTCTCTCTCTCTCTCTCTCTCTCTCTCTCTCTCTAACTCTCTCGCTCTACAGTTCTCTAGTTCTCAGTCCAGTCTTGAAGCCCAGAAAGCCACAGAGGAAAGCAAGATCCTGGCACTGCGCAGAAAACCTTAAAAGAAATAGAGGTAAGAGGAAGGAAGGGCCTCTGACCCTCCTGGTTCCTTTCTCGAACCAACTCGGCCGCGCAACCCTCGCCCTAGAGCTAAGCAACGGTAGGTGGAAGGCGGCAGCTACACCCAAACCCACCACATCTCGTCCTCATCCTCCTCCTCCTTCCACCATAGAGAGAGAGAGAGAGAGAGAAACAGAGCTCTAGAGAGATAGAGAGAGAGATGCAGGTCCACGTTTTGCAGGGCAGGAGGCAGTTGAGGGTGATCCCGGGGAAAGCGGTGAGGGACTTCATCAACATGGGGGTTGGCTCCGGCCGGGTCTCCTGCCGGAAGGTCTTCTACTCCCTGCTGTTGCTGCTGCTCTTGCTCCGCTTCTCCTTGTTCTTCATGGCCAGCGATACCATCGAGGGCGACGCCGTTTGCTCCACCGTAGGTAAGAGACGAAGGGCTTTCACCGTTTAATTCTCGCGTTTGACTGTGGATATCAGATCCTGTTTTCTTCCATCGCCTCGTCCGATTTCGCCCCTAAATCGCAAAGAGAGCTGGTTCGTGTTCTTCGCCTGTTTCCCTAGTCGCCTCCGAGGTGAAAGCTCGGGAAGCTCCAAAGACGGGCAAGCCGGTGATGGCAGCCCCACGGTGACCGATTCAATATTCCTGAGGCGGGTCTCCATTTTCTTAAAGCATTGTAGCTTTCGATCTCAACGTCGCGTATTCGTGAGCGCGTAAAACCTCATCTCCCGGGCCTTTCAAGTTCGGTAACCGTTCGTCATCAGCGGCTTAGAAACTTTTCTCGTTTATATGCATACAAAATCAGAAAAACCTAGCTTTATACAGATTACTCTGATGATGGCAACAGACCATTGTCTCGGACCCCCACCTAGCTGAGGTCCAACTTGGTCGTACATACGTACATTTCTAGAGAGAGAGAGAGAGAATTGGTGGTAGGAAGGGTTGCTATCTGAGTGGTTGAACTGAGAGAGTCATGTGATTATAAGTAAGCGAGCTTTGCCCTGGATGGCTGGGCCAGGCCGCCGACTCGCCGTGGTCATTGGCGCCGCCAAGGTATACCATAAATACTCGAACTTTGGAAGTACCCATGTAGAAATATTAATCTGAATTCAATATCTAGACGTTCCTCTCGTTTGAAACGTCTTGGCACGTCTGGGCCATGCATTTCGGCAATAGGGCTGCGGTCAATTTGTCGTCTTTGAACCTGTCAAAGTTTCGCCTTCCTTCCAGGTTGCGTGGGAGAGAGGCTAGCGCCGAAGCTGTGGGGAAGGCGGCTGGAGTCAACGGTAATATCTGAAGATCACCTTCTTCTTCTTCGCCCTGAATCTCGTAGCACTGAAGCTTTCTTCTGCTTTCCTGTTTGGGAAGATTGTGGAAGAAATATGCCGGGCCTTGGAAGAGGAGGGGAGCTCGGAGGTGGAGAAGGAGGCGGGAGCGGCGGAGTCGATGGAGGAGTTCGCTAGGGAGATGAAGAGCAGCAACCCCGACGTCAGTACCTTCGCTGTGAAGCTCAAGGCCATGGTATGGACTGATCCTCCTCTCCTTACTGATCAAGCTTTCGAAGAAGATACACTAAATAATGAATTGATCACGAAAATGAGCAGCCGATGCGAAAATCTCAGAGATGCTGACCTCGCAGTGGATTAGTGCAACGGACATACCCATTAGAGAGAGGGAAAGAGAGAGAGCGAGGGGGAGAGAGAGAGAGAGAGAGAGAGAGAGAGATGGAGACTGAGGGAGAGAGGGAGATAGGGGGAGAGAGAAGAGAGATAGAACGAGAGAGGAGAGTAGAGAGATAGAGATAGAGAAAGAGAGAGATGAGAGATAGAGAGAGAAGGCGACAAGAGAGATAGAGAGAGATAGAGAGAGAGATAGAGAAAGAGAGCGAAGAGCGAGAAGAGAGAGAGAGAGAGAGAGAGATAGAGAGGGGGGGAGATAGAGAGAAAGAGGGGGGGAGATGGCGAGATAATTAGCTGGCCTATTAGACCGCTGAGCTTCTCAAGACTAACAGTAATAAAAGATTCTCTGGGGGGAAGTCATCATCATAGAATAGTGAGAACTTTCCGGTGCTGTTTTTTCCTTCAGGTCTCTCGTTTAGAACGGAAGGCGCGCACCGCCAAGATTCAGGGGTACCTCTACCGCCACGTGGCGTCCAGCAGCATCCCCAAGCAGCTTCACTGCCTTTCTCTGAGCCTGGCCGACGAGTACTCCAGCAACGCCGCCGCCCGCCTCCAGCTCCCGCCGCCGGAGCGGGTGCCGGCGCTTGTCGACAACGGCTACCGCCACTTTGTCCTGGCCTCCGACAACGTCCTGGCGGCGGCGGTGGTGGCCACCTCCCTCGTCCGAAGCTCGGTCAACCCCTCCTTGGTTGTCCTCCACGTGGTGACCGACCGGAAGGCCTTCGCCGCCATGCACGCCTGGTTCTCGCTGCACCCGCCGGAGCCGGCGGTGGTGGAGGTGAAGGAGCTCCACCAGTTTGACTGGTTCGCGAGGGGGAAGGTACCTGTCCTTGAGATCATGGAGAAGGATCGCGCCGCCAGGGCACAATTTGGCGGCGGGTCGTCGGTGATAGTCAAAGCCGCCGCCGGAGAGAAGCCCTACGTGGTGGCGGCCAAGTTGCAGACTCTCAACCCCAAATACTACTCGGTGATGAATCATATCAGAATTAATCTCCCCGAGGTAAGATTTTGATGGTGATGATGATCCTCTATTGAGAAGTCTAGATACTTCGAGAACCTTGAGAAAGCCAAAGAGGGTCTTCTTCTGCTGCAGCTGTTTCCCAGCCTCAACAAGGTGGTATTCCTCGACGATGACGTCGTCATTCAAGCCGATCTGTCGCCGCTGTGGGAGATCGATCTCCACGGGAAGGTCAACGGCGCGGTGGAGACTTGCAGAGGGGACGACAGCTACGTGATGTCCAAGAGGCTCAAGAACTATCTCAACTTCTCCCACCCTCTCATTTCCAGCACGTTTGACGCCGACCAGTGCGCTTGGGCTTATGGCATGAACATCTTTGACCTGGAGGCTTGGAGGAAGACGAATATTACCCGTACATACAATCACTGGCTCCAGAAGGTGATACCCATCTCTCTCTCTCTCTCTCTCTCTCTCTCTCTCTCTCTCTCTCTCTCTCTCTCTCTCTCTCTCTCTCTCTCTCTCTCTCTCTCTCTCTCTTCTCTCTCTCTCTCTCTTTCTCTCTCTCTCTCTCTTCTCTCTCTCTCTCGCTGTGTATACATATACAACTTCCGTCTTCCCCCCCTCCCTCTCTCTCGCTGTATACATACACAACTCCTTCCGTCTCTTACCCTGTCTCCTCTCTCTCTCTCTCTCTGTATACATATACAACTCCTTCTGTCTCTTCCCCTCTCCCTCCCTCGCTCCTGTACCTTCTCTCTCTTTCTCGCTCGGCCCTACTTCCGAATCATCCCTTTCTGCGGATCTCTAACTATTGTGTGATATTCTTCCCTGTAGAATGTGGAGTCCGACTTGAGCCTGTGGCAGCTGGGGACGCTGCCACCGGGGCTGATAGCCTTCCACGGCCACGTTCACATAATCGACCCCCACTGGCACATGCTGGGACTTGGGTACCAGGAGAAGACGAGCTTGGAGGACGTGGAGTCGGCGGCGGTGATCCATTTCAACGGCCGAGCTAAGCCCTGGCTGGACATTGCCTTCCCGAATCTGCAGAGGCTTTGGACAAAGCACGTCAACTTCTCCGACAGATTCATCAGGGCCTGCGATATCAGAGCCACCTGAAGAGAGACCAAAATGAAGGCGAAGAGGGTGGAGAGGAGGAAGGAGGTTGAAGAATACGATACGAAAGATGGAGGAGACACAACGAGGATGGTCTTCCTCTGGGATACGTGAAGAAGACGAGTATCCTTCATGGGTCTCTTATTCACTGTTGATAACACAGTTTTCTTGTTTTCTTTTACATGATTTATTGGGTGGAGGGAAAAACGAAAGGGGATGACACACGTTCGGGAGAAATATAAGAGTGATACGTTTGATAGAAATAAGTGAGAGTGATATGTTTCATCGAAATATTACCTTTCGTTATCTAAATCTCTCTCTCTCTCTCTCTCTCTCTCTCTCTCTCTCTCTCTCTCTCTCTAGTTCTTCCTCTCTCTGAAACTCTCGCTTTACTTCCCTCCGTCCATTTGTCTAGATCTCTCTCTCCCCCTCTCATCCGCCATTGGCCATTAAGGATCGAGATATTACCTTTCGTTATCAAAATCTCTCTCTCTCTCTCTCTCTCTCTCTCTCTCTCTCTCTCTCTTCATCGCTCTTCCTCTCTCTGCAACTCTCGCTTTCCTTCCCTCCCTCCGTCTGTCTAGATCTCTCTCTCCCCCCTCTCAGCCGGCAGTGGCCATTAAGGATCGAGGTCAACGCTCAAACAGCGGGGAACAGGACCATCTAAGTCGCGAACTGCTACATGATTTGATAGCCACAAGATCCACGAGAGTAAAAGGGATACGATATCTCAATTCTCTCTCTAGAGAAAAAGACCACCACCTACCTTCGAAATGGTAACTTCAGGGAAACATGGTTAAGTTTCGGTTCAAACATCATTATACATAGTTATGTCTGTTTATAAGTGTCTGAGACGATCGAGATGGATGTGCTAAGACTGAGATGAACTCGCCGGAGGATCCAAGCCGTCGAGCATCTCCACGGGGAAGTCGCCGAAGAGGCCATCGGCTGCAGCGGGCATCCCATCGTCGAACTCCTGGCCGCCGCCGCCGCCGCCGCCGCCGGGTGGCGCCGCCAGCCCGTCGGAGAACAAGTCAAACTCCGGCACGTCGTGGGCCAGGGACTCCGGGTCGAAGTCAACCCCGTCGAAGTCCGTGGCAAGGTGGTGGGTCTCAGGGAGAAGCGGAAGGTCCAGCAGCGCCTGCGGGAGTTGGAGGTACGAGAAGTGAGGGGGAGGATCGATTGGCCCCCACGGATTTCTCTCACTACCACCACCCCACGAATCCGGCGGCGGAAGTGCCGACCCATAACTGAGGGGCTCGAGGGGCCCTCTCGCAGGAGATTGGCGGCTTTCAAAATGGGACGAGTACTGTTCTTCGCATGTCATGAGCGGGTTCGCATTTCCCTGCTGGACAAACAGAAATTAAATACTCATCTACGTATATATGTCTATACATATTTGGAGATAGATTGATAGATAGAGAGATAGACGTAGATAGAGAGAGAGAGAGAGAGAGAGAGAGAGAGAGAGAGAGAGAGAGAGAGAGAGAGAGAGAGAGAGAGAGAGAGAGAGAGAGAGAGAGAGAGATAGAGAGGAATGCGCTGGACCTCGAAAACTATGCGTTGTTCATGGTGAAGAGAAGGGCATTTCCGATGCAGGTCCTCCGAGTTGGGGCCGGACTGCGCCTGGAGGAGCCTTGCGAGTCTCTTCTGCCTAGTGCTCCAGAAGTTCTTCACGTCGTTGTCCGTCCTCCCCGGCAAGTAGGTGGCGATTCTGGCCCATTTATTGCCGAATTGAGCCTGCAACTCGATCACTATCCTCTCCTCCTCCGCCGAGAACTTGCACCCTCTTCATAGAACACGAAAAGCTTCTCCATCAGGCACAATTCTCTGTAATCTTTTCCTACAATCCTTGGCGATGATGATGAGGAGATGGAGGAGCAGGGAGGATTACGTCTTTAGGTCGGGCTTCAGTTTGTTGACCCAGCGGAGGCGGCAGGACTTGCCTGACCTTGGGAGGAGGCCCTTGGATCGAATGGAGCTCCAGTCACGGGGGCCGTACTTTTTCACGTACTCGATGAGGACTTCGTCCTCCTCCGCCATCCAGGGGCCTTTGCGCAGCGACGCCGCCGACGTTGAGGCGCCGTCTTTGCGTCCCATTTCATGCAATGACGGGGTCCGCCGTCTTCTCGGCGCCTCTGCTCAGAGCCTCGCTAAGAACCCTAGAATGAAGAGGAAGAAGAGAGGGGGAGAGGAGGAAGAGGAGGGAGAGGAAGGAGTGGGGTGAGGGAATGCCGGGCCGTGGGAGTGTTCGAAATTTGAAAGGCAGAGTGGGGTTCCCCCATGTCCAGAGAGTGCCGTCTCTCTCTCTCTCTCTCTCTCTCTCTCTCTCTCTCTCTCTCTCTCTCTCTCTCTCTCTCCCTCCCTCCCTCCCTCTCTCCCTCTCTCGCTCTCTCTCTCTGGATGTGTGATGGTCCGATAGAAGCCGGCCCACTTTGTGGATGGGCTAGATTAGCATTTACTAGCTCCAGTTGGGAAGCCGAGAAGCTTCAAACCGTGGCCCAAAACCTCTAAGCCGAGAAGAATTCCTACTTTATTCTAATATTTTGCGGTCATTTAATAATCCTAATTAAAATGCTACCTTAAGATTCTGGGGTGAAGTAAAATCATATTTTTGCATCTACTTGTAGGCAAAGATATTATCTTCTTAACCTATTGCGGTATGACAGCTAATCAAATGATTTCTGAAAAATCAAGATCAATTGAAAAATGCCACTTATAGCATTTTTTTACAGTATACATAGTAAGAAAATGATATATATCATCCTGGGAATATATGCTCTCATATTATTGGAAAAATTATCCTAATAAAAAAAAAATTATATATTCTGATTAAATCATTCTAAGACATGGTCTTTTGTTTATTGGGTATGTCATTATGATTGCATGATTCAGTTATCATTCCATTAAACTTAAAGTTATCAATAATTTTAACCATAAATAGAATAATAATAAAATATTTATAGCATTTTTCTACTGCACATTTTTTTTTTCAAATATTTAGAACAATAAATTTGGAACTATAATGCCACCTAGAGCATTTTTCAAGTGTATATACTAAAAAAATATGGTATGCTATCATATTATTGACAATTTTTTCCTTATAATAAATAATGTATATATTTTATTTAAATCATTCTAAGACATGGTCTTATGTTTATTGGGTATATCATATGAAAGTATAATTCAGTTCTCATTCCACTAAACTCAACATCATCAATAATTTTAACCATAAATAGCATATCAACAAATATTTAGAGTATTTTTTTACAAATATTTACATCAATAATTGGAACCATAATGCCACTTACAGCATTGTTTTCAAGTATATATGCTAAAAAAATATGATATGCTCTCATATTATGTGTCAAAAACCTACCCCAATTGTAAATCATGTGGATGGGCTACACTAGTATTAAACTTGAATGAAATGAGATCAAACAAGAATAAATAAATAAATAGGGAAACAAAATTGAAGATCATCAAAGGAACCACTAGAGGACAGCAATGTATCTGTGAAGATTCACGAGAGAATATTGTATATGGGGATATAAAACCTAGAACATTCATCTAAATACTAATAGAAACCCAAAGTGCTCAGACTTCAAGTTGTTTAGGTTCTTTGATGATGATAAAACTCCCATGAGCTCCTATATCATCCTTAGAAAGTTGTAGGTGGATGCCACAATAATCTGTTAGAGTAATATCCAATAGCATATCACATTATGTTATTATGTATTTGATGGTATGTTTTCCTTAATTGTATATATGTGGCTTTGTGACCCTAGAATATTCTTCTTTATGAGAGAGACATATGAATATGAATGAGACTTGAAGATTGTTGAACTATCTCTAGACATTAGTTATAATAGCAGTTGGTACTAAAGTAAATATAAATTATAGGAATGTGGCTCTAGGAAAATCTAGTGAATGGACCAAAAATCTATTCAACCATTCTTATTCTCAACTACATCATCTTCTTGAAAGACGTTTACACCCACCACCGCCTATAAAAGAATGGTGAGGCCAGTGTAATTCAGACATGTCTGAGAAGATCTTGTGTTTGTCCAAAAACACCACTCTTCATACATTTCCTCTTAGGATGACATGATTCATCACAACTTAAGTCAATTCAAGGAGCAAAGGGTATGTATGACACTATAAAAGAGGGCAATATTAGAAAACTCATAGTTTAACCAATTATGATTTAGATGGTATATCAGATTTTGATGATTTTTTTCAAAAACCCATTGATTCTTGTTAAGAAATGAGACCAATTTATTGGGACTTGATGGGGCTACAATGAGACCTAAAATCACAACGTAGAAAGAGAGCACAAGGAGAGAATGTTTACAATATTAAAAATGATAAAAATAAAGAGCAATATGTTGAAAGAAAGATACCACACATTTAATGTGAACTAAAGAGAAGGGTTTTAAAAGAAGGAGAGTGTCTACTATTACATATATACATGGAGTTAAAGAAGTTCTAGCTATAACCATCAGAAGGGCCAAGAAAAGAGGCTAAAACCCTAATTTCAATTGTCAAATAGAAGAATGGGTTTTCCTAATTGATTTCTATGTCTTTCTCTCTCCTTGAGCCCCCTTTTAATATCTACATTATAAAAGGAATGGATTAGTTTTGTACCTAAAAGTAATCCCTAAAATAAAAAAAAGGGTGGGGCGGAGGGAGGAGATAAGGTACATACAAACCTCTCCCTAAAAGGGGGGAGATGACCAAAGTCAGACTTACAATTTTGTGCTCTCATTTTGACATGAATAATGGATTTCCCTCACTTTGAAACAATGGTGACTACAAGTCATCAATCCCTTTAACACCTTCATGCTCATGTGCATAAATAAGCATTTGCAAAGTAGTTCTAAATTACTAGATCCAGACCTTGTCCAGCCTATACACGGTTTGATGTGTATTACGTAGTTGAAGGCTCACCAAGTTTAGCATAAGCCCCTAATTACCTTCAAGTTGACTTATAATACTTTTATCATTGTTTAGAGAGAGAAAGAGAGAGAGAGAGAGAGAGAGAGAGAGAGAGATAGAGAAATTTAGAGAGTTTATCACATGATTAAATATATGTGTAACCCTTGAAAGCTCAAATTTAGTCCAAATAGGCATTGGGTGGCTTTGGACCAATTTTATTTATTTATTTGATTTTGGTGACCTCCAATATACTCAAGAATCAATGAACAAGGTTGAAAGGCACATTTAAGCATTAACAGTAATATATATGAATCTTATTTCCTAAGCTTTTGAATGAGTGCTTAAGAACATTGACTTCTGATATGATAGAACCCTCCATTATATCAATTATCTTAGGGCTTTATTTATTTCTTGAGAAGCTCAACAATCTATTTTCATTATTTTAAAATGGCAAGTTCTCAAGCCCTTTTCATTTGCTAATTTGGGAGATATTCGCTACAACTTTTCATCCATCAATCCTTAGGTTTTTAGTGTTGATCCTCAAGTCAAAGGTTCATATGTCAGGTTAACAATCTCATAAGTTGTGACTAATGGGCCTAAATTATTTTGACATTTTTCAAGTGTTGACCTTTTGTATTGATCTTTCCCCCATTACAATGAGCCCATAAATCTCAAGTCACCATTGTCAACAACACTGGCATTGACTCTAATTGATTTTAGTTTTTAATTCTTCTTTCAGTGTTTCTTATCAAATTGTCTAGGTCTTGGACTTTGACTAGAAAAGTCAACCTCTATGAATAAAAAGAGAGACTATCTAGACAAAGACTTGTTACCCTCTTCATCTCTCTTATGTATAATTTTCTCACTCATTTATGACCCTCAAGAGACTTCTATATGCATACATATTATTAAATATATAAATCACAGACACAACCAATTACACCTATAAAACGAAGGACTTTTGTTTCTCAAGAAGAACAATTGAAGATCAAGGATCGGCTGACAAAAGAAATAAATTTGATGAGATATGATTTATTTTTATCTAACATATCAATTATAAAATTGCATTTTTGCCTAAACTAAAAATAAAACATGAATTCTCTATTTCTAAATCTCCGGTTGGGGTATATGTGATGAATCCATAAGAATAATTAGATGACTTTCTCGCCCTAGAACAGGTCAACTCGAAAAGGCCTATTTCCAGTTGACTCGGTGGTTCGTTTCAAATTGCCCGTAATATTTTGTAAATTCCTTATCTGCCCCTCCACTGCAAGATTTCCCGACCACCGTCTCCGGCGGAGTACCCAACCACACCTCCTCCTCCATGCAGAGACAGAGGAGAGAGAAAGTTAAGGCGGCGGCGGAGGAGGAGAACGAGAACGAGAACGAGAACGAGGGCAGATGGACCTGACACTGGCGGCGGGATTCCCCTCTCTCCGGCCATCCTCCGCCGCGCGGGAGGCGAATCTCACCTTCCCAAGGGCATCCCTTTCTTCACCCGCCACCGTCTCCCACCGCCAGCAGCAGCGGCCGCCGCTGGCGATATCTTCTGAACTCTCGCCGTTCAACCAGAGGATAGAAGCTCTCTGCAGAAATGGGAACCTCCACGGTGCTTTGCAGCTCCTCCGGGATTCTCCCGCCGGCCGGCGGCGGTCGGAGGCCACCGCCGTCCTCCTCCAGGCCTGCGGCGACCAGGGAGCTCTCGACGTCGGCCGGCAGGTCCACAGAATCATGAGCTCGGAGGGGTTAATGGCGGATTCCGTCCTCACTACCCGTCTCGTCACGATGTACGCCACCTGCGGCTCCTCCGGCGAGTCCCGCGCCGTCTTCGACAGCCTGGAGAGCAGGAATCTCTACCACTGGAACGCGCTCATCAGCGGGTACTCGAGAAACGAGCTCTGGGAGGAGGCGATGGAGGCCTTCACGAGGATGCTCTTCACGACCGATCTACAACCGGATGGCTTCACTCTACCCTGCGTCCTCAGGGCCTGCGCCAGGGTTTCCTCCATGGAAGCGGGAAAGCGCATTCATGGAGTCGCCGTGAAGATAGGGCTGGACTGCGACGCATTCGTCTGCAATTCCTTGATCTCTATGTACTCGCGATGCGGGCGTATAGGTGAGGCACTCCAGTTGTTCGATCTTATGCCTCAGAGAAACCTCGTCTCTTGGAACACCATGCTCCGTGGGCTCTCAGAGGTCGGCCTCGCTGAAGACTGTCTCCATCTCTTCCGACAGCTGCTCCTCAGTGAAGAAGAAGAAGAAGCTCTGCACCCAGATGATGCGACCTTGGTCTCGGTGCTGCCCATTTGTGCAGCAGAAGGGTTGATCGAGATGGGGAGGTTGATTCATGGCCTGGGACTGAAACTGGGCCTGATTCGTCATCTTAGGGTAAGCAACTCACTGATCGACATGTATGCCAAATGCGGACGCCTCGTGGAATCTCAGTCACTGTTCAGGGAGCTCGACCAGAGGAACGAGGTCTCCTGGAACACCATGATCGGCGGGTTCTCCAGGAGCGGAGAGGTACGTAAAACCTTCGAACTGGTCAGAGAAATGGCCGCCAGCACGGAAGAAGCCATGGACGAGATCACCATCTTGAACGCCTCCACGGCCTGCTCAGAGCCCGCCATGATCCAAACCTTGAAGGAGCTCCATGGATACGTCATCAGAAACGGGATCCAATCCAACGATCTTCTCTCTAATGTCCTGATCGCTGCTTACTCGAAGTGCGGGTCCTCCAGGACGGCGGAGGAGATCTTCTTCGCCATGGAAACCAAGACGGTGAGCTCCTGGAATGCCCTAATGGGCGGCTACGCTCAGAACGACGACCCGCAGAGGGCGGTGGATTTACACATCCAAATGGTCTCATCGGCGCTCCGGCCGGACAAGTTCAGCGTCGGCAGCCTCCTCTCGGCCGCCGCCCGCCTGAGATATCTCCGGGGAGGAAGGTCCTCCCATGGCTTCATCCTTCGGAACGGGTTCCAAGACGACTCCTTTATCGTTGTCTCCTTGCTCTCCTTCTACCTCCAATGCGGGGAAGTGGGTTCTGCAGAGATCATTTTCAACAGGATGGGGGAGAGAAGCTCCGTGGCGTGGAACGCCATGATCTCTGGCCTCGCCCAGAACCAGCTTTCTGGCGAGGCCCTCTGCTACTTCCGCCGGATGCTGGCGGAGGGCCGCCGGCCCTCCGCCATCGCCGCCACGGGTGTCCTCACGGCGTGTGGGCAGCTGTCGGCTCTGAGACAAGGGAAGGAGCTGCACTGCTTCTCTCTGAAGGCGGACCTCTCCGTGGACTCCTTCGTGGGCAGCTCAATCATCGACATGTACGCCAAGTGCGGCGCCATTGACGCCTCCCGCAGATTCTTCGACGGGTTTCAGAAGAAGGACGTGGTCTCCTGGAATGTGATGATAATGGGGTACGGAATCCATGGACAAGGGCTCGAAGCTGTGGAGCTACTGGAGCGGATGGAGGAGGTGGGACCGCCGCCGGATTCCGCCACCTTCCTCGGGCTGCTGGTGGCCTGCAACCATGCCGGCATGGTGGCTGAAGGACTTAGATACTTCGAGGAGATGAAGACGAAGCACAGGGTGGAGCCGAAGATGGAGCACTACGCCTGCATGGCGGACATGCTGGGGAGGGCCGGCAGGTTGGAGGAGGCGGCGACGGTGGCGAAGGAGATGCCGGCGGAGCCCGACGGCCGCCTGTGGAGCTCCCTGCTCGGCGCCTGCAGGAACCATGGCGACGTAGAGATGGGGGAGAAGATCGCAGCGAGGTTGCTGGGGATGGAACCGCAGAAGGCGGAGCACTACGTGCTGGCCTCGAACCTTTTCGCCGCCTCAGGGAGGTGGGACGAGGTGCGCAGCGTGAGGAAGACAATGAAGGAGATGGGCCTGAGGAAGGAACCCGGATGTAGCTGGATCGACGTCGATGGTAAGCTGTACGAGTTCGTTGCAGGAGATTTCTGAATCAAGATGAAAGAAGCCCGCTCAATGATCAGCAGCAAGATGGAGTAGCAGATGGGGAAGAAGAAAGAAGCAAACAAGAACTAGGGTATGGTTTTTTTTTTTTTTTTTTTTTTTAAAACAATTAGCCGATAAATCCGAAACTGATTTTGGATCTTACCTTCGGATTTTATCATATTTTTCTACTTTTCAATCTCATCTTTCTGTTTTTTTTTTTTTTTGATATAATCTCGATTGACTTTTGTTTAAAACGATTGCAGATTTAACGATCCATGGAAATTTCCCAGAAGAGGAAAGAGAAACTTACTGGATGGGCCTTCATATCTCCGTTCTCTCTCTGGGTCATCTCCTGCTCAAGCTCCTGCGATTCTCTCTCTCTCTAGCTTCTTCTTCCTTTCGCTCCATTCCTTCTCTCGTTCCCTCTCATGGGTGCTCCTTCGAAATAGCATGCGGTTACCCTCCGCAGCAGCTCTCTGCCGGAACCTCAGAGCTTCCCCCACATCGCCGGTGGCCGAAACCAGCCCGAGGAGAGCGGCGGAGCAGAACTGCCTGGCCCTTCTCGAGTCCTGCAGCTCCCCGTCTTCCCTCCATCAAACTCTAGCCCAACTCCTCAAGTCCGGCCTTCAGGGCAACCCCTTGGTGCTCACCAAGTTCACCGCCACCTGCGCCGCGGTCGGCAGCGGCCTCGACGCCGCCGTCTCCCTCCTCTTCTCCCCCGGCGCCGCCACCCACCTTCGCGACGTCTTCCTCTTTAACACCCTTATCCGAGCCCACGCCCAGTCCCGCGATTCCTGCCCCGATGCTGTCTCCTTCTTCTCCCTCATGCTCCGCCATGGCGTCTCCCCCAACAAGTTCACCTTCCCGTTCCTCCTCAAGGCCTGCGCCGGCCATGGCAGCGTCGCTGTGGGCATGCAGGCCCACGCCTCCGCCGCCAAGCACGGCTTCGCCGGAGACCCATATGTGATGAACACCCTCATCCACATGTACGCCAGCTTCGGGATCGACACAGTGAGCTCTGCCCGGAATCTGTTCGACTCAATGCCGAACACAAGCTCGGTCTCATGGAGCGCCATGATCGGTGGCTATGTCCGGTGCGGCCTCTGCAACGAGGCGGTGGCGCTCTTCCGCAGAATGCAGGTCGCCGGCGTCCCTCCAGACGAGGTCACCCTCATCATCGTCCTCTCCGCCTGCGCTGACTTGGGCGCCCTCGAGCACGCCAGGTGGATCGGCACCTACATAGACAGGGAGAGCGTCCCGAAGACTCTGGAGCTCTGCAACGCCCAGGTGAACGCCCTCGCCAAGTGCGGCGACATTAAAGGTGCCGTCAAGCTTTTCGATCTCATGCCGCAGAAGAGCATCGTCTCGTGGACCTCGGTGATCGACGGTCTCGCCATGCACGGCCATGGCAGAGAAGCCGTCGCTGTCTTTGAAAGGATGAAGAAATCCGGCGTGGCCCCCGACGATGTCACCTTCATCGGCGTGCTCTCGGCCTGTAGCCATGCCGGCATGGTCGACGAAGGCTGCCGCTACTTCGCCGCCATGAAAGAACAGCACTGCATCGACCCGAAGATCGAGCACTACGGCTGCATGGTGGACCTGTTCAGCCGGGCGGGCCTTCTCGAGCGGGCGGTGAGCTTCATCAGATCGATGCCGATCGAGCCCAATCCGATCATTTGGCGGACCCTCGTCGGCGGGTGCCGCCTCCACGGCCATGGCGGCGCAGGCGAGAGCCTGTCCATGCAGCTGATAGCGGAGGAGCCCGCCCACAGCTCGAACTACGTCCTGCTCTCGAACGTCTACGCCATGAGGAGACAGTACGAGAAGAAATTCGAGGTCCGGAGGAGGATGAGCGAGAAGGGTATCAGGAAGGTGCCTGGTTGTAGCATGCTGGAACTCGGAGGCGAGATTCATGAGTTTGTGGCCGGCGACAGCTCCCACCCGCAGCACGGGGAGATCATGGCGATGGTGGAGGAGGTGGACCGGCGGCTGCGGCGGGCAGGCTACGTGCCGGCCACTGCCGAGGTGCTGCTGGATGTGGACGAGGAGGACAAGGAGGGCGCGCTGTGCCGGCACAGCGAGAGGCTGGCCATCGCCTTTGCGCTGCTGCGGACGGCCCCCGGCACGGCCATCCGGGTGGTGAAGAACCTGCGCGTCTGTGGCGACTGCCATGAAGTTACCAAGCTCATCTCCGAGCTCTACTGCAGGGAGATCATGGTGAGGGACCGGACCCGCTTCCACCTCTTCAGAAACGGCTCCTGCTCCTGCAGGGACTTCTGGTGACCGCATCAAATCCATCACCCAGAAGATGGGAAAGGAGGAGGAGGCCCGGGTGGACCCACAGAGGTGACTATCTATCTTCTCCCTTCTATACGACTCTCTCAACCCCCAACACCCACCCAATGCCATTTATTCAAGTTAACTCGATCAAATGTTTTTCTGATTAATGAATCCCACTTCGTGGAAATTATTATTTTTTTGACACATTTACTACATTCAGATACCATCTTGGAGTGAATCATGTGGGAGGAAATCTTCCAAATTTGGAAATAAATGATTAACATATAATTACTTTAATTTAGACTGATTAATACATTATATTATAATATTATGTCATCATACAAGGAACTCAACATGAAACCTAATGATCTTGAGCCTACAAAGAAGGTAGTTCATAGCGCCCCATCTAGGAAATATCACATCATTGGGTCAATAAATTATATGGGGAAACTTGGAGAGTTAAGAAATTACGTAATGTAATAATATAATTTTAAAATACCTAGAAAATAGTGGGAATATCAGCAAAGCAGGGAAATAGATAATTATTTTAATTTAAACTGGTTAAATACAAAATATTCTAATATTATATTATCATACAAGCAATTCAATAGGAAACCTACTGATCTTGAGCCTTGAAATAACGTAGTTCATGGCGCCCCATTTGGGACAAAACAATAAATTACATGAGAAAAATTACGCAATATAATATAATTTAATTTAAGAACTATTAAGAAAATAGTGGGAATATCGGAAACTCAGGGAAATAGATGAAGAAATCAAAACCATACTATCGGAGTCGGCCACTACATTGGTGCAAACGGGCTGAGTTAAATGGCCCATCTTGAACTCAGCTGGTTCAGCTACTGGGCTCAAGCTGAACCCATCTTCTAGAGGACCGTTGAATAAGATCATGAGGTTGAGAGATGAAATGGACGATCGTGATTGGGTTATCGCATCAATGCTTATCATCAGGAAATGAGTACCTTCGGCTAGCTTGAGTCCCAAATCCTTCAGAGCTCTTCTTCTTCCCTCTTAGCGCGATTCCCATGGCTTCCAACGTCTTCAGACCTCTCCCAGTGCAGGTTTCACTGGAGAAGCCTCGCTCTCCACGGCCACTGTTTGCCATCTTCTCCTCTCAGGCAATTGCGTCCCCTCTCTTCAGCTCTCGGAAACCCCTCCGTTCTTCTGGGGTCTTCGCCCTGTCGAGAACCCAGGAGCAAGAGCCTTCTTCCTCGTCCTCTGCTGGGCCATCACCGCCGGCGAGCAGAGAGGAGGCCGTTCGCCAGGCCAAGACCTGCCTCTCCACCACCCTCCAGAAGCCCCTCAACAACATCGTTCCCCTCCCCAGCAAGAAGCTGAAAAGACAGAAACAGCCCAAGTTCCGCGTTGAGATACCCGTCGCCGACGGCTCGCCGGATTCGCTTGCCCAGCTCGCCTTCGAGGTCTTCTCCGAACTACCCATCAAGCGGAAAGGCGCAAGACCTGCAATTCTGATGGTCTGGCCCGACTCCGAGACGGCGGAACGTGGGCGCCGAGCTTTCGCCGCCTCCGACGAGTCCAGGGGGCCGGCCTTTGAGAACTTGGCGCTGGGTAATGTCAGCTCTGGGGATTGGAGTTCTGCTGATATGGGGGTGTTCGTCGCGTCGGAGGCCGCCATGGTTGAGCGTGTGAGGAGTCTCAGTGACTGTCTCTACCCCAAGCCCGTCGTTCTGTTCAACCCCAACTGGGGATTCGAGGAGGAGAACAGTTTTGATCCGGCAATGGGGGCCTTTGCTGGGTCCTTCGAGGTGGTCTATTCCTTCATCGGATTGGAGGCGAAGGGGCTTCTCAGTAAGAGGAACGCCGTGGTGTTCAGGTGCGTGAAGGACGGCATCTTCAGTGGAGAAGCGTGGACGGTGCTGGTGGAGGACGAGACGAACAAGGGTGAGCTGAAGGTGGTCACGAGATTCCGGAAGCGGCCATCAATGGCGGAGGTGGAGAACGTCCTCTATAACCTCATGGCCGCAAATTCGCCCGTCACGAAGTCTGTCAAGTTCCTGAAGGATCTGGTTTCGAACGTGACTGGGGGAAGAGGAGGAAAGTAGGATCCTCTCAGTCAGAGTCCCATCCTTTTTCCGTTCTTCCTCAGACATCGGACCATCTACTGCTCTTCATCGTCACCTGAGAAACCCTTCACGCAGCTGGATGAGATTCTGTGATTCGGAAAGGCATCAAGAAGACTGTTACAGGAGGAGACTAACCTCCGAAAGCACCTGATCAGCAGAGGCCAAGGAGACGGAGGCAAGGTTTCCTTCAGGTTTCCGCTTCGAGCCCAACATCACTTGCAATGCAGGATCAAGCACAGAGATTTAGACGGCTCGATTGGCACTATATTTCATCCGACGACCTTGGTTTCTCCGCCGTGGTTCCCACCCATCTTCCTTCATTCCCTGGCATCTGGGTCTGATTCTATCACTTGTGCAAGATCCTTCCTTTCATGTTCTAATAACTCCCCGCATCTGCTGTTCTACGGGAGGTTCAGAGCAGTGGAATTCCCTCATGTTGATTGCCAATTTTGGAGTTCCTGGATCTTGTGCATGTTAAACACTTGCTTCTAAGCTTCCACAGTCATCCCAAATTTATGTTAAGCTGTCATTTTCTCAGAGATCTAGACCCGGCTAGTCCAGAGTATGGTAGAAGAAGCTCAAGAACAACCATCAAGATGTGCAGGCTTTGTCTCACCCCTGTTCCTTAGTACTAGAAAGCACCGTGTACCGACACTCACAAACCTAATTCTAAATGTTCATCAGAGTAATGAGAAACTTTATTGAAATCACAACTAGATTCAGTTCTAACTCTGCAAAATTGGTGAAACTTGCGACTTAGTTTTTTTTTTTTAAAGCCCTTTATTGTATGCATCTGATTCCTCCCTCCTGTTTTATTGGAGCAGACGCACCCAGATATGGAATGTTTTAGCGTGGGGATCTTGAACATTATCTAATCAAACTAGGGCTTAGGGAAACTCTGTGGTGGCCGTTTAGTGTTCGAGGGGGAAACTGATTAATGCCATGATGAACAAAGGCTCACTCATCTTTTCTTCATAAAAACATCAGTAAAACAGTTTTTTATGTAGGTAACATGAATTTTATTAATATTCCTATGCTTTGAATTAGGACGGCGGCCTGATTTTTGCCAGATTTACGTGCAGAAACTCAAGAACAACAGTCCAAAAGGGCCCAGATATGAATCCTGAGCCTTTGGCCTGGAGAACTTACCAATTTCATTCACCAAGTCCAGAGACATAAAGATGAATCCAAAGCAAGGGTTTCTCCTCTCTGAATCTAGATTTCAGAACCTTCTGTCTCGAAGGCATCTCTGACCATGAGCCATTTCCAGCCTCGCCATTTACATAGCTCGCTGAATGAGATGTGTCCATGCATATCATTCTCCTTGGTCGACAACCAGAAGCGCAACATTACCGAGTCCCATGTGTTCATTGATCCCGAGGGTGGAATCTTACTTATAATTCTTTGATGAACTTCCTCGATAAAGAACTCAGACCATGATCCAGGGATAGATGTGGGCAAAATATAATGTCCCTCGAGGCTTCCTTCGTATACCTGGCCGTGATTAGGTTAGCCGAATTCCCATCAAAGATAAAACATAAAGCTTAGACATTGAGAGATTCATCCTCTTCTTCTGCTCTAGACCAGTCTCATGGAGATCATCAAGATAGTCTCATGAATCGGACTAGATTTGTTCATGGAAAGTCACTAATGTAATGGAGGAGAGATGAGCTGCTTCTGGTTTATGAATTACGATGCCGCTGACAGGAATCATAAAAAACATTAAGATCAAGAACAGTCAACAGTTACACATTAAAAAAATCATAATTTTTGAAACTTAAGAAAAAATAAATTTGTTTTCTCAAGCTGGGCTACCTCTATATGAAACTCATCTGATAAAATATTCTTCCAGCTGATTGGCCATGAGCTTTGGTTGGACATTAACATCATCTGGATAACAGTGGAAAATCAAAGGTACCGCAAATGTGTACTTGATAATGAAGGGTAAACAAGATCACAGACATAGAAAACCCCATCATAAGCACAATAAGAGTTCGGAATTGTATCATCATCATACCACGATAAATTTAACTAAAGTTTTCGAACACGGAAACAAGGTCGGAATTCATCAACTCAAAGAGACTCTCCGATGTCAAGCATACTTAAAAGGGTTTCTGGTTTCCTCTTTTTTATTATTATCGCTTATTTAATTTAAGTTGATGCACTTGACTGATTTGACTCATTCGATGTCAATTCGGATCCTGTCGGAGGCTCTCGGGCAGTACAAGAGGCTGTGGACGATGTTCCATCGCCGCTCCATGGTGTGGCCGAACTTGGACGGCTCCCTTGAGACACATATGATGAGCTCCCTGAGACTCCTCGCAGTCGTCAGAAGGAACTCGACGAACTCGACTTGGTTCATCTGGCCAGTGAAGCCCTCCAATTTCACGTACCGGAGATTATCCTCCATGCACGGGAATGGTATCTCGAGCTCCTTGTCCCAGAAGGCTGATCCGCCGATGGCCTTCCGCAATGGGAACTCGTAACCCTGCAAGTCCAGCCACGAATAGAACTCAGAATCCATGGCCGACGCCTGTATTGGAGAGAAGAGCAAGTTCTCTCACATCTAAGCGCTTCTTATCAGCAGACAGTCTGATGGTGAGAGTCTCTAGTAGAGTGTAGCTCCTCAGGAGGAGGGCTATGCCGGGAATCTCTTCTCTGTGGAAAGCCACCCCGTTTATGATCAGCTGTCTATGATTGTATTCGCCCACCGTCGGCAGCCTTCCTGGATCGTGAACCCTTGGTATAACCTTAATAAATCGAGGATGTCAAAGTTAGACAGTGATACGTATTAATGCATCGAATCCGAAACTAATCAGCAACTAAATAGGGTAAGCCGTTATATTTCAATAAGATATTTTCTAAGAAGTCACATGAACAGTTGAAACGTAAAAGAGTTCGTTCGTTGAGATCAATCAAAACTTAGTAGGTCAACGGCATCAAGGTGATCCACGTAAAGTGTTGCCTCTTCTGACGTCAAATGAAACGATCATAGAGCCTGTGTTGATGAATCACCTAATGAGGGAGGAAGAAGGGCACCTGAGGGAGGTAGCCGCAGACGGTGAGGGTCTCTGCGTTGTAGATATTCTGCAGAAGATCTCGCAGCGGGTCACCTCCGTCCATGAAGTCGTCCTCCGTAAAAGAGACGTCAACGTCCACGATTCTGGGAATCTGCTCGATCTCGAAGGGCACGACGGCGCCACAGTAGTGGAAAGACTCCAGGGCCGGGGCATGAACGAGCCTGATACCTATATCAAGTGGGAGGCAGTTGTCAACGGTCAGCTTCCGTAGTCCACGGCTGCAGCCTGCGACGTAGACTTCTGCTATGTCGAGGTGCTTCAGATAGAGCTCTTCCAGGAGAGGCAAGTTGGCCAAGAGCGTGTGGAAGGTCCTCTTCCTTACGAAGATCCTCGAGAGGCTGAGGCGGCGGAGAGCATGAAGGCCGAGGAACCTATGCGGCAGGACCTCGCAGGCCGACAGACTCAACGAAGTCAGCGACTGGTGCAATTCGAATATCTCCGCCGGCAGATTGAACTTGCCGTTCCCGAAGTCAAAAACCCAGTCTGTTTCGGGATCGGAGAAGTCAAGGTCCAGAGACGCCACCTTCCGGGAAGTCGCTGCCAGGATCCACTTCCACACCTCGCTGGGGTATTCCTCCGGGAAGGAGAAGACCAGACGGAAGCTCTCCATCCTGGACTCCGCGTAGCGAGCGGCGAAATCGCCGGCGAACTTAATGAGGAGCTGCCTCCCCGTCCGTTTCGGGTCCTCGGGGGGGAAGATGCGGCCGTCGGCCGTCAGGAGGCGGCGTTTCGCCCCGAGGGTGAAGAGGGACTCGTCCAAGTCAATGGAGCGGCAGCGAAGCCACTGGTGGCGCCACCGCCGGCCGAGGCCGCTCTTCATCACCGCCTCCTTGAAGGTCATGAACGATAAGATGTGAGCAACTACCTCGTCGGGCAGGGACTCGAAGCCAACCACCCTCCGCAACTTCTTGCGAGGACTCTCCATGTCGGACAGGTAGAGTGAGCTCCTGACTCTGCATTGACAGAAGATCAAACCACTGTTAACATTGGTGGCGGGCTCCGATGACGGCGGTGGGGAGAATCTGGATCACCGGAACTCTCCACTGTACTACTAACTTGCCTTGAGTGGCAGAATATGGCACCTCCTGCCCAACTACGACTCTCCTCTGAATGGTGAAGAAGATCAATAATAAATAGGCTTCATCCCTACGGCTCGACTATCTCAAGAGGCTGGACTGCGCACAAACAAGGGCAATAGTTTACAAGCAAATGAGATATCCTCCGTCATTCTGCATTCACATTGAATGAAAATGCTGGAAAGGAAACCAAAGAAATGGCCAAAGACCCCTCTAGTAATATAAATTAATTATTTCAAAGTAGGAGTTTTTTTGGGTATATATTTAGTATAAACATATGGGTAAGTTGAGACGTGTTAAGAGAACGATATGAACACATACATCAATCATTGTTAATGAAAATCCTTAACAACAGTGTCTCCCATTTATGATCGTTGGAACAACCCAAATACTAGAAATATACTAGAAAGTTACAACCCAAATACATTTTCTTATCATTGACCACTGTGGAAGATAATCAATAATCATGAATTATGAAAAATCAGATGTAAATATTCTACAAATTTCATTTCCTTTTATTTTCCACTGTGATAGAATAAAATCTACAATTGACAACAAGATAAAACTTCAGTTATCTTCCTGTTAGTTAATAAGTGCAAGAAATGTAAAACTATATTAAGTGTGCCTATTTATTTTTCTACACGAATATGTATGATAATTCCATTTAAGAAACTTTTTCTTATCCTGTTATCTTATTTCTAATGTCTAAAACTTAAATTTATAGTTGACATCAAGTTAAAATGAATGGTATCTTATCTTCATGGGCATACAGATCTCATATGCAATGAAACTTTTGCAGTGAGGATATTCCCTTTCAACTTTAGTTAAAAATTTCGTAATTAACTATGAACTCGAATTGTATTAAAGCTCTTCATGTATTTATCCAAGAGGAATGTTAGTCATTTTTTATGTTCTAAGACATTACACATTAAATTATATGCAAAATAAATTTCTAAGCACAATTGAAATTTTCATAAGAAGAAACAATTACAAAAACTACAGAGATTTATACAAGAAACTATCACATCTTAAAGATGATAAAAAATAGTATTCATTCTAAGAGAAAATTCATTAAGAAAAAAATAAACAATAAAGGAGTATACATCTATAAGTACATCAGTGAAATGCCCTCTTTTGGGAAACTTATCACCCAAGATAGTTCACATCAAATTAATAGCTTTTCTACATCTATTGTGCTTGCCAACCTCCAATACAAAAGCCCACCATTTAAAATACACAATAAAATATTATGTTCCTGGAACCTCATGCAATGGACAATTTTTTAGACAACCCTGGATTGAGAATATGTTTTCATGTATGAAAGATAAATTAAGAATATATTTGATGATGCTTACATGGCCTCATCAAGGCAATATAGCATAAACTTACCTTATCTATCCTATCATTGTTAGATAAATACAATCAAACAAGAAAATATCATAAACATAAAAATAAACTATATAATTATTTTCTAATGATGAACATAACATAGTAATTTTGTAGGTACAAAAAAAGGAAAATTCCAAATAAGCAAAAAAATGTTATTCTAATGAAAGATATCCATCTAAAAAACATATCATATATTAGATTATAGAATTATTTTTATTTTTTACTTTAACATGTTTGTCGATGCCATTTTGTATGTTCACAAATGGTGAATGGAAACATATGACAGTTAAGGTTTTGATATTCATTGGAATTAAAGCAAACAAAGATCAACTAGTTTTATCCTAATCAAGGATAGACACACTAACCTCTTGAAATCTTCTGACTTCCAAATATGAAGAACTCCTCAACTGAGCTCAAGAAACAATTGTATGGAACCACTTTAAGCATGACAATGATCTCTTGAAAGTACTCTTGATCATTCAACAAACTGAACCCATTGGTGATTCTTCAAAACAACCTATATTATGTTTTAAAAATGATTTTCAGGCATTAAAATAATATTTCTAAGCATAAATCAAAAATGAAAAGTGGGAGAATATTAGAAAAGAAAATTGTAAATCCTTGATGGTAATAACCCATATTAGAGATCTTCCAAGTAAAACCATGACGGTCAAATGTAGAGATGAGAAACAAAAAGAGAACAATAGATCTAATATACATGGAGAAACATAGAAGCGTACTGTCTATGAAATGAAAGCTTTGAGGGTATCGAAGTAGAGACGCAGATCTTGGGTCTCAAGAGAGAAAAAGGATCAAGAAGGAACAAGATGGAGAAACATGATGCAATGGAGAATCGATAGAAGTGAACCACAAGAAGAAGGATGGATTGCATAAATGGGATTGCCGCAGTATTAGGTATGACAAAACCTAACACACGAAGAGATGGATTGCATAAATGGGATTGCCGCAGTATTAGGTACGACAAAACCTAACACACGAAGAGATGCGTGCATTAAAAGAGATAGATATGCCTTTGTTAAGACATTACTTTTTAATGAATGCAGAGATATTTGTGGCCGTTAGAGTTTGACAGAATTCCACCAGCAGTATCCAAGAGTGACAAGTGATAAAAGTAAATATCTTGGAATTTCCAAGTAAGGCATCAGAACAAAATGACCACACCACCCTGAAAAAGCTGCCAGTTAGCTACTTAAATGGGCTGGACCAATAAAATATGGGCCTAACTTGAATAAAAATGGGTTTTGGTCTAAGTTGGCCCATTAGTAGTAATGATGAAGAGGGTGCACTGAGCATACAATATGATATTTCAATTTATAAGATTAATTGTCCTAGAGATCCTAATATTATAGATGCCCACATCTTAAAGTTGATGAACCGTTCATTATTTTCCCCTCACTAAAATATCAACTCAATTGTTCTTCTCATTTTCTCCAAGAAAGTCCACTCCAAAGTCCTACCACAGCTATGATAATCAGTTAATCCTACCATTGCCATGCTAAGGATGCAAGTTACTTCATGAAAATTGAGCTTTTTCCCATGTACGTATACTCTCTCTCTCTCTCATGCAAATCACATCTGTATATACACATAATTTACATCGACAGAGAACGAGAGAGAGAGAGAGAGAGAGAGAGAGAGAGAGAATGGGGGTGGGAAGAGGGGGTAACAAAAAAGTCTTCCATCACTTCCCAGGTGAGAAATGTTGTCTTTATGACAACTCATCCGTATAGGGCAGCTTAGCGTTGAGAAGTTATCACAGAGTTCTAATGAAAAAAGAATATGGAATAAATCAGGCATTGGCTTTCGTTGAAGTACAAGATGAAACCTATCATGGGTATATTAACGTAGTCAAATATATACTATGCAGGCAGCTTCCCAAATGGCTGATTGCCGTCGGGCTGGCGGGAATAGCGGATGCCGTCCATTCCGATGCGGCGTATTTTAATCGATGCTCAGACTGGTGCCAAATCGGCCGGAGACTTTCGATACCTGTTACATGGTGCAGACGTCAACCCTTGGCGAATCTTAGACTTCATCCTCCCTGGAAGAACATGTCCACTGGAATTCTTTTATGTTCAATTAGTGTGGTAGACGAATTACACGTTTTAAAAGAGACTTATATAATAAAATATCGGTTGAAACGTAATATTTATAAGTCAGAACTATGGTAGAGCTGGGAAAGAGAAAGCTCTTTACGGAGTCGCGGAGCCGGTGGCTGCCTTCATCTTGCTAAGGTCAACAAAACACCGTGTTGGCGTCACATCGGCGGAGACCCACCAACTCCCTCTCTCTCTCTCTCTCCCCCCTCCCTCCCCTCAGGCTTAACCTCTATTTAGGGGCGTTCCCCAATCTGCTCGTCATCTTTCAAGGTCAAGCGTCTGCTGCTCAGCCCCTGCCTCCTTTACTTCCTCTCCTCTGCTGCCCCTTCCATTACTTATCAGACGATGGCTTCGCCGAAAGGCTTGGCCGCCATGGCCTGGGTGGCGCTCCTCCTGGAGTGCGCTATCGCGGCCACAATTACCGTCGGAGCCCCCAGCGGCGGGTGGGATCTGAGCACAGATCTGAGCGCGTGGGCGGCGTCGCAGACATTCTCCGTCGGAGACACGCTGGGTAAGCTCTCTTCTCCCACGCCACCGCGCCACCTCTTACTCCTTCTGCCGTGTTTTGGACTCTGAAGGAGTCTTGTTCGCCGGTGCAGTTTTCCAGTACGGGTCGACCCACGACGTGCTCGAGGTGACCAAGGCCAACTATGACGCCTGTCAGACGAGTAGCCCGATCGGTACCTACAACAACGGTAACACCGTCATCACCCTGTCCACTACCGGCAAGCGCTTCTTCATCTGCGGCGTTCCCGGTCACTGCAGCAGTGGAATGAAGCTAGAGGTTGACGTGAGCGGCGCATCCCCTCCCTCCACCTCCCCGCCGGCGACTCCTCCGCCCGCTTCCTCTCCTACCGCACCTTCCGCATCGCCGCCTACGACAAGTTCACCGGCCCCCCCCACGACACCGGCCACCCCCTCGCCGCCGACAACGAGATCGGCCCCTCCCCCACCTAATTCGGCGCCCGTCGGTCTGAAGGCGCCGGCGACAGCGACGGCGGGCGTCCTCTTCTGGTTGCTGATGCTGTTGGCCATCTAAGCCCGAATGATCTGAGACCCCTACGGTCTACATAGTGTATCCCTGACTCATCCGGCACTTCGTTCTTCCCAGATTGTCTCCCCTTCTCTCATCAGTGTCCTCTGTTTGGAGATTTGAATACGTCATGGTTTTCCATTAATTCTCATCAGCCATACCAACTCCAGCTTCAAATTGGTTGTCTTCTGCAATAAACAAAGGTGACAAGATAACCTAAAAAAAATACGATCCTATTTAGGAAGTTTATCTTTAAAAGTAATTCTTAGTTCTTTTAATAAATATATAACTAATAAAGCAAGCCTCATTAATGGGAAACTTGACCTTGAAATTCGTTCTATCTTATCATGTTTTGTAACTCGTCCGATTCAAAGTCAACGGATGAATAGTATAAAACTCATACTCTCGTCCTATAATTACTAATTTATCTTCATAATTCCTACTGTAAATCATTCCTAACGCGTAGATCATCAAATCCAGGATGAATCACACGTATAAAAAGCAACTTCTCAGTGAGGAATTCACTCACCGTCGGTGGCAACTCCACCTCCGTCAAAACCCAAAACAAGGCTCTCTCATACGACCAGGTCACACGGGGCAACCAATAAGTCAAACATCATACAGAAATTTCTTCAAAGTTGAACGAGAGGAGGAGATGTTCGAATCCAAAGAACGATAAAGACGAGGAATTGATTCGGAAGTCACCGTTACCTACACAAGATCTCCATTAATATCCCCGATAAAACGATCTCCCTTCTTGTATCGTTCACTTCCCCTCTACTCCGCGCTTACAAGAACGCCATCCCATAAACCCTAGACGCCCCTCGTCAACTTGGCAGCCGCTGGAGTCTATTTTTCGCAGGTTCTCTACCACTGAGGTTCAGCCTTCTTAAGGAGATTACTAGACCTCGGGTATATAACGCGATGGCCTCTTGAAAACCCTAATAACCGCGTATGAGCAAGGCTGCAATCAGGGTGGGTCCCACGCATTCATGTCGCCTATCCCCCGATAAACTTGAAATCAGGGCGGGCTAATTTCGTAACCAGCCTGGTCAGGATACTAATTTTTAATATTTCTTGTAATTAATAGAAAATGTTGTTTGAATTTTTCAGAGACATTCCACATATCTGAGGAGGCACCTAAAGCGTCTCTCTCTCTCTCTCTCTCTCTCTCTCCAGCGACCATCAGCAGTCGTAGGGCACGATGTTAGCTCAGCTCTTATTCTCTGTTCACTTGGCTTGCGATTCTATAGTCAAATGTCGGGAGATTCAAATAAATTAGGCTCTCTTACCGATTTAAATTATATTATTTTGTAATGTATGCAGCAGAAAATGTCCCAAGACTTACGCATCATGTTCCCATTAATTTATCTTTAATATGACTTCACCAACTCCTTATAGCTGTTCCCCAGTGGCTCCTATTCGTCCTTCTCAAAATCTACCCTACAGCGTTGACAAAGACCAACAGCGACCAGTAAACTCAACGAATGCAGAACGGCGAAGGATATTTTAATGAAAATTATTTTTTGCAGGTTTACCTTTAGAACCCTTACACTAACTAAATTATATGTAAGTCCTTTTCAAAGTATATTTTCCTTATATCCCTTAGGAAGTAATTTATACATATTATTTAGTTTTCCAACGATAACCTTATTTGAGAATGAAAAATTATAGTTGAAACATTTAATTTTATTCAATACTCTAATTTTAAAAGAAAATATGAAAAAATTAAACTTTGCTTGACCATTTATTCATGAAAGATGGCATAGTAAGCATAACTCCTTGAAATTTTTAGAAAGGTAAGTATGCACCAGTACATGCTTGCTTCTGGACACTTAATAATTTTGATGTTGAAAATTATATAGGGTAAAATGGTATTTCGCATTACCAAAATTCATAGAAGTATATATAAACGCATACAAAAAATATTTTTCTAATTCTTAGTGATTGCTCATGTGTTTGTAAGAGCCATGTCCAAGCTCTTCTATGATTTTTCTATCTTTGGAAGGGAGTCAACTCATAAGACAACTCAATTGGTAAGTTCTTACACTCACATTACATTGGAAAGCACATAAGAGTATACTATTACTTTTATATGATCAATATAATTGTGTGATCTTTGATCAAATCGTATTACTTTGTGAAGGGTGGTAAGAAAAGTAGGTAAGAAAAGTCAACATTTATACTGACTAAGATGGTAAATTAAAGGCATTTTTCAGCTCACTTGACAAGAAGAGTTTCAACACATGGTTATCGTGCATGCGACACGAGTATGACAAATTTTACATTACAAGCATATTTTTGCATAATCTCTCATATATTGTAATTTATATTCTAATAATATTGGTAATAGACAGCCAATCCCATACGAGAAACGATTAAAAGATAAATCTTTGCTAGCCGGCAGACAGAAGTACTAGGGAATTGAGAAATTCGTGAGAAATCTACACTTCTTTCTTTCTAGCCATGGAAACAAGAAATAAGTGAAACGAAAAGAATGCAGTAGATAGAGAGAGAGAGAGAGAGAGAGAGAGACGATCAGACTTACGATCCCTCCTTAGCCTTGTTCAGTGCTAAATACGAACTGGGTCCCAGCGGTGCTCGGTAGGGGCGGTGGCCGCTGCCGGGCTTCGAGTAGGGGGTACGGCAGGTGCGCTGGGGGACGCCGGCGGCGATATGAACAACGGCGGCGGCGGAGGGGATCCGCTCCCGGGAGCGGCGGGCCTGGGCTCGGGGTAGCCGGGACGAAACCCGTCGCAGCTACCGCCTTCAACGTCGCCGTCGCATTCTGTTGGTGCAGCCCTCCGGGGACCGTTGCGGCGGACCCCCAGCCCAAGCACCAAGCCCGCCACCGCCAGCACCGCCACCACGCCGATGAAGATCTTGGTGGCCTTCCCCACGTAGCACATTTTCCCCCCCTACCCAGAAGAAAAACAGTGAAGCAGCGACACGAGAAAGGCTCCTCTTCTCTCTCTAGAACAAGCCAAGAGAAGGGTGGAGCAGGGGGGGAGGGCGGCGCCGCCCACGGAAGCCAACGGCCAGAGCTCCGGCGAAGAAGCCGAGGGAAGGCAGAAAGAGGAAGCCGCAGCTGCCCTTAAGCATCCGAATTACCCAAATTACCCATTTCATTATGAGTAAGTCGTGCTCATGTAGGGCTATTATTGGCATTTCTCTAGAAAGGGAAATGAGCATCGGCACACGTTACAATGTCTGTGTGGGAAATCCACGCCAGCAAAACTGGCCCCGGTGGGGCGCAAGTATCACACAAGTCACTACTACAGCTGGGCCCGGCCCAGTTATATATGGGTGTCAGGTCCAGTAGAAAGCGCGAAAATCGAAGCCAGCCCAGTAATCCTAGCCGACGTGTGAAAGGGAAGAAACAACCTAATACCCGGCAACGTGGCCTGCTTACGTGGCTTCCCAACCGGGCAACGTGGCGTCCCATCCCCTACGTACCGTTCCGTCCGGATATTCTCGTCTAGGAATGCTATCTTGATTATACTGATCGACGGCACGTGACACCAGCTCTCTCTCTCTCTCTCTTCATATTTTTGTAGTTTTTCTTGTTTTCAAACTAACCCCTTTCTTAGAAGTCTACATATATATAGAAAGATAGAGAGAGAGAGAGAGAGAGATAGTGATAGTGATAGTGATAGAGATAGATAGAGAGAACGAGAGAGAGAGAGAGAGAATAGGGAGAGGAAGAGAGGGGGAGGGTACCCTCTTATTTATTCACCGAGAGTTGAAATATATACATGCTCTCCTCTGATATCAACCCCTCCAGACGCTTCGCCAGCTCAACTGACTACGGCCTCTAAATGCTCTCCACCTCTGAATGGCCGTGGAAGGACTGGATGAACCCGTCCATCCTCTTCCTTATCTCGTCGGGATTGGCCCCCACTATCTTATCCACAACGCTGCCCTCGCTTATGAGCAGGAAGGTGGGCATGGCCTTCACCCCCATCCTCTCCGCCACGGCCTGCGCAGAACGATCGTCTGCTGACTCCCAGCGATGAAGGGGAAATGTGATGGAAGTAGTCTGATTTGTTTAATTGATCTCATACCTTGACGACGTCCACGTCCACCAGGAGGAAGAGGACGTCCTGGTAGCTCTGCGCCAGCGCTTCGAAGGAAGGATTCATGGCGACCGACGGGACGCACCATGAAGCCGTGAAGTGGACGAACACCTGGGAGAAGTTTGAAAGGCGGAAATCAGAGGCACGCCGGGAAGAAACAAGCTCATTCGTCTCTCTCTCTCTCTCTCACACACACACACACCCCCTCTCCCTCCCTACAAAAAGATGAAGGGGGAGGGGGACGAAGAGGTCAGAGAAACTCACCGGGCAGCCTTGGGATTTGGCTTGAGCGGTGAAGAGGTCCCATGATTCCTCGGAGTCCACCTTCAAAACCCGAGATCTTACCAGCTGCTCCTGGGTTTCCATGCTTGCACTGTCCTTATCCCCAACCTTCTATCTTCCTTTTCATCCTCGGCTCCGGCGAGGGTATTTATGTCGTCTGTGAACCCACCAAATCTGTGGGATGAGAGAGAAGTGAAAACAAGAGCAGAAGGAAGCGGATAGGCTCGACCTCCCCCAGTGATCCTATCCGAAACACCGAACTCCGAGATATTTCCCATGCCCAACCGATATATCCGGAAATGTGTAGAGTTGACCCGGTCAAAAATCAGCGATGTGAGAGTCACGGACGGCTTATCAGATTATCTCACCCTGATTTCTTCCATTTTTCTGTCCCGGCCTATCCCCTATCGATACCTGGCAAGAAGATAAATCCCAATCTGGTTCCCTAAGCAGACGCTTTTCACATCTTTCTCGCATCAGCTGGTTCCCTTTCTTTATATGGGTTTTTTCCGTCTCACTTGATCAACTGAAAGCTCGATCTAATGGTGCCGGAGGACCGAGGTAGCGACTGACGGTGGGAGAAGAACTCCGTGCTTGGTTTCTTCTCATCATTTATCTGAAGTTTAGATAGAATTTGCTTTCTCCCATTGAATACTTTCTAGTTGAGTGTAGACGATATTTAGATCAGAGAGAATTTGGGTGAGGGGCTCATGGCCTTGCCCCCCATCCTCTCCACCCATATTTTTCCATGCAGCCTCATCCCTTACCATGTCTCATATTCATCATCTTTTATCCCACAATTTCTTGATTAGGCCAACTATGAGACGAATCTAATCTGTCTTAGAGTGTTTTTTTCTTCATGCATTAAATTTTCTTCATGAACTAGTGGGTGACATTCTTGGGGTTCCATCTGGGTTGCTCCTCTCTCTCTCTCTCTCTCTCTCTCTCCAACTCCATGTTGGGGTGTTAGGGTCTAGATTAGATTCTTCTCCAACATACTTGTAACTATTTATAACAATAAGTACATAAATCTATTCCTTTTTAATCTACAAACTATAAATAATGACATACAGGATCTGCCATCTCCGTTAATTGAAGAACATTAATTGCATTGGGTAATTAAAATAAAATTCTTGAATCAACCGATTGGGTGCATAGGTTTTGCGGTTGGATCTGAACTCATGCACGAGAGATAGCTATTCAGACTAGCTCAACTGCTATATAGCCAAAAGCATGACCCAAAGCAGTTTTATCTAACAAATCATCTTCAAACGTCTTTAAAAGAGACAGAAATACTAGAGACTTAAATTGTGAGCAAAAATAAATACCAAATCCGCACCTGTAGGCATCCCACTAAAGCTTGAAAAGTAATCTACACTGCAATTGACTATTGCCATCCGAGGAAAGTTTCCAATAGGAACAATAGCTCAAGAATATATTCATGCTCCAGCCTCCAATATTCCGAACTATCTCCATTCCCTCATGGAAAGTCTCCCTCTCTACCTATAACAGTATTATGATTCTATCTTCACCTTTAGTTCCCCTTCTAACTTACCCTCTTCTAGGTTGGTTTGGCAAGGGAATCAAGAACGTTTCCTGGTAAAATGAAATGGTTGTTTTGAATGATATTGTCAACCTTTTATTTTATATTTGTTCCACATAATGAAATTTCTCCCCAGCTTTCTCCATGGATGAAAGTATGTATAGTTTCAACTCAATTGTCATCTGAGACATCTTTATACCCTTATCTGGGTTTCCATCAGGTGGGAGATGAGCAAATTATGGAAAGGTGTGACCATAAAACCTGAAGAAAATTAGGAGCCTCATGATATCTCAAAGTTTTATATCTCACAGTAGATGCCGATGACAACACCATGTTGATTGAAGGTACACATAGCAAATCTTGAGAATTTTCATCAAGGGAAAGTTTTTATTAGATTGAAAAATATCTACCTTGAGCTACTGATCATGTGTACAATCAAAGTATAGAATTTAATATCACTAAGAAATTCATTAAACTATTCCCTGGACATCTTTTATTACTTGAATATTTCAATACCTTTATTCATCCCAACCATGGCATTTTTTACATAATGAAAGCTGCAAGAAATTTCATAATTAATGTGTCCGCACTAGGGCCCTTATTAATATCACCCATTAGGAACGGTGCAATTTATGATACAATAATCAAATCTGTTACCAATGATGTTCTTCTACGTAATATTGAGGTTATGAACCAGATATTTCCTTCTAGACCCAGGGATTGAAGATTTAAGGCCAGACATAAAACCTAAACCAAAGTCTTTCATTCTAGTAGATTTAAGGCCAGATTTCTGCTTTCCCTTGACTTCTGCCACACCGAATAAGCCAAGAGAAACCAAAAGAGGAGAGCTTTCCTATCCTTTATCTTGATCTGGTTCTGACCAATAGAGAATCTCACAATAAAGCACCGTTCTTCGATCCTCGCCGCTATATGTGGCTTATCCACATCTGAACTTAGGTTGAGGACCCATCTGACCTCATACAACCTCATGAATAGATAATTCAAGAACTGGTGTGATTCATATATATAGGTTACAAGTTTTAACAAGAAGATAAATTTAGAGGTCAGTGATCAATATTCAACGTGGGATCATAGCAACTTGCCAGCTGGCTTTCAGATTTCATAGCAAGATTTTCTAGCCTAGAATCACATCGAGTATCAGGACCAAGAGGCAGCATCCCGCTCAGTATTTCACGGTCACATTGAGTACATCACGACGAACTCCATGGCCAGGTGGCAGGTGATCAAGTGGCGTTGGCTCCCCAAAGGTCGAAGGGACGTGGGCATTACACGCGTCCCCCGTCCATGGCTTGTGGTTTTTGCACGTGATCGAATATTCTCACTCCATCCTGGATCTCAGCTTCCGAGTCGCTCTCTCTCTCTCTCTCTCTCTCTCTCTCTCTCTCTCTCTCTCGTTGGGTACCCATCGAGGAAGGATGCGAAATAATGCCTTGCATTATCAACCATACACTTGAGGGGAGGAGTGTCACTCGCAGTGAAAGGAGAACGCACGGACCCTTAGTTCACAAGCATCCCCATTTCAGTTCGCCATATTTTAAAGTTCTCGACAGTCGGAAACGTCAAGGCATCGAACCAAGAGGGAGTTACGAGAACAAAAGATCGATCTTAGGTCACACTAAAGCTGTTCAATCGTTTAGGTTAGTTTCCACCTTAAAACCATGCTGAAGTTGCACCCATCTGGCCATCCTCTCACTAGGAGAATGTTAGGGAAATAAATTTGGCCGTCTTTGTCAACTTTTGATAGAAAATCTGAGAATAGATAGTATATTACCTCACTCTCTCACGGATACTCGCAAGCACGATCATCTTCGCGTGGAAGAGAGGGGAAGGCACGAGAGCGACGCCATGAAAGGTGACAGGGAGTCGACCTCCTTTGGTCCCCATCACATGACATGGAGCGACGCTCTGTGGTCGAAGCTCAAAGAGAAGATGTTGAGGACCTGACAACTCAGATCTGACAACTCTATCAATGGCGCCTGTGTTTGTTTGGTCTCGTCTTATCTCTCACGCGTTTGCACTTGATCATGGTAGCTAGAGAGAGAGAGGGAAAGGGGGAGGGAGAGGGATAGAGAGAGGGAACCCAGAAGATATTTGGGCATCGAGGGAACCACTAACTCCACGCATGCAGTCCCACAGGACGGGCCTAGTCTATGATGAATGGTACTACACTCCCTACATATTATTTCCTACCAAGTTATTGATAAGACCAGGAGGTGGACCCGCTGCACCTCTGATTTAATCGCCTGACAAGGTAATGATCATACTATGATCATAGTAAGTGCCATATCTCCCAGCAATGAATGAGCCCCTTAAACCCTGATACGCGTCATAAGATAGTTCTGTTCCAGTGCACGAGGCAAGAATACCCACATTCATTATTGCATCTGCGTGGGTTTCCTTGGAACATCGCGAGAACGTAGGCTAACTAACTGGCTTTCATCATAGTTATCAATTTGATTCTACAGTTCCGGTTCTAACTATGGATCAATAAGATGAAATGAAATTCGGAGGACAACGCACGAAATTTGTCTCTCTAGTCCCTCACAAGGTGCTCTCTCTCTCTCTCTCTCTCTCTCTCTCTCTCTCTCTCTCTCTCTCTCTCTCTCTCTCTCTCTCTCTCTCTCTCTCTCTCTCTCTCTCTCTCTCTCTCTCTCTCTCTCTCTCTCAATCTATCCATCTATCTATCTAGCTATCTATCTCTCTGAACATGTGCGCGAAAAAACCGATTGCGTGGGGATTCCCAATCGCTAGACACACGGCGGCGGTGGGGACGGCAGTGGGCATAGAGAGGTCCCGGCGTTGATTTCAGCGTAATTGAACGAAGGCGACGTCTTTCTTCGACCTACCGGGACCGAGAGGGACGGCCCCATCCGAAACCACCCGTTTGCTGACTACCAGAGAGGCAGGGGGAAGTACTGTGACGGCCGGTGGCGCGGCGCTTCCCCATTGGAGCCCCCATTGCTGGCTCTAGATGTTTTCTCTCCCCTGTCAGCCTCCCCCCCCCCCTCTCACCCCCCCCTCCCCGAGTGGCCACCCTGGTTTCCCACTCCATCTGCCATGGCCATTCACCAGCAATCGTCCTTGCTGATAATGAAGGTGACCCTGGTTTGAAAGCAATGTCGAATCGATCGAGGGAGAACGAATGAGCAACCGTAGAGGCGACCGATGAGAGGCTTACATCCGAAGAATCAACCATGGAGAAGCGATCCGGAGGAAAGCGTGGCGTCTCGTCGGAGCGTGGGGACCTTCATCCGATGGCCCAAACTCTCCAGTGGGCTCCATTCAAATCCGCAGCAGGGACGCTCTCGATGCCGTCCCTAACCCTTAGTGGCATCTCAGCCGGAGAAGATCTCGATTTTTACTGCGAAATGGCGATCAGTTGGGACCCTTCCGATAGTAACAGGGGGGAGGGCAAGGCTCCCATGCGCAGTTTGCCACCTATAAAAGGGACTGGGGGCATCCAAGCTAGAACCAAGCAAAGTATCGACCTGCTCTACCACTCCAACTGCGGAGACTCCCTGCCCTTCCTCCCCCAAGCTACCCCCTCGAGAATCCATGGCCACCGCGGTCGCCACCGCCCCAACGGTGACTTCGGAGACGAACAATCTCCTGGCCAACTATGTTCCCGTCTACGTCATGCTCCCGGTAATCCCCTCCTCCTCCTCCTCCTCCTCCTCCTCCTCCTCCGCTTCCTTGTAGCCCGATGAAGATGACGCAGTGGGATCTCTCTGTGCAGCTGGGAGTCGTCAACTACGACAACGTGCTGGAGAACGCGGATGATCTCCGGGCCAATCTCAAGAAGCTCAAGGAGGCCGGTGTGGACGGCATCATGGTGGACGTGTGGTGGGGCATCATCGAGAAGAATGGCCCCAAGCAGTACGAGTGGGGCCCTTACATGAGCCTGTTCGAGCTCGTCGTCGAGGTGGGGCTCAAGATCCAGGCCATCATGTCCTTCCACCAGTGCGGCGGCAACGTCGGAGACGCAGTCAACATTCCCCTGCCGCCATGGGTGACCGCCGTCGCCGATTCAAACCCTGATATCTTCTACACCAACCGGCGGGGAACGAGGAACCCCGAGTACCTCACCATTGGAGTCGACAACGAGCGCCTCTTCCATGGCCGCACCCCAGTGGAGGTCAGTTCATAGGATCTACAGAGGTGGCCGCCGTTTGGATCTCCTCAACGGTTTCACGTGTTTTCCTGTGAACAGATGTACAGGGACTTCATGGTCAGCTTCAGGGAGGCCGCGAAGAGCTACCTGATTGCCGGGAAGATATCAGACGTAGAGGTGGGGCTCGGCCCTGCCGGGGAGCTGAGGTTCCCCTCGTACCCGCAGAGCCAGGAGTGGGTTTTCCCCGGCATCGGCGAGTTCCAGGTAGAGAGACCTCGTACAGAGCATTCTATCACCTCTTCTTGGACCCTTTAATGGCCTATATTCCACGAACACTCGTAATAAAAAATAATCATACATTTAATTATCCTACGGCCCTCGAACCCAGTAATTATTAATCATATTTAGCATCTCGCCCCTCTCGAGAAAGAATTTTTTTACGAGTAATTTCGCGTATTTCGAGAACCCGTCTCCGAAACTGGGGTCAGTCCAAGCCGTTTGACCTCCATGGTCGACTGAATCACAGTGCTATGACAAATACCTGGTCGAGCAATTCGCCGTGGCGGCGAGGAAGCACGGTCAACCCAAGTGGCAACTCCCCGCGAACGCCGGGGAATACAACGACACGCCCTCGGACACGGAGTTCTTCACCACCGAATATGAGTCGGCGTACGGCAAGTTCTTCTTGGCCTGGTACTCCAACTTGCTGCTACAGCACGCCGACCAGGTTCTTGAAGAAGCCACGAAGATCTTCCTGGGCCTGAAGGTCAAGCTGGCGGCGAAGGTATGGGACCCCCAGCCATGATCACCCCCAAGATTTCGTCTATATTGTGCGAGAGGATGTCCCTCGCTGACTTGACCTGAGTCAACGGATGGGCAGGTCTCCGGGATCCACTGGTGGTACAGGGACGCCAGTCACGCCGCCGAGCTCACCGCCGGATACTACAACCTGACCGACCGGAACGGCTACGGCCCGATCGCGAGGGTGCTGAAGAGGCACGAAGCCATCCTTAACTTCACCTGTGTCGAGATGAGGAACACCGAGCAGAGCGACAGCGCCATGAGCGCGCCAGAGCAGCTGGTGCAGCAGGTGAGGCTGCTCGGCATGATCTCTCTCTCTCTCTCTCTCTCTCCCCCTTTCTTCCGAGTTAGGGTTATGAGGATGGTGATGATTATAGGTGCTGAGCGCCGGCTGGAGAGAGGGGATCGAGGTGGCTGCGGAGAACGCGCTCAACAGATACGATAAGTACGCGTACAACCAGATACTGAAGAACGCGAGGCCGAACGGCGTCAACAAGAACGGCCGGCCGAAGCTGAGGATCTTGGCGATGACCTACCTGCGTCTGACCGACGATCTCATGGAGACCGACAATCTCGCACTCTTCACGATCTTCGTGAAGAATATGCATGCCGGCCTGGTAAGTGCCCTCATTTAACCTTATAAACCCAGAATTTGCTAAATTCCAGCCACTTTCCCATCGGGATTATCACCCAAATTCTCTAAGATTGTTCAGTTCAAGACTGCCCAGATTTCTCTCGATTTGTTCCAACTTCAGTGCAGGCTCTTCTCCATCGGGACTGTCACCCAAATCCTGTGCTATTCAGAGCAGAAGACCCAGAATATGCTCGAATTAACCTAAAATTAACCTTTTATCCATGATTACTATCCCAAATCCTGCAATTTTTAGAGCATAAGATCCAGAATTTTCTTCCGACCTCTCTCTCTCTCTCTCTCTCTCCCCCAGATCTTCTCGAACTGACCCTAACTTCGTGCCGATTTTCTCTTCTCCAGGACTACCACTCGAACGCGCAGGATTTCTACAGCCCGGTAAAGCCATTGGCACCTTCTAAGCCGAGGATGACGATCGACTACATCCTGGAGGCGACCAAGCCGGTGGATCCCTACCCGTTCGACGAGAAGACGGACATGCCCGTGGCTGAAGAGTGATGAAACCCTAAAACCCCATCTCCTCTGTGGAGACCAAAGACGACTTCCCCTCCCTCCCTGGTCTGTGGGACGTATGAATAATCTATCTCCCCGCTGTGTTCTGTGTTGAACTCAATAAGGCCGGTCCTCCGCCTTCTCCTCCATGAAGGGGGCGCCGAGAAGTTGTGGGTATGAATGAGAGGAGCTTTCAGAAGACTTGCTTATGTACAGTACTGTTGATTTCCTCTCTCTCTCTCTCTCTCTCTCTCTCTCTCTCTCTCTCTCTCTCTCTCTCTCTCTCTCTCTCTCTCTCTCTCTCCCTCCCTCTCCCTCTCTCTCTCCCCTTTCCCTCTCCCTCTCTCTCTCTTCCCCTCTCTCTCTATCTATCTATCTATCTATCCATCCCTCTCTCTATCTATCTATCCGTCTCTCTCTCTGTATCTATCTCTCTATCTATCCATCTTTCTCACACACACTCACTCTCTCTATCTATCTATCCATCTCTCTCTCTCTCTCTGTATCTATCTATCTATCTATCCATCTCTCTCTCTCTCTCTGTATCTATCTATCTATCTATCCATCTCTCTCTCTCTCTCTCTCTCTCTCTGTATCTATCTATCTATCTATCCATCTCTCTCTCTCTCTCTCTCTCTCTCTGTATCTATCTATCTATCTATCTATCTCTCCCTCTCTCTCTCGATATATATATATATCTTTCAACAGCACGATCCGCCACGTTACGGAAGGGGGAAGGGGAGGGGGAGGTGAGCTTACTTTCTACGTAGAAAGGTGGCCCAATCATGGTGCGGCACGTGGCGGATGAACATTAACTTGAGCGGGCCGGGCCAGATGGAGCCAAAATTTACTGATTATTGGGCCATTCCATTAATGTCCCGAAGGCCCGTGATTGAGAACGTAAGGCCGCCGGAAGGGTGGCCCATTTCTACACAAATCCATCGATCGGACGGTTCACATTCTAAAGATCGTATCCCCCAATCTCTGCCGTTGATTCAAAGAGTACAAAAAACGCACGTATTGTCCTTAATTAATAATATAAAGTTTTTAAGGGGTGTATTGAACATTATTCAACTGAAAGGCAACCGTTGGCATACCCCGGATAAGAAACAGAGAAAGGATCGGCCTCCCCCTCCAGCCATCACCTTTCTCTCTCCTCTTCTCTCTCTCTCTTCTTCTTCTTCTCTCTCGTCTGTTCTCGCGGCCATGGCGGCGGCATTACTGACCCGGATCGCAGGGGCCTCCCAGCTCCTCAGCTGGAGGCCGAAGTCCCTCCCCGACGGCGGGCCAATCCACAAGGAGCCCGCCGGACAGTCGCCGGAGACCGGCGCCGCCGCCGCCGCCCTGCACAAGCGGAGGAGGGCGGCGCTGCTTCTCGCCGCCGCCGCCGCCGCCGTCCTCCCGCAGCTAAGCTCCCGCAGGGCCCTCGCCGGAGACGACCAAGACAACAACGGCATGTGGCTCACCGGCCCTCTTCCCGTCCCCTCCGTCACCAACAGTGAGCCCCCCCTCTCCCTCTACCTCTTCCTCTCTCTACCCCGAAGCTTTCTCTCTCATAGGCGGCGCTGGGTTGCAGAGATTGCGAACGCGGCGACGGGGACCCGGTCGTTCCTGCGGAAGGGGATATACGCGGCGGATGTCGGCGCCGCCGCCACCGCCTTCCGGGTAAAGCACTACGCCTTCGATCTCCTGGCTCTGGAGGACATGATCGGAAAGGACACCTGGAACTACTTCAGCAAGTACCTCTGCCTCAAAGCCACCGTCATGTACTACGACTTCGATAAGCTCATCTCCGCCGCCGCCGCCGGCGACCAGCAGCCCCTCACCGACCTCGCCTCCCAGCTCTTCGACAGCGTCGAGAAGGTCAACCGGCGACCCCCATCTTCTTCCTCTTCTTCTTCTTCCTTCTTCTTACCGTCATGGAAAAGATCCTAAGAGGAGATGTGGATCGTCGCCATGGCAGCTGGAGGACGCCGTGAAGAGGCGGAGCGCCGCCGAGACTCAGGCCTGCTACGCTGACACCAAGGTTGTTCTGCAGGAGGTGATGGCGAGGATGGCGTAGGGCGGCGGCGGCGATGTTCTTCCCTGCAATCCGAATCTGCCATTTATATGTAGATATAATCATCGGAGCACGATGATGTTCTTCCTCCCGATGTTCTACCCCAATCTGTCAGATTTCGGCCCTGGAGACTGAAAAATCCTTGGAGATTCATTTCTGGGGAGAACCCAGTTCTTGAATTTGCTAGAACAGGAGAGATGATGTTAAAAAAAATACAAATCAGATCTCCGGGTCTATAGAGTTCTTGAATCAGTTCGTCGGAAGTCAACGGCACCTGATGCTGAATCAAACCAGGAGGTTGGTCACTCTGACGCGGAAAGAACAAGATGATGAAGAAACGATCTTCCACAATCTGTCGGATTTCTGCCCTGGAAACTGAAAAATCTGTGGAGATTCATTTCTGGGGAGAACCAGTTCTTGAATCAGTTCGTCAGAAGTCAACGGCACCTGATGCTGAACCAAACCGGTTGGTCACTCTGACGCGGGAAGAAGAAGATGATGAAGTAATGATCTTCCCCAATCTGTCAGAGATGTCTGCACTGGAGACTGAAAAATCCGTGGAGATTCATTTCTGAGAACCCAGTTCTTGAATTTGCTAGAACAGGAGAGATGGTGTTAAAAATACAATCAGATTTCCGGTTCTATACAGGAACCAGCCAGTTCATCAGAAGTAATCGGCGCCCTAAATACTCCCAACTCGACAGGCATTGAAGCCCTAATGCTGAATCAAACGAGGAGATTGATCACTCTGACCGGGGGGGTGAGGAAGATGATGAGGATATGGAGGAGCCCTTCTCTCTCAGCCGCAGCTCAGCCGGGAGTCCGCCGCACGTGGCAGCTGCTGCTGCTGCGTCTGACGGCGGGGCACGCCGATCTCACAGGCGTTGACCCTCGCCGCAAAACGGAGCGAACAGATCGACTCCCCCGTGGAGGACGACTCGGGGGCGATATTGACGAACATCAGCGTCTTGGCGTCGCCACCAAGGCAGGGCTGCCATATAGATTATTCCAATCCGATGTCAAAACCATAGCCCAAGGCAGGTCAACTATAATAAATCACCCGTCAACGACTAAATTACCAAAGTCAAAGGGCCATTCACGAAAACCATACCTGGAGAAGGTAGGTCAACTTGGAGTTCCTATAGGGGACGTGATCTTCCTTCTTGGCAATGGAAAATATCACGTCACTCAGTGCAGATAGACTCTTGTTGATCGCCTGGGGATTAGATGGCAAAAACCCAGTAAGGGAAAGTCAGCGCAGACCCTGCATGTCTGGATAAGATAGAGAGAGAGGGAGAGATGCATGATCATGCCTGGGTCTCCTTCAGGCGGTCCCCAGTCGAGCCGCTCTTGGCCAGCCGCTCGCTCCCAGCGAGGTCAATAAGGTTGAGCACGCCTTGTACCTGTTGCTCTGTGCTCTGTAATAAAGCAGGCTTTTTTTAGCAAATAATTACAGATTTACGATCTAAACCGATGAACTGCAATGAACACATTTCGCACCTCGTTGACCCCGGAGATTCGCAAGGTGAACACGAAGTGACTTCTCGACGACTGCTCGTTCATATGGGTCTTACCCACAGATCTGCAGCAGAAATCAATACCACAAGTCAACGTCCAAGTGATCGATACCCTCAAGACAATATTCCCCAAAATAAAATATGCATCTCTTCTGCAAGTCAAGCTCATTCAAAAGTCAACGCAGAGCAACTCGTAGATGACTGCCCATTCACAAATGTGCAGAGATCCGCAAGAAAGATCATTCCAAAAAAAATGCACAGCAAAATGATCAGTGCTCTGATCATTCCAGAAGAATTAGCCCTCTAATCATCAGTGAACCCTCTAACAATATGTTCTTCGAGGAAACCATAGATTTTTGCAACAACAACCAAATCATAGAAATCTTTACTCGAAAGAGGAAAAATTAGGATCCGTATTATACTCCATCAACGAAGAACTGGTCCCACTTGTCCTATTTATGAAGGATCAGCTGAGTTCTATGAACAGTTGAAGAATCGGGCAGATCTTTCTGGTCAACGCCATGTGTCAGACAACTTGGATGAGGTAAGTTCCCTCGTGAGAAATTCCAACAAAATGGGAAAGTCTACAGATGGAAAAAATTATCACATGAAACCTGGGAGGTGCAAAGTATTCTTCAAGGGCTATGGAAAATTTACCACTATTTATGGAAAATTATGTGAAATATCAGCTAGAGAGTGAAGGTGAATCATCCCAAGCTCACTCAGACGGATACGACAGTTTATCACAAAATAGATTCAAGCGAGGAAGTTTTCAGAAGGATACCTGCTCTGCGCAGCCTTGTTGAGGAGATAAGAAACCTCCTTGATACTGCACACATCCACAACGGTAAGGTCGGAGACAACTGTATTGCCATTCTGATCATGTTTAATCGTATATTGCTTCCCAAGGTTTGCATTTATGTCAGGTCCAGCGGATCTATTCGCTGATAGCAAGTCCCTGATTGTCTCATTGTATATTTCCAGCATAGACGCCTGTTCATCACCGAAAAACCAAAAAGGGTTGTAACCCAGGTCAACGCGACAAAAAGGGAAATTTATCCAAAATGGGAGTTGTAGAGTCAAACCTGCATCTTGTATCTCCAACCCTGAGATGAAAGTACTTGGCTGCTCTGAAATATCTGTTCCAACGAGCGAGGTATCAGCCCCTTCTGCTCTGATTCCTCTGTCTTCCCCATCATTGTATACGTCTTCCCAGAACCAGTCTGACCATACGCGAAAATGCACACCTGTAATCGTAATCAATCAAGAGGATGAATAACAACGAGTAGTATAAAAATTTAAATAAAATGAAAAAAAAGGTCAACTTCTTCTTCTCCTTCTCGGAGCAACAACATAGAGTGAGAAAAACTCTTACAACCTTATAGCCGTCAAGAGCGCTCTGAACGAGCTGCGAAATTTCCACAAACACATCCTCCTGGCTAGCTCCATGGTCAAACACTTTGTCAAATGTGAATGGATACTTTTGACCTATTGATGAAAGCAGGGGAGCGAATTGAGCAACTAGATAAATATAAAGCGGTCAAAGCAACTTAAAACGGCAAAAAGATGCATAGTGTGATGTACCATTGTGGGTCAAATCAATGCCCCGGCCTAGGGATTCAAGCGATGAAGGATAAGAAACAACACTGGTTTCTAATCCACTGTCATCATCATCAGGGTGCAGAGGACGCACCCGGCAAAATACCCGGATATTGCCTTTCAGTTCCTACAGAAGAAGTTTTGGCTTCGTAAAAACAAGCAAACATACCCGCTGAAACATTAATGGACGACCCAGAAGTGGAAAACAAAAGTTACCAAAATAGTATTATGTAGCTTCTTTCGCAACTTCTCAGCTTCAAGTATTTGCAGTTCAGAATCAGAAAGACGACCTTGTAGCTCACGTATAATCCTTTTTTGCTTCTCAAACTCCGCAATGGTCTCCACTGCGGTTGAATCAGCCAACTAAACGTAGAAAACAATGTGAAGATTAAAACGCGAATTAAAAGCGTGCGGTCAATAATTAGAGAGAATCCAATAAGACTCTGGGATCATAGAATAATTTATAAATGATACAGTTGCCTCTAACCTGTAACTTCTCATTTGCTGCTTCAAGCTGGCATTGTAATAATTGAATCTGGCTCCTTTGAGAAGAGCAGGCAGACTAAAATAAAAGATGTCGAACAAGATCAGTACAATTATCGGTCGAGCATACGTATTACATAGGGAATCAACAGCATACCTCAAGAGTATCATTTCTGGTTGTTAAATTGGCCAATTCAAGGGAGGATTTTCCTGTACATTCTTTGTATTTCGTCAATTCGGAATGCAAGGATTGCACATGGGCCAACTGCGAGTCACGATCTTCTCTTATCAGCCTTACTTCTCCACGAAGCTGCTCCACATTACTCTTCAACTCTTCTTTCTCTCGCACAGCATCTTGCTGAGAAGCCTGATCAAAACAAGCTCAACAAAGTATGAATAGATGTTGTGAGCGTTGCCAGATAAATGCGTAACATTTGCTTTTTGTAGCCAATATTTTATTCATGTAGGTGGCACGATAGCTTTGATGAAACAGTCCATATTTACAAAACGTAACAGCAGGACAGCCAATAGTCACAAAAGCTGAAGGAGGGAAATATAGGGCTTAAAAATATGATATTTAAATTTATTTAAAATAATAATAAAAGTCCAAGGGCATGGAATTTTGCACACATAGTTTTCAGTGGCAAGAAATGAAGAAGACAATGCTGAGAAACAAATAAAATTAACTTTTAGGCAGCTGATTAACGAAGCAGTCGTCATTTGTGCAAAATTTAGAGAGATCTACATTGAACTGGAGGGTGGGCGGGCCCTCACTGCTGCAGATGAGTTTGGTCAACGATACACGTAGCTAGTCCATAATTTTCTCCACAATGGCAGCCGAATGGATGATGTTTTTACGTAATTCCTGGCTTATTCCCTCACTGATAGATTCGGAATGTCCCCATCACCCTTCCCCCAAGTGTTGCACAACCCAATGTTCATAAAAAGAAACGATGCAATATGAACAAATGGAAACATATGAGTTCGCGAAATCAGTCATCGAACACACCTGTTATTATCATACACTAATGGCAAGAAGCATGATCCTGAACAGCAAATGGAATATCCCATATCCACAAACTCTCTTACACATCAAAAAAGTACAGCCATTTTCTGATAACAGTGAGATTTCTCTAAAACACGAGCCAGAACCTGAAGCTCGAGTGTAATAGAGGATAGAATGTATTTATAAAAAATATTTAACTAGAATCCGCTTCACACTGATATAGCAATATCATAGTAACTCACCCTTGAGGAGGCTAACTGTTCTTGGAGCAAGCTGCAGTGGGCCCTCGAACCGCTCAATGCCTCGGTCATTGTTGTCTTCTCTTTTTGCAATTTTGTTATGGTTTCACTATTAGAAGCGGCATCGTTTTGAAGCTTGCTGTTGTACTGTTGCAAGCTTGTGTTATACTCCTGAAGCCTTTTATTGATATCCTGAAGTGTCTTTATCTGGTATAAACAAAATTGGATTATATTTCAACCATATGGAAATGGCGAAAGCCAAGATAAGCGATAAGAACCTCAAACAAACCATCTGACCGACCTGTTGTTCAGCATTCAATGCCTCTACTTGTGCTTTCCTAAGCTCTTCTGATAAGGCATCTCTTGATTTCTCTACGCTACTCCTCAGCTCCACTTCTTTATTATGACTATCAATTGCGAACTGCATGCTTAAATAAATTACTATAGATGAAAAGGCAAAGATGCGTCCCAGGCCGAGGAAAGGTATGATACGCACCAATTTATCTGCTTCTTCCTTCTCCAAACTCTCCCGTAAAGAAGCATTAATCTGCTTCATGTTATCAAGCTCCACTGTCAGTTGTTCTTCTCTCTCTTTCATCTGAGCCGCTGATGAAATGAGATGCCATCGGGAAAAAAAAATAATCATTCGCCAAATTTTAACAATTTAAAAATAAACAAAATTATTGCCAGAAATGAATGTGATATCACAAATCTTAGACGCAACTCCGACCAACACGACCATCGTGTTTTACGTATGGTTTGCCATCTGGCCAATTTTATTTTATTTTTTTAGAGAAATGTAAAGATATTACCGAGATCTGCACATTGTTTCTCCGCGGATTCTATCGTGCTCTGGAGCTTAAGCTGTTCCTCCTGAAGCCGATCTTCTCGATCTTCAAACCACTTGATGCAAGCTCTAAGCTTTTTGATGTACTCCATCATCTGTTCACATTTAGCCTGTACAGCGCAGAGGGAAACAAATAGGTACAGAGGACAAGCAAGGAGATGAACTATACTATAGGTTAAACTCTCTTAAATAACCAACTCGCGAGCAAAAGGGCTTACCTTGTCGGTCTTGTTTTTGCCCTTCATTTTCTCGTTCAGCAGACGCTCGACATCCTCCCTGGAGGTGAACTCCAATCCAACTCCGGCGCTCCCTCCGTCGGGGCATGCAGAGTCCCCTGCCGCCGGATGGGGCACCACATTGGCCCCGGAATTAACGGCGGCAAGCACAGTACGCGGACGTAGATTGTTGATCACGGGGGTCGCCATTTTACCGACGATCCTCCTCCTCTTGTCCATTCGCCCCTCATCAACGTTCTCCTTCTTCTGCACACGAAAATTCCATTCAAAATTGAAGGGGGAAAAGCCAGCGAAGGAACAATCACTCAAAACGAGAGCTGTCAAAGAAAGCAAGCCCCGAGAGCAGAGGAGCCGACTGGGAGTAAGCAACTATTACACGTGAGGGGCTGCGAGGCAGCGCGGGCGGAGGCCTGTTCTGGTTCCTGGATGCCATCTTCAGCAACCAGTGAACTGGATCGGAACTGAAGCCGTAGAGGGCTGGGCCCCGGAATGGAACGGGACACGGAGAACAGTGTAGGAGATCCGGTCGTCCACCAGATCTCCCCGGACAAACCGAAACTGTCACGACGGCAACACGGCTTCCCCTACTCCTCTCACGTCCTCAGGGACCCGCTGGAGACTAGGGATCCATAACGCAGATCTCGGGAGGTATCCTTGCTAAACTTCTCTGCATTTCTCCCCCTCCCCGTTTCGACCAGCGGCGCTAAGCAGAGCTTACAGAGGGAGAGTGAGAGAGAGAGAGAGAGAGAGAGAGGAGAGAGAGAGAGGAGGAGGAGGGAGAGAGAGATTTGAAAATTTTTGAATCGGGGGAGCCGGCCAGCGACAGGCGGCACGAGAGGAACATCGTTTTCGCGGTTAATTCCCAAACTACCCTCTCCGTGTCAAATAACTACTAAAATAGGATGAAGTGAAATCTCTTTATTCAAAAAACTAATTATAAATTAATCAAAAATAATAATGTGAAGTAAATTTCAATAAATGTATATATATAATAATAATAAATCAGTCGGTGGAATGAAATCTTGGAAGTCTAAGAAGAAAATGAACTCAATTTTGGAAGAAAAAAAAAGTTAAATAAATTTTATATGATTATCATAATTTTTTATTTTATTTTTACTGGGCTTTTCATAAACAACTCAAAATAATTCATGTTCTTGCCTTCCTAAGCTACCATCAAACTAAGCCCACAAGTTTAAGCTAGTAACTTGAGACTAATAAATTATAAAAACTTTGTTTATAACCCATTAGGCCCAAAATCTTAGGGCATCCTCATACACAGTCAGTGAGCCCCATAAAAGAGATCATTGAGTCCACTAAGTCAATTGATAAAAGATTCACCCAAATTAAGATGACGAAAAGTCAACAAAATTGTGAAGAGAAATTGGATGAAAAATACCTATGAATCCTCCCCTCCCCCTCATCCATATATGTCAGCACAATCATTGAGGATTCCTAGAAAAGAGATCACTGAGTGTAACAGTGAAGTGACAAAAGAGGACTTTTTGCTCAAATTAAGACCATGGAAAGTCAACAAAATTTTGAAGAGAAATTGGATTAATGACACTCATAAATCCTCCTCTCTCCCTCATCCATCCTTGACTTGATCCAATTAAGAGTCAAAGCTCTTGACCATGCACATCAACAACAAACCACCTTCTGCTCCAGCCTCTTCAAGCAAAGTCATCACCATCTTCCTCTAAACTGAAATCACTATACCTTTCAAAGTCAACATTATTAACCTTTTTTCCTAAAGTTTTGCTGATTATTATTCATTCATTAATTCAATAGAATAGTTATTGTGTGCAAATGATTAAATGGATAGTGGAGCTACCTCAACTAGCATAATAATGTTATCTCACTTGAATATGCATATGTCTTCACTATTGAATTTATTATCCTATTAATTATTAACTTAGGTTGAGATTAGAAAATTAAATTGATACCTAATTTAATGCGTAAAATATTTATTAATAAATTCAACCGCCTCCATTATTAATCTAATCATGTATGCAAGAGTGGATCTTCCTAAATTATTAGTAGTTCATTTTTCACTTTGACATGGAAAATCAACAAAATTATGAATAGGAATTAGGCGGATGACACACATGAATCCTCATGCCTCCCTCATCCATCCTCAACTTAGATCCAACTAAGAGTCAAAGCTCTTGACCATGAACATCAATAGTTAGTTAGCTTTTGCCCATGCCTCCTTGACCAAAGTCCTCGCCTTCTAAAGTCAACATTATTGAGTTTTTCTTTCGAAGTTTAGTTGGTTGTTACTCATTTATTAATGCAATAGAACACTTACTCTATGTAATGATCACTATGAGTCTAAAGTCTATTATGGTCCAATAGTCTCAAAGGGTTGACTCACTATTAAATTTATTAGCCTATTAATTATTAACTTAACTTAGCTAGAGATTAGTAAATTAAATTGATAGTTAATTTAATGAGTAATTTATTTAATATTAGATTCAACCCCCTCCATTATTAATCTAACCATGTAAGCAAGAAATGATTTTACTAAATTAATAATCCATTTTTTCACTTCGATTTGTACATTAAGTTTTTTTATTAATTACAATAAATTTTGACGCCACCGAGCCCCCCCTGTTTTTATTTTTTTTATTTTTTACTGAGGTTAGATTTTATAGATCACCATATAATTCACATTCCAAAATATTTTTCGCAATAAAAAAAAAAGAAAATAACGAGCAGTTTTCCTTATCTTCGCGGGGAACGGGCAGGGGAAGTCCAGCTCGGCGAGAACCCCATCCACGCGTCGAGTTCTCATTGGGCAGAGTCTCCCCGAGGGTGGCTAGCCGTAGGCCGAGACACGTGGCGGGCCAGAAGTGGCTGGCCCCTTATCCTCAGAGATCGGGCAGATAACGCGGCCCTGACCGCTGCGCGCGTGTCCCTCCGTGAACACAAATTCCCGGATAAATCCTGCCCGAGGTTGTCCTCTGCAAAAGAGGAGTTTCAGAGTGAGAGAGAGAGAGAGAGAGAGAGAGAGTGGGAAGAAGGCAACCGGCGGGAGATTTGCAGAGCAGCGGAGGGCGGCGATGGCGCAGGCGGTGGCATCGATGGCCGGCTTACGCGGCTCCTCGCAGGGAGTGCTCGAAGGGAGCCTCCAGATAGGAGGACCCGCCAGGCTCGGCGGCGGCCGGGTGGCGGCGCCGCGGCAGGTTTTGCCGGTGGTGAGGGCGTCGGCGGAGGCGGAGACGAGCGCGGCGGCGGCGCAGACCGGCCGGCGGGCGGCGATGGGGCTGGTGGCGGCGGGACTCGCTGGGGGATCCTTCGTGAAGGCCGTGCTGGCGGAAGCTAGGGCGATCAAGATCGGTCCTCCTCCACCGCCCTCCGGCGGACTGCGTGAGTCTCCCTCCCTTCCTAGCTTCGTCAAACTCTCTCGAGATTTTCCACAGAGTTCATTCAATCAATCCGACGAATCATTCTCCGGTTTTCCTCGGCTGAGTTCGGCTCGGCGGAGATTCCGGAGTCTCAGGGGATGATGATTAATGCCGACGGCCGAGTTCCTGGAGGTTGATCATCGGCAATCATCTGGATCTGAACTTCTCCATTCAGGAATCATCGATTTCATCGATCTGGATAACTCATCTGAATATCTCTGAAGAAGATCTGTTTGAATTCGTTTTCTTGGGACGATCTCTCTTGAAAAAAGCGACGATTCATCTGCGCGATTTGAACTGACCTCGTCGGCTCTCCATCCTCCTCCTCTTCTGCTTCTTATTCTGCTAACAGCCGGAACTAAGAACTCCGACGAGGCCAGAGATTTCGAGCTGCCGCTGAAGAACCGCTTCTACCTCCAGCCGCTTCCCCCCGCGGAAGCGGCTCTGAGAGCCAAGGAGTCCGCCAAGGAGATTCTCAACGTGAAGGTGCTCATCGATAAGAAGGCCTGGCCGTACGTCCAGAACGACCTCCGCCTCAGGGCCGGCTACCTCCGCTACGATCTGAACACCGTCATCGCCGCCAAGTCCAAGGAGGAGAAGAAGGCCCTCTCCGCGCTCACCGACGCCCTCTTCTCCAAGATCGATGACGTAAGTACAAGTCCATCTCCCTCCAGTTCAGGATCGAATACCGCAAGTGCCTCGCCATGACACATTTCCTCTCTCGATCTCTCCTTCTCTTCCTCTTCCTGTTCTTCCTGGATCTGCCAACAGCTGGATCATGCCGCCAAGGTCAAGAGCTCCCAGCAGGCGGAGAAGTACTACGCGGAGACCAAGTCCGCCCTCGACGACGTCCTCTCCAAGCTAGGGTAGAAGACCGGCAGGAACGATTCTCTCTCTCTCTCTCTCCATCTCTCTCCCTCCGTGTATCTACTGCCTCCTTTTTCTCTCCTCCCCCGCCCTCACTCCCTCCCTCTCTCTCTTCTGTAGCCGCCACTGAGAGCTTGCAGAATTCGTTCCTGCTCTCTGCCCGACGCCTGTTCGACGAAATGCCTCTTCGAGATCTCCTCGCTCTATCCTCTCTCTCTCTCTATCGGCGAGGCCGGAAATTTTTAGGGCCGGCCCGAAAGGCACAGGTGGGCGGGCTCGGCCTGGGGACGGAAATCGGGCCGGGCCTCTTCCATCTGAGTCCGTCGACATAAGAATAAAAGCACGTGTCGATAGTGAAATATTTGAACGTGCACTGGGAGTGGGACATTTTCGTAAAATGAGGTAATTATCGAGGGGGCTATTTCTCTAATTACCGTCCAGATTCCGGTCAAAAAGTTTATTTTGGAAACTATTCCCCCCCCCCCCCCCCCCTTGATTAGAAACCTAGATCCCTCCAGATTCGCCTCTTTCTCTCCCGATTCTCGTAGATCCGCAGGGGCCAACCTGGCGGAGGGAGACAAGTAGTAGCCCTTCTTCCCCGTCAAGCTCTCTCTCTCTCTCTCTCTCTCCGGCTGAGGTTGACCCGCAGGCGCCCGTCGGGGTGGAGTATGATGGGTAGTAGCCCACCTCCTCCGTTAAGTTCAACCTCTCTCTCTCTCTCTCTCTCCCTCTCTGACCATGGTTGACCCGCAGGCGCCAGTCGGGGTGGAGGATGATGGGTCTAGCCCACCACCCCCGTTAAGTTCAAGTTCTCTCTCTCTCTCTCTCTCTCTCTCTCTCTCTCTCTCCCCTGTGTCTCGGACGATGGTTGACCCGCAGGCGGCCGTTGTGGCGGGGGGTAGCAGCCCACGTCCCCCCGTCTGGCTCCGTTTCAGTCTTCCTCTCCAGCTCTCTCTCTCTCTCTCTCTCTCTCTCTCTCTCTCGCTGTCTATAGGTTTTTCTCTGTCTGTCTCTGTCTGTGAAGGGGTTGGAAGAGGGGGAGGGGAATGTCAGCGGAGCCACAGCTGGGGGTGGGGCGAACCCGCCGGAGCTCCTCCTCCTCCTCCCCCCATCCCTTCCGAGCAGTAATTTCGGAGGCCATGGGAGCTCAACCCCTCTGAGAAACCTCATCCCCCCATATTTAGCCCCCTGCCAACAGCCCGTACTGCTGCCGTCTTCTCTCTCTCTCTGTGTCTCTCTCTGAAAATAGAAGGCTGGTGCTCCGGCCCCCGTCTTCCGGATACTACCGTCCTGCTCAACTCTGCCCTAAAGAAAGAAGTGATCGTTTATCTGATTCATCCCCTTCCCAGTTTCCTCTCTCCGCCCTTCTCCCTCCCTCCCTCCTCCGTACGGCTCCTGCTCTCTCTTTCTCTCTCTCTTCCTTCCCCTTCCCCTTATATGCTTCGCGCCTCCTCAGTGTTCTTCCCTCGCCCCCCGCCTCCGCCATCACCGCCGCCTGCTCTTCTGCCGGCAGACCTGAGCCCATCTCCTCTCCTCCTCGACGATGTAAGCCCTCTCTCTCTCTCTCTCTCTCTCTCGCGTACGCGCTATGTATCCCAACTCTCCTGTTCTCTCTGTCTTCAGCCTCATATCTGGTGCATTCCCTTACATCCCATAGAGATAGAGAAAGAGAGGGGGGGAGAGGGCGATTGTGTTCATTATAGAATTCGGAACAAGAGAGATTGATTGTGTTCGTTCTTAGAGCTCATAAGGAGAGATAGATAGATAGCTAGAGATAGAGAAAGAAAGAAAGAGAGAGAGAGAGAGAGAGAGAGAGAGGTCATGTTCATTATAGGAGTTTAGGACCAGAAAGAGAGAGGAAGAGATATAGAGAGACAAATTGATCGTTTCGTCCTTTGATTCCGAAACAAAGAGAGTGAGAGAGAGAGAGAGAGAGAGAGATCTTGTTCATTCTTTAAATTCCGAACAAGACAGAGAAGGGTGTAGAGAGGGAGTAAGAGATAGGTCGATCATGTTCATTATTAGAACTCGAAAGAAAGAGACGATGAGAAAGAGAGGGGGAGGGTAGGAGGAGAGACATAGGGAGATCGATCATGTTCATTCTGAGTTCAGAATCAGAGAGAGAGGAAGAGAGAGAGAGAGAGAGAGAGAGAGAGAATACGTAAATCATGCATGAGAAAATAAGAATCATTGACAATTATTTCCGCCTTTTTTAATATCGTCGGGTCGTAACAGGGATCACATGGCGGTGGACGACGACGAGACCGAGATAACGACGGTCCCTTCCCTCATGGGGAGCTCCTCCTTCCCCCACCCTCCGCCGCCGGAGCCCTCCTCCTCCGCCGCCGTCCCCGGCGGCGCCGTCTACTCCGGTGGCAGATTCAAGGGCGTCGTCCTCCAGCAGAACGGCAACTGGGGCGCCCAAATCTACACCAACCAGCAGCGGATATGGCTGGGGACCTTCAAGTCCGAGAGCTCCGCCGCCGTGGCCTACGACCGCGCCGCAACCAAGCTCCGCTCCGGCGACCCACACCGGAACTTCCCCTTCTCCCTCTCCCCCCTCGAGCCCACCTTCCAGGGGCTCCACTCCACGGAAGCCCTCCTCGCCATGATCAGAGACGGCTCCTACGAGCCTAAGCTCGCCCAGTTCCTCCGCTCCACCGGCGGCGCCGCCGACCCCTCGGGGGGAGCCCACTGCGGCGGCGGGCTCGCCTTCCAGGAGCTCTTCCGGAAGGAGCTCACCCCCAGCGACGTCGGCAAGCTCAACCGGCTGGTCATCCCCAAGAAGCACGCCGTCAAGTTCTTCCCCGGGTTACAGACCTCCGCCGCGGGTGACGGCGGCGCCGCCGCCGAGGGCGTGATGGTGGCGTTCAGGGACCTGCAGGAGCGGCAGTGGGAGTTCCGGTACTGCTACTGGAGGAGTAGCCAGAGCTTCGTCTTCACCAAGGGATGGAACAGGTTCGTTAAGACGAAAGGGCTCCGCCCCAAGGACGTCGTTATATTTTACCGCGGGGACGATACGGGCGGCCGGAGGGAGCCCTTCTTGCTCATTGACGTCGCCCTCCCACGCGGCGGCGCCGCCGAGGAGCCGCCGGAGACGGCGTCGGCCCGCGGCGGCGGCGGAGGACAGGCACTACTCACGAGCGGCTCCGGCGAGGTCGGCTGGGCGAGGAGAGGAGGGGAGGTGGTTGCGGCGGCGGCGGAGATGCAGCCCAAGAGGGCCTTCCGCCTTTTCGGGGTCCAGATCAGCGAGAGATGACTCTCTCTCCTCGTTCGTCACGTGACAGGGGGGCACGCGGCAAATAATTTTTGGAGTCAAAGAGTAGGATTTTTTCTGCCGACTTTGCTCTACAAAAGTCAACGGTAATTCCCTGATTTTTTCCTCCACCCCCCAACAGAGAACTGGGTTGACCCAACATCTATCCATATCCATCGGGACGCCAATCGACAGCAAAATATAAACATCGTTCACAAATCATTCTGACTTTCCTTTTGACTTGCCACTCAAATGTTCCCATTGACTTGTCACATTTGTCACTCAAATATTTCCTGCTAATGATTTTGACTTTCCCGTTGTCTTGTCTGCCAAATAAGTAAGGAATTAGTCAACGAATCTCCTATCAACAGCGCCCATTGGTGAAACTGGCATCTTTTATATTGACAGGTTTTATCCGACTATTTATGTCTATACCAGCCACAGCCCGGAAAAATACTATAACGCTTGAGATAAATAAATAAACATGAATATGAAGAGAAAAAAAATATAACTAAAAAAATAATACGCCCTTCTATTTATAAATACATAAGACTGGTTATTGCAGTATAATTACAAATATTCAGAAATAGTATTTATTATTTATTACCCATCCTACGATAATGAATTTTTATCAGAATTGAGTCCAAAAAGAGTAACATAATTTTATAATTGGCTGAGACATTTAATCGGATATCTAATCAATCTAGCAGTCAAGTATCATCTGTGGTTCATACCAACATGCTCATATTAAAAAAAAACATTAAAAAAAAAAGTTGACCAGGAGTAACTTTATAATTGGCTGAGACATTCAATCGGACATCTAGCAATCTGGCAGTCAGGTATCTGTCTGTGGTTCATACCAACATTATCACCGTCATCTACTTGATTTCAAGTATTTATGAGGAAATCAGTTCCTATGAAAAATGATAATACAAAGAAGAACATTAAAAAAAAAGGTTGACCAAAGGTATATTTGCATTCTGCCTAATGTCAACTTATGCTAGAGCTACTGTCCACAACTTTATAACTGGCTGAGGCATTCAATCGGACATCTAGCAATTTAGCAGTCAAGTATCTGTTTGTGGTTCATACGAACATTCTCACCAGCATTTACTTGCTTTCAAGCATTTATGAGGAATAAGTTCCTGAGAAACAATAATAATAACGAGAGTAAGAGGAAAAAAAAAGGGTTGACCGAGAGTGTATTTGCATTCTGGCTACTGCCAACTTATTGCCTGAGCTGAACCTTCACCTCATCTTTTTCAGTCTATATTTCCATGTTTCTCAACTGCGATGACATCCTGTATTTTTCAGATGTAAACCCTAATATGCACTGTTCATGCATCAGATGAAGCATATAAGACCCTGAGGAGTAAAGTCAACGACTATTGCTTAATTCATATCATATTACCATTTCTGAAGCGCCCAAGTTTCTTCATCAGACACACATTACGATTCAATGCAATCGCTCATTCATATCATATTACCATTTCTGAAGCGCCCAAGATTCTTCATCAGACACACATTACGATTCAATGCATTCACAAATGAGCGATTGCATTCTGCCCTCATACCCATGGTTTAATACAAAGAAGAAGATCATGTAAATGGGCGAGCGCATTCTGAAGATCCTTGGGCTGTGAAGTATCTAGCAAACATGTTGAGAGAATCGTTTCAAGTTCTAATTACGCACAAAAATATGAAAATGAAATGATTCTGAAGCGTCAAGTCAAAATATGCGATGGAGTAATAAATCGGTCAGTATTGAATTAACCTAGAGAACAGCTCGGAAGTAGAATCAGGAGCGAAAAAGAAGATAGGAGTTCAGAAATGGTCTGGAGAATCCTACAGATGCCGTGACCGGCCCACAGGAATTCCATCACTCCAAAATTATTCAAAAAAACTGGATATCTGATCATTCTGAGAGTCTAATACAATCACCTTGCCAGGGCACAGTAAGATTGGAAAGCGGTTCCGCATGCAGTACCTCCCTCAGAAGACCACCCGGAACTGGGGGGCGTCGGCTCCGGAGGCCGGCAGAATCTCCCAGCGGCACGGCTCGAGCTCCTCCGACAGGGGGCAATATCCTGCCAGAGTCACCCGGTCGCCGGACGCCGCCGCCGATCCGAACTCGAACACCGTCACCTCCGACGGCCGGCGGACCACTTCCTCCGCCCCGTTCATCCCAGTGGCCTCCGCCCCCGCGCTCCTCGCCGCCGGCGCCTCCGCCTTCGCACCGGCGACCTTGCCTCCGGTCGTTGCCGGCGGCGGCTCCTTCCCTCTCCACCAAGACAGCAGCCCCATCGGTGCAAGTCCGGAGAACCTCGAGGGTTTTAGGGCTTGGTGAAGGAGGGGAGGATCAGAAACCCCATTCAGTGAAGAAGACGAACCAGAGAAAAGGGATGAGGGCAGAGTCCGGTCACCAGAAGTGTGCTTACCTTTCATGAGATGTCGGCGTCGGACTGAAAGAGAAGAGGGAAGAGTTTGGTCACTCGCGGTATGGTTACCTCCTTTTAGAAATGGTGAGGGGAAGGGTCTGGTCACTCGCAGTGTGGTTACCTCACATGAGAAGTCGGCATCGGACCGCCCTCCAGATGGGCCGATCCGAATAAGCAGTCTTTATTCAATGAACGATTCAAGTATATTCTTTCATCAAATATTTTCCGGGTCCGATCGAGCCATCCCAGACGGAATCGGGCGAGTCCGCTGGAGAATCGGGAAGACGTAAATGTCCGCACACGACAAATCGTCCTCTCCCTCTCGTGGCGGATCTCTCGAGGAAGTCGCCACCCGGAAATGGAGGAATGGAACTCTGCAGCGGCGGCGGCGCCGCCGCCGCCGGTAGGTCATCTCTTGTTGTTCTCTCCCGAACATCCTCTCCTCTTGCCGAGACATCGGTGAAGGTCATCGCCTTGAATTGGTGAGCAGCTGTCTCTGTGATTTCTTTCCCGACGAGTAATGGCGCCGTGGTGACTTCTTCGATAGAAGTACCTGAGCTTCTAGGACTAGTCCTGCGGACATCTATAATGATCCCGTCTGCTCAGTCGTCGGCGTCCCTCTCCACTCTGCCGTCGGCGATCTGTCGCCGCCGGCAGGATTCCAGGCGATCCACGGAGAAAGAGATCGCGAATTCATCTGTTTCTGACCTCCCGCTGTTTCGCCGGAGAATCTCTCTCCGTGTCGTCAAATGTGGCTCCGTGGAGAGCGGGCTGTACCCCAAACCGCGGCGGAAACCTGCTCCGGCCACCACCGGGGAGCTTGATACTGAGCAGAAGCTGGCGACTCGATCCTCGAAGGAGAATTGGGGGATCTGTCTGCAGATCGAGAAGCTGGTCTTCTTCAAAAGGTACCATGAAGCCCTAGAACTGTTCGAGATCGTCCGAGCGAGGGTCTGCGGCGACCACGCCGTCGGCCGGAGCACCTACGACGCCCTGGTGAGCGCCTGCATCGGAGCAGGATCGAGCAGAGACGCGAAGTTGCTCTTCCACCACATGCTTGAGACGAGCTTCGAGTTCGACCAGTACATTAGGAACCGCGTCCTGCTGATGCACGTCAAGTGCGGGATGATCCTCGACGCTCGCCACCTGTTCGATGAACTGACCGACAAGAACCCGATCTCCTTCAATATCATGATCTCCGGACTCGTCGACGCAGGTGATCACGAGGAGGCATTCAAGTTGTTCTTGCTGCTGTGGGAGGAGCTTTCGGATGCCAGCTCCCGGACATTCGCGTCGGCTCTCCGAGCTGTCGCCGGATTGGGGCGAGCATTCTCCGGCCGGCAGCTCCACGCCTGCATCATCAAAATGGGTCTTCCGGCAGATATCTTCATCTCCTGCGCGCTCATTGACATGTACAGCAAGTGCGGCAGCATCGCAGAGGCTCACTGGGTGTTCGACGAAATGCCGGAGAAGACCGTCGTCGGATGGAACACCATCATCGCCGGATACGCCCTCCATGGCTACAGTGAGGAAGCTTTGGATGTCTACTACGAGATGCGCCGATCCGGAGTCAAGATGGATCACTTCACCTACTCCATTATCATTCGAATCTGCGCCAGGCTCGCCTCACTGGAGCACGCCAAGCAGGCCCACGCTGGACTGGTCCGCAACGGGTTTAGCCTGGATATTGTGGCTAACACCGCCTTGGTGGATCTCTACAGCAAATGGGGCAGAATGGAGGATGCAAGGAACCTCTTCGACAAGATGCCTCGCAGGAATCTCATCTCCTGGAACGCCCTGATCGGAGGTTACGCCAATCACGGCCAGGGAAAGGAGGCCGTCGCCATGTTTGAGCAGATGCTGAGGGCAGACATGGCCCCTAACCACGTCACATATCTTGCCGTTCTGAGTGCCTGCGGGTACTCGGGCCTGTCTGCAGAAGGGTGGGAGATCTTTGAATTGATGACTCTGAAGCACAAGATCAAGCCGAGGGCGATGCACTACGCCTGCATGATAGAGCTGCTGGGGAGAGATGGCCTCCTGGATGACGCTCTTTCTCTGATCAGAGGAGCTCCCTTTGCTCCCACTGCCAATATGTGGGCGGCCCTTCTCACCGCTTGTAGAATCCACAAGAACCTGGAGCTTGGGAAGCTGGCTGCTGAGAAGCTCTACGGGATGGAGCCGGAGAAGCTGAGCAACTACGTTGTGCTTCTGAACATATACTACAGGTCCGGGCGATCAGATGAAGCTGCCAAGGTTTTGGAAACCCTGAAGAGGAAAGGGCTGAGCCTGCACCCAGCCTCTAGCTGGATAGAAATAAAGAAGCAGCCCTACAGGTTTCTCTTTGCAGATAAATCCCACCCTCAGAGAGATGAGATCTATGGAAGATTGGACGAGCTGATGGTGCAGATTGCTGCAATGGGTTATTCCCAAGAGGAAAAGTCCTCCTTGCTCCCTGATGTGGGGGAGCACGAGGAGCACCTGCCTAGGTATCACAGCGAGAAGCTCGCCGTTGTTTATGGGCTCATGAGCACGCCGGAGGGGACTTCACTGCAGGTCGTACAGGGCCACCGGATCTGCAGCGATTGCCATGGTGTGATCAAGCTGATATCCAGGATCACAGGGAGGCACATTGTTGTTAGGGATGCAAGCAGATTCCATCATTTTAAGCAGGGTTCATGCTCCTGTGGTGACTACTGGTGAGCAGATTGTTGGAGTACCCTTCCATACTTTCTGATTTGTTGACTTTCTCCATCGTGAGTCACTGTGAGATCTGATGGGGGTTTGACCCAGGGAGCAGTCTTCCACGTTTTCTGAGTCAGCGAGTTCCTCCATCGCTGTGAGATTGATGGAGGTTTGACCAGAAGTGAGGGTATTCTTTCTTACCTAGAGACCACTGATAAGCAGGGCGATAGACTGCCGATCTGCCAGATACTCTTCTATATTTCTTGTTGCAGTGAGTTCCTCCGTGGAGGAAAAGTCAACCGAGAATAAGCATCATATCGGAGGGTCAACCACTATGAGATTTCTGTAATCTTTCTTAAAAGGGTTTGTGATTATAAAATTTCCGATTATGTTATATGATTAGAAACTTTATGTGATCCTCCTTATCATGGTAGACATGATGAATGGAAGTAGACCAAGGAAGCTGCTGTTGGCGATTTTTGGATGTGTTCATAGCAATTCAATTGATAATTATTATCCTTATATTAAATCCATATAAATATTAACAACCATGAGTTTCTTCGTGGGCATATATATATATATATGGCAATTTCAGATCATTTTTACGAATTTATATCATCTCATCTTCCAAAAAAAAATGTGAAAAATGTGTTTTATTGTAGGGAATTAGCTTGATCCATCCACAAAATGAATGATTTCCATCAAGAACTTCGAGTTACTCTTTCTATAAATGTCAAAAGAACTTTAAGTCCCTAAAATTTTCACTTTATTGCGTAAATTCTCACATGCTGTGAGGAGATTTGTTCCAAAAAAATGGGAAAGAATGTGAGAAAATGGTAGAGACGTGTAGGTTGACTTTTTACAATGGTTTAATAGGGGTTGACTTTGTTATAACTCCTCATCTATATTTTCCATTGAGAACTTTATTGCATTATTTCTTTTATGATAAACGAAGATTCTCTCCAGAAAAATGGGAAAAAAATGTGAGAAAATGTAGACACGATGCAAGTTGACTTTTCATATTGGTTTCTTAAGGGTGACTTTGTTGTTACCCATCATCTACATTCTTCATTGAGAACTTTATTGCATAATTTCTTTTATGATATAAGGAGATTAGTTCTAGAAAACCGATAACATGTGAGAAGATGGTAAACATATATTTTTTCTAAATTTCTACGATTTTTTTTTTTTAGGATGCGGGGATGGTCAACGGAGTGGTCGATTAATTATAATATAGAGGATAGTTTTTATCAGTATTTAACAGGGGAGTGAAACCCGACGCAGCTCACCCTACCAAATCTCAGCCGTTATTATCACCGAAGATTGGACGGTTGAGATGGCTATCCGCGTGCTTTGCTTGGATTGGGTGCACGGCATTGCGCCGGCCCGAGTCTTCTTTCTGGGCTATAAAATTGAGAAGAGGAACGTCTGAGAGCCAATACCGGTCCTTTCAGTTCTCTCTCTCTCTCTCTTTCTCTCTCTCTCTCTCGCCGGCGAAGAGCTCGTCGTCATGGCAGGAAGAGGAAAGGCCATCGGCGCAGGGGCGGCAAAGAAGGCGACGTCAAGGAGCAGCAAGGCCGGTCTTCAGTTCCCTGTTGGCAGGATAGCGCGATTCCTCAAGGCCGGGAAGTACGCCGAGCGCGTCGGTGCCGGCGCCCCTGTCTACCTCGCCGCCGTCCTCGAGTACCTCGCCGCCGAGGTATTGCTATGGCGCTTCCTATCTCTCTTGTTTTCGCGGCATGTGATTTCCGCTGTGCGCTTGCCGGATGTGTCTACGCCATAGATTTCGACAACTTTGGGCTTGTGATTTCCGGTGTTCGGTTGCCGGATACGTCTTAGCTGTAAATTTTGAGAACTTCGCGATTGTGATTTTTTGTGTGCGGTTGCTAGATGCAAGTCCGCTATGTATTTTGACAACTTCGCGCTTGTAATTTCCTGTGTTCGGTTGCTGGATGCAAGTTCGCCATATATTTCGACAACTTCGCGCTTGTGATTTCTTGTCTTCGATTGCTGGATGCAAGTTCGCCATATTTTCGACAACTTCGCGGTTGTTTGTGTTGATCGGGGAAAAGCGGTGACCTCAGATTTAGCCGATATTCAGGTTCTGGAGCTCGCCGGGAACGCCGCCCGTGACAATAAGAAGACGAGGATCGTGCCTCGGCACATCCAGCTGGCGGTGAGGAACGACGAGGAGCTCTCCAAGCTCCTCGGCGCCGTGACCATCGCCAACGGCGGCGTGATGCCTAACATCCACGCTCTGCTCCTCCCTAAGAAGACCGGCGCGTCCTCCAAGAGCGCCGCCGCTGACGACGACAGCTAGAGTTCTCCCCGCTTCTCTTCGCTTAGGGTTTTCCTCCTCCCCGACGGAGGAGATATCTTGTAGAGATCTGCACCGGAGATCGGGGGATCCGAGGTCGGTCTCTGACGATCTGCGGTCAGTAATCGCGGTGGAATCCTCTGTCGATTGTTACATAATTTCTCCTGTAATTTCTCCGACATCGTCGATCTGGTCATATCCCGTCCGTCGTGTAGTTCCCGTTTCCATAGTATATTTAAAAACATTTTGGAACACTCCATTCTTCTTCATCGGAGATTCCGCCCGAGTTAGATGAGAGTTCCTTCCTACTATAACCAGGATCGGAACCTCGCTATTACTCCAAAATTGTATCAGTGACACAATTCTCTCACGCTCTCTCTACCTCCCTCTCTACAAATGCAGACTGCACTTTCGATTAGCATCGGTGGAGCGGGAGCAATTCATGAGCAAAGAAAGATCACACCTTCCCACACAACCAAGAAGTTGAACCGGAAAAACCCTCCCTCCATTTCGGACGAGGAGACGAGTCGGGGAATCAGATCCACTGTTCCCTTCCTGAGACAAGACAAGCGATTCCGGAGACTTCAAAAGTCTAAAACCCACATCATGGATGGAGGAACAAGAAGAACGAGCGAGAGAGAGAGAGAGAAGCAGCAAACTAGAGAACGGGGTTCTTTAGGGTTTCAAGATATTAATGTCGGAGGAAGAGGAGAGGTGGTGGGCTCAGGGGCTGTCGAGGGCGTTCACCAGGGACTTGAGGAGGTCCTTCTTGAGCTCCGTCCGCTCCAGCATGAGCTTGGCGCCGGCGAGGAAGTGCTTGCCCCAGCGCTCGTCCATGGCCCTGGCCACGCCGGGCTTGAGAAGCTCGAGCGCCCTGGATACCGATCCCGGCGGCAGATTGTTCCCCGAGTCTTTCTCCAGGAGGTTAATGGCTTCTCTCAGATTCCGGTGAGGCCCCTCCGGCGACGGCGCCGCTGCCCCGTTCCCGGCCACGCCGGCGGCGAGAACCAGGCCTTCTTCTTCCCGGTCGTCGGAGGGCGGCGGGGGCGGCGCCGGCTTCTTGGGGCCCCAGATCTTCTTCGAGAGCTGGAAGGAGGCTTGCTCGTGGCTCTTGGCGAAGGCCGGATCGGCGCCCTTCTTGCTTCGGCGAAGGTTGGTCTCGTACTTCTTCCTGAGGCGGCGCATCTTGTCGGAGATCTGGGTCTTGGAGAATTTCACGCGCAAGGAGCGGTGGATGAACTCGTAGAAGGCGTCGACGGCTGTCGCCGGGTCGGCGGCGCCGCCGTGCTTCGCCAGGAACGCCACCATCCCCTCGAGCACCGAGATCTCATCCTCCGCCGTCCACACCCTCTGGAACAGCTTTTTGCCGGAGGCGGCGACGGAGGGGTCCTCGCCGGCGTCCGCCGCCGCTGTGCGCTTCCTTTTCTCGGGGGTCACCTTCACCTCGGAGGCGGCAACAGCGGCCCTCTTGGGCTTGGCCGCGGCGCCGCCGTCCATGGGCTTGGAGGCGAAGGGCTTGATGGAGGGGTCAGCGCCGCGGGAGGCGCGGCGGGGAGGGGGAGGGGGCGGGGGAGCTTCCGAGTCGGATGAGTCGGAGCCGGACTCGGATTCGGACTCACTCGGGGGCGGCTTTGCAGCGGCGGCGGGCGGCTCTTCTGGAGGCGGGGGCTTACCGGAAGGGGAGTCGGAGTTCTCGTCGGAGCCATCTTCTTCCTCGTCCTCGTCGCTGCTGGAGGAGTCGGCGGCGGCGGCGGCGCTGGCGGGGGGGGTTTTAGGGTTGGAGAGGGGCTTCTTGGAGGGAGGGCTCGGCTGGGTCTCCTGGGGAGGCTGCTGCTGCTGCTGCTCCTCGTCGTCGGAGGAGGCGGCGGCGGAGCCGGATTCCGATCCAGAGGAGGAAGACGAGGACGGCGGGGGCCGGGCCTTGGGGGGCATCTTCGAGGGCGGGAATGAAGAGACTGTTTCGACGGTGGCGGCCGCGGAAGGTTAGAGGAGGAGAATTAGGGTTTTAAATTTGTTTTTAATAATTTTAGGTATTAGAAATTACTCCACTTGTCAGGATGGCCGAGTGGTCTAAGGCGCCAGACTCAAGTTCTGGTCCTCGAGAGAGGGCGTGGGTTCAAATCCCACTTCTGACAGTGAAAAATGATAGTATATTATTTTGTTTCACATTTTTCTTGCTCAAAATCCCACTTCAATGATTCTTCTTTAATCCTCGAATTAAAGGGAAGAAAATGTATGCTATAAAATGATCTTCGGCGGTAGCACACAGTTTTATGAAGACTAGATATTAGAAAATGGGGGATTTTAAAAATATATATATTTAATGATATAATAAAAAGATTAAAAATAAAGTATAATTTATGTATATTTAAATAATTTTAATGGAAAAAGATAGTTTTCCCATTTGATGCCAACCCATGATGAACACTGCTCTAAAAAAGATTATAGTATCATAGTACTAATTAAGTATCACTATGAAAATTTGGCATAATTTTTATTTTCTCAAATCGAAAGCTTACCATTTTGGGAGAAGAATGGGTTCTGGTGATCCATGTTGAAACTAGCCGAATCGAATTTTATCGATTTAGAAATACTAATTGTAATGTTTGAAAGATTAAATCAAACATTATATATCTTCATCTTTGAATACCATAAAGAAGCCACTAAAATAGGCCAATAAACCTACCCTAGGAAAAGTTTTCCATGATCCACATCAGTTGATTTAAATCCTGATTATGATTGGTCAATTTGCTTAGTCAGATTGCCCCCAAGAGCAAAGAAGGAGCATCATCTCAACTAATTAATCATTATTATCAAATGTGTAATTAATTTAATTCTTCATCAAGCAAAATCAATAAAGTTTTCATTAAAAATTAAAAAAAAACATCCCAAAATTCATTTCGTCCTAACTGATCTTGGCCAATCTCCAAGATCTTGAGCATGCCCTGTGGTGGGGATAGTGGCCATTGACCAGGCTCTTCATTGGGTCAACGGAATGGTTCAATTAAAGCATCTAGAGATCACGAAATATGTTGACTTTTTATTATTCCTACCATTTTGGGTCTGCTATGGATTGACACGTTTTGCAGCTCAATGCTCTACCATAAAAATGTCATAAATATTTAAATATTTTTTTAATAAGTGAAGTAAAAATAAATATACTCGAAGCATATTTTTTAAATTATGTTTTATAAAGAAAATGATTTATGGCTCCCCTTTTTTAGTCCCCGAAACCCAACATGAAGCACTGCTTGCTGATTGACCAATGAGGCCCGTCCGATCGACATCTGGATCAGATCGCAGACGTACAAATTTCATTACCCAATTGGGAAATAAGTAGATCCCCAACCCTGGAAATCCAATCGATTGCGATCTCGCTGGGTATCTGATCAACACAAGCCTGAATATTCATTCCTGGGAACTGGACGAGCAAACGGCTTCGGGATTCCTCAGGAATCCGACCCGGACACAGCAGGCCACTGTCTCCCTCACGACCTCCTTGACCCCGTGCGTGAACCGGAACCCCAGCTCCGTCAATCTCCTCGTGGAGATCGCCGCCGGCAGCGGCGGCGGTGGCTGCGGCGCCGAAGCGCCGCCGTCGAACGGCGGATATTCCGACGAGAGCAGCTCCGCCAGCGTGTCCATGCTGCAGCTCCCGCCGGAGCAGATGTACCGGCCCTCCGCCACCGCCGCCTCCATGAGGAATATCTGAGCCTCTACCAGGTCCTCAATGTGCACCAGAGAGATGGAGCCCATTCTGGAATTGACGGCGAGGAGGATCGGGTAGAGCAAGGGTTCCTCTGGCATCACCGGCGATGGCGATCAGCGGCGAGAAGAGAAGATCTTTCGCGCACGGCTATGGCGGAAGCGTACTTACTGGTTATCGGCGATAAGAGGACGCGGAGGCTCACCGGGACTTCCGGCGTGAGGAAGGGCCCCGCCACCGTCGTCGGCACCACCGCCACCAGCTCCATCCCGCTCTCTCCGGCGAAGCGCAGCGCCGCCTCCTCAGTCATCACCTTGGAGAGCGCGTACGCCTGCACCACCCAATCCATGAACGGGAGAGAGAGAGAAAGAGAGAACTTGAGCTTAACGGGGGAGGTGGGCTACTACCCATCTCCCTGCCCCTAGGGGGCCTGCGAGTCAACCAGGGTCGGAGATATAGAGATCGAGATCGAGAGAGAGAGAGAGAGAGAGAGAGAGAGAGAGAGAGAGAGAGAGAGAGAGAGAGAGAGAGAGAGAGAGAGAGAGAGAGAGAGAGAGAGAGACAGAGACAGAGAGAGAGACAGAGAGACAGAGAGACAGAGACAGAGAAACAGAGGGAGAGTGAGAGACAGAGACAGAGAGAGGGAGAGAGAGGGAGGGAGGGAGAGAGAGGGAGGGAGGGAGAGAGCTATCGGCGACATTACCCAACCGGGGGGCTTCTCCTTCCAGATGGAGTCGACGGAAACGAGAGAGGACTCGTCGACGAGGGGGTTCCACCCACCGGAGGAGTTCCTTGCGGTGGCGGTGCTGATGGAGGAGGTGAGGACCACCCTTTTTACAGAGTCAGCTCTCCGGCAAGAGAGCATCACGTTGAGCGTCCCTTCCACCGCCGGCTGCAGGACCTGCCGGCGGACATAGCCGTCTGCCAGCAAGGTCAACGGAGGAAGGTATGAGAGGAAGAAGGACGGCGGTGGAGGGGAATAGGAATTTTCTCAGCCGGCGGCGGGTTACCCTGGTCGGCGGCGTCGGGGGGGACGCTGAACTGCATGGAGGCGGCCACGTGGAAGACGCAGACGCAGCCCTCCACCGCCTCGTCGTAGCTCCCCTCCTCCTCCATGATGGCTCTGAAGAGCTTCAGCCGTTGGGAGGCGGCGCCGCCCCACGCCGAATCCCGGAGCTGCTCTGCCTTCCCTGTTAAGTGGGCCGAAGAGATCATTGAGCCTGAGAGCCCACAGTCTCTACCCTATTGGTGGCGTCGTCTCCGGCGCCGGCAACCGCCTCACCGGCGGCGCCGCCGGTGAAGGAGAAGGGAGAGGGGAACAGAGTGGAGAAACGCTTACGGAGGTCTCTGGAAGCAGCGTGGACAGGGTATCCCCGCCGGAGAAGAGAGCGGACGAGCCACGACCCGATGTACCCCGTGGCGCCGGTGACGCACACCGCCGCCAGGTCCGGCGGCGGAACCCCGGGAAGGGGCCCGGCGGCGCCGCCCATCCCTGCGTTCGCCCCTTCCTGGGCCTTCTATTCCGCCGCCGTCTGCGGGTGGGGGAGGGGGAGAAGGCGGCGGCGGAGGGTAGAAGCTTGAGATCTGCCAGTGTGCCGCAAAGGGTGCTGGCCGCCGGGGGATCCCTTCTTCGGCTTGGATCAGCCATAGCGAGTGCAGTTACTCGCCAGTGAAGTTACCCCCGCCGCCAGTTTCCTCAATGGATTCGCGGGAAAATCTTCATTTTTTTAATATAAAAACCAATTTATTTACATTTTTTATGAACCGTAAGGCTTTTAATTTTTTACATTAGACACAAACCCATTTTTATTTTTTTAAATAAATATAAATGAAATAATAACGGCCATTTAACGAAATAAACATAGAAATATGATAATAAAGTAGACATTATAACCTAAGCAGAATTGAACCACAAGATCCCCGCCTAATACGGTCCAATTTATTCAACATCATGTAAACTTTACTTGATCAAAGTATGTGACTGTGATCACGTTGCCCACCTACCCACAAGGAAGCGGCCCTTCCTCTGAAGAGGAGGGCGACCCACGCCATGGCTGCACCAGGGAATGAACCCCATCCCTCTCCCCTGCGGCGACCTAACCTTCTTCCTCCCTCTGACGCGTTGGTAGCAGCGGCGTCGCCACGTGACCACCGGCCTTTTCTCTCAGCAGCGGCCAGCAGGCTAAGTGCTGGAGGAGGAGCAGGAGCTATATATTTGCAGGGGGGGTCTTTCATGGTGGTCCTAGAGAGACCGCAGCTTTTTCGCCTTTGAGGAACGGCAATATCTTCTGGACTTTCAGGCAGAGAAGTAAGGGGAGGAACTTTCGTTAGCTCCAGCGAGAGGAAGATGACGGCCGGCGATGGAAACGGGAAGAAGACGGCCTGCGTGACCGGCGGCAACGGGTTCTTGGCGTCGGCGCTCGTGAAGTTTCTCCTCGAGCAAGGCTACGCCGTCAACGCCACCGTCCGCGACCCCAGTTCATCTCCGGCAACCCTGATCAAATAGATCTTTTTTGGGGGCTGCGTTGGCGCTGACCTTTCTTCCTCCTCCTTTCTCCGCAGAGGCGACGGCGAAGGTGGCTCACCTGGCGGCGCTGCAGAGCCTTGGCGACCTGAGGATCTTCCAGGCCGACTTGAAGGTCGAGGGGAGCTTCGACGCGGCCCTCGCCGGCTGCACCTACGCCTTCCTCATCGCCAGCCCGGTGGAAGTCGACGCCAAAGACCCCGAGGTATTTCTATAGTTCACGTTGTCGTTGAGAGAAATAGTTTCTGATAATCAGTTTTTCCGATATAAATTACAACTGAAAAAAAAAACCCATTTATTAATATTTTTTTAGAATTAAACATGCCCATCATATCTCATGTTTCAGGGCTATTAGCTCATGTTGAGAAGATAGTATTTTTTTTCTTTATTTGGTTACGGATGGTATGGGAGTGCTCTAACAATGGAGGGGAACTACGAGCAGAACGACCTGATCAAGCCGGCGATAGAAGGGACGCTGAACGTGCTGAGGTCCTGCGCCAAGGCGAAGACGGTGAAGCGGGTGGTGCTGACCTCGTCGGCGGCGGCGGTGTCGGCAAACCGCCTCGAGGGGCCCGGTCTGGTGCTGGACGAGGAATCATGGACCGACGTCGAGTACCTCTACACCACCAAGCCGCCGACTTGGGTAGGGCGCGGCCCGTTCTCTCTCCCTCCCTCTCTCTCTCTCTCTCTCTCTCTCTCTCTCTCTCTCACTGTATGTCTGTCTGTATGTCTGTCTGTCTCTCGCTCGCTGTCTCTCTGTCTCTCTGTTTGTTGTGTCTGTCTCTCTTTGTCTGTCTGTCTGTCTGTCTGTCTCTCGCTCGCTGTCTCTCTGTCTCTCTGTTTGTTGTGTCTGTCTCTCTTTGTCTGTCTGTCTGTCTGTCTGTCTCTCGCTCGCTGTCTCTCTGTCTCTCTGTTTGTTGTGTCTGTCTCTCTTTGTCTGTCTGTCTGTCTGTCTGTCTCTCACTCGAACGGTTCTTTCTTGCACTGGAGGTGGAGAGACAATTAGAGTTTTTTTTCTGGCTGATGAAGGGGTACCTGGTGGCCAAGACGCTGGCGGAGAAGGCTGCGTGGAAGTTCGCGGATGACAACCAGCTCGACCTAATCACGGTCAACCCGACCATGATCGTAGGTCCCACCATGACCCAAGAAACCCCGTTCAGCGTCAGGTTGGCTCTAGCTTTGATAACAGGTGAGCCACATTACCTTGGCTGTCAATGGGCCTCTCTCTCTCTCTCTCTCTCTCTCTCTTCTGCCATAAAACGATCACTTTGAGCAGGTGAGGAGCTGCCGACGCTGGGGGTGAAGATTATGGAGAAGGTGTCCGGGTCGATCTCACTCATCCATCTGGAGGACGTCTGCCGGGCTCAGCTGCACCTGGCCGAGACGGAGGCCTCCGCCGGGCGTTATATATTGAGCGCGGTTGACTCCGGCTTGTGGGACATTGCGGCGTTCCTCTCGGCTACATACCCACAGTACAAGATCACCACAAGGTGAGACTTTGATCCCACATTTTAGATAAAAATGAAGCCTTTTCCCGAAAACCCGCGTTAAAAAATCGCACCTTGCGATGACCCACCTCGTCTCGGCTCGTCAACGGCCGGGAAACCTCCCCCCACCCCCGTTCTCTCTTTCTCTGTCTGTCTGTCTGTCTGTCTCTCTCTGCCTCTGTCTCACGGGTTCACTGGGTTGACAAACCGACACCCATAGAAGCGTTAGAATATTTGGCCATTCAACTCATAAATAGTAACAGTAAGAAATTCTGTTCAATCACATGATCTGAATCGTTCTATCTGCTTTAGACTCACTCTCTCTCCTTCTGGCATGCCACCGACAGCCTCGCCGAGGTGCCTGTGAGGCCGAGGCTGGTGTTTAGCACAGAGAAGCTCCAAAAGGAGGGATTCAAATTCAGGCACAAGCAGCTCGAAGAACTCTACGACTTAGCCGTCAAGGTGGCGACAGCGACCGGGCTCCTGCCGGAGGCGACGAAGGTCTGAAGCTCACGTGTGCATGGGTGGCGTGTGGGTGGGTCCCTTGGTCTACTCATGAATCCACCGAATCTGGTGAGAGTCAACAGTATTACAAATAAGAAGGTGCTGTGATTAGTTCCTACGTTGTTGGAGGTGGGAAGAAGAGGAGGGGTGAGGGTCTGGGTATGATATCAGTAGTGTGGAGATGAATCGATTTCGGTGAAAGTGGCGACAAACAGGGGTTTTTTGTCAGTCGTCGTGACCAACATGTGCACCTAATCTACACTTGGGTCGGATCGGATAAATAGTCTTTATCTACTTCTTGTAATCTATTCTGAAGCAGCGTGCTCTTATTGCGTCCTTTGGGTGTAAGTTGCTCTTCAATGGACTTCACCTTTTTGAATTTATTATTTTATATAAACTATGGATGTCCTCTTAAATATTACATATTTGTAATTAAGTGGGTAACCAACTTTGATATGTATGAGATTTAATCTTCGGATATTATGACCCAACTTTGATATTTTTCTTTGTTAATCATGCAACCACGTCAATCTAATATGTGATAAGGAAGTCAGTTACTCAATGCAGATTCCTTGTCGATTGTTGGGTGATCAAATCCTTAACAACCCCAAAGTGACATAATAAATATTTTTGATAGTTAAGGGTTAGTCATACATGAGGCCAATGGTCTCTCTTTATAGAAGGCCCCCTAGGTAGCATTCTTTACAATTTCAGTATGAGACTATGTGTTCCCACTCCAATTGACGTTGGGGTAGTGACATCCTTTGCTCTCCTTTTGGATGATGTCATGCTTGTGACATCATCATATGTCCTCGTGGCCTTAGGTTGTAACATCATGAAAATATGTAGTGTTACCATACCTTCTTGTGTGCTTGTCATGTTGGTGTGCATAGGTGTCGTGCCAACACACACATGTGTCATGCTGGCACACGCTAGTGCCATGTCTTATGCTCTTCTGTGTGCTATGCCCTCCTGAGCACACTACTGTGTGATTGTCATGGGGTGGTACTTATAGAGGGATCCTGGTAATATTCTCTCCCTCTTGTGAGGTATGACATCCTCATTAAATGTGAGCAGTGGTGATAGTCCTAAATCAAGGCCTTAAATTGACAAAAGTTCATGTCCTTCTCTCATGTAGCTACTTCTCATGATTGTCCTATCCACTGAATGAAATAAAAAGTGTTATCATTGGTGGAGGTTGACGCGACTTAGTCATTATATAATAAATCATGCAAATTTAAAATTTATAAAACTAAAAATACTAATTTTTAGGTATTTAGAAGTATTTCTAAATAAATATATCAGTTGTAATTAAATAAAAGTTTAAAAAATAATAAGAATTTTCCAAATCAATCATAGGGATGTAATATAATATCGAGTAATTTTTTAGAATTATCATCGAAGAATATAATTTTTTTATAAATTTTTGATTAATAAATAAAAATAAAATATATTTAAAATTCATAAAAAAAGAAAATATGGGTTCCATCTATTGATTCTTACGTAAGCAATTACATATGATTTAATTAATCAAATTAAGATCTGTAAAAGCTGGTTGTAATTGAATAAAGAATAGTTTGGTAAATTTAAATTACGCAAATTATCACTAAATAAAGTGAAAATTAAGTTGAAAGTAAGAAAATAGAGTTTTGACATCGCGACAATGATGTGTTAGTGATGCACCAGAATCTTGAGCATTCGAGAGGATTGTTGTACAGTGTCCACAACCTCGAAGGCTCTCCTTGAACAAAGACGATGTGATTAATCTCTAGATCTTCTTGCAAAGTTCAGAGATCGATGAAATAGGTCATCAAATCGTCTTTGGCAACTGTCACTTGACAAAATGAGAAAACAACAACTTTGCAGCTCTCTGATGGTTGTCACCCAATAGAGAGGAGCTGGATGGAGGTGGGGCGCGTGTTAAAGAGCTTCATCCTCAAGTCTACACAACAAAAAGAGGCTCTTCATCATATCTAGTATGCTCTCAGGAGGTGGCGACTCATCTCCCGACAGATCGTCCTCTTTCCGACGACGACTTATTCGTTGATCAATTAAAGATGCTTTACTCGATGGATTTATAATCTTTTTATCATGAATTATTTAACAATTTTAGTAACAATGCTTCACGAATTGCGTTGATGAGATTTTCATCGATAATCGAGTGATTTTGACGACTTAATATTTCACTGCCGATCTGCAAGAAATTCATGATTTAATCAGATAAAAATACAAATTTTGACTCTGGTAGGATTTGAACCCACACTGATTGCCTACTTGTATGAGAGAGATTGAAATAAGTACTATAATATCCTTATAAAGTGATGTTATCATATGTATATCTCTATTATAATTAAGGGGTATTTTAGGTATTTAAAAAATAAAACCATTTCGAAGAAGGTATGACGTGGGTTTAGTTTCATATTGATTATACGTTGAAGGTTTAGGTGAATATATAGTAATATCACATTCTCAAATAATGATCCCTTTCTTTCATGTGTACGACCACTCTTTGCCCAACAAGTCCCCCCTTTTTTTATATATATATATTTTATTTTTCTTCATTTATCCAAAAAATAAAACTATAAAAATTATATAAATTTGTGTAAAATCACAAAACTAGCTAAAAATGAATTAACTAAAAACTATTTTTCACAATTTAACATAAATATAAGTCTATTTATTATGAGTTAAGGTTTAAACTATATTATTTATTAATTATTAACTCATGATAATGAAGACTTATCAGAGGTCAAACGTCATTGATCTTGCTTTAAATCTTCTTCATCTACATGGTAAGCTTTTAAAAGTGAGATGTAGAAGACCATGTGTACTGAAAGGTGAGGTAAGAGTTGAAACCAATAGACTAATTGTCCTACTCAAGTCATGATTTAGAAATGTCTATCAAATCGAGGTACCAATTCACTATGATGTTTCTATCTATAAAGGCTTTTATGAGTAAGGTACATACGGAAGTATCTTATCCTTTATTGCATACTTGACTTCTCGTTGATGTTGATCAACAATCTTTTTCATCATTTGTGTTGTCCTTGTCAATATTCTCGAGCCTCTTCAATGAGATCGTTGTAATTCTTGACAAATCGGTAAACATTTAGTAAATATCATAAACCTTATTATTTAACAAGTTCTTAAGGTGTTACAGGTTGTCAGTCCGTGGACAATTTAAATGGTGAGTGTCATGTGAACATATTGGTGGATGTTTGTGGATGAGTTAGGTGACATCAAGTAATTCAATCTAATTGTTATGTCATGTTGTGGCATAATATTGTAGATAATCTTCTAGCATTCTATTTACTTGCTTTATTTATATGTTTATATGTGAATAAAAGTCATTAAAAAAGTTAAATTTAGTGCCAAGAAAGATGAAGAGAGTTGACTAGAATTATCTTGTGAAATAGGGATGCGATCAAAGATAATATCGCGTAGTATCTCCCATTACTTGACTATGTGTGTCAAGAAGAGGCCTATCACATATTTTACCTTGTACAATAGCCATGTCAATATAAGTATTACATTTTTAAAAAACATGTTAATAACCAACAAGATGATGTCATAGTAGTTTACTTGTAAGAGGCTTGTGATCAAGTTAATAGACAAAGATTCTCACGTTTCTTTCAGAATGAGTGGAGGATTTAGTGTTGCTACAACATTATATTATTTCACTGATCAACAAAACTTGTGTTTATTACTGTTCAGGATGTCCTGCATGTGATGCATCTTATGTCTTTCTCAAAAATGTTGCTATAGTTGACTACCCTGTGGCACATAAGGTTTCCGATCTTTAGTATATAGGATGTCATCCTCCACCTAGAATCGCTAGATTTCTCTTCTCCCCTATTGGAGGAGGTGTTTGACTACTGAATATATAGTATATGCTACTTTTATTGAGAGGACATCAACGACTTTGATGGTTCCTTGTCAACTCAAGGTATGGGCTACTATATTAGTCCGCTTGTGCTTATACTTGATGAGAAGTCATACTCTACTAAGAAGTCTTGTCAAATGATTTATTTGAGAGAGTTTATTATGAGAGTTAAAATAACTAGTAGCAACATTATTAATGTCAATGACAGATGTATACTTAGAAGATAATGTTGTTAAGTCTATAGGTAACGTACTACAATCACCATTTACTTCTTGTGTACTGAATATTATTAATGTATCACTCAACTTCTTTTCTTCAAAGGTTATGAGGTGTCACTCTTGCATTAAGACACATTCGATAGCTACTTCTAAGATATCTATATATATCTTGAAATGTTCATTGAAGTTTCAAAGCTGTAATATTAATTATTCTGTAATTGTCTCTCACAAGTTGCCAAATGTTTGTTAACATGTCTCAATCTCCATCTACTTTTGGCCTTTTCTTAGAAGTTTGGTAAGTGATGTAACAATATGTGAGAAGTTTCAAATGAATTTATGGTAGTAATTCATGAGTGTCAAAAATAATCTTAATTCTAGTACCCCCTTAGGAGTTGGCCACTGATAGATAACAATCACCTTCTTTTGGTTCATCCACACTTAGCTGTTACTTACCACATGACTTAAGAATTTGACCTCTTGACTTACAAAGTCGTATTTTGCTGGATTCAAGTATAGTTGATGATCCTTTAGTGTCTCGAGTACATGTCTAAAATGTAACAAGTGTTATTGTAAGTTATGACTATATATTAAAATATTATTAAAATACATGACAATAAATTTATCTAAGAAATGTTGAAGGATATGATTCATGAGGACACAAAAATTAGTATTTGCATTTATTAATTCAAAAGTCATGACAATGAATTTATATAACTCATAATATGTTACACACGCTATCTTCTATTCATCCCCTTCTTTAATTTAGATTTGATGGTAGCTGTTCTTTTAAGTCTAACTTTGAGAAGATCTTTACTTTTCTCAACTAGTCAAACAAATCTTCTACATTAGGTACTAAATACTTGTTACTCACCATGATTTTGTTCAAGGCCCTATAATCTACATAAAATCTTAGTGTACCATCTTTCTTCTGTTGAAAAAGAATTAGAGTGTCAAATGGGGCATGAGAAGGATGAATATATTATGTTAACAACAACTCTTTCAACTGTTTTCTTAACTCTTCTAGGTGTGATGGGGGCATCTTGTATGCGGCCCTAACTAATGGTCACTCCCTTGATAACAACTCAATTATTTGTCTCGCATCGACGTAAATTAACAAGAAGGGAGGCATGATGGTATGCGACTCTTTGAATAAAGATAATGCATGCGGGTGACCCACTAGGTTTCTTTCTCTTTTCACCTCCCGTAATGTGATGAGGTAGATGTTTGCATCCTTCTGCAAGTTTGACTTTAGTTGGATTGTAAAGATGAATTGAGACTTCGTTGTCTCTTATGTAGATCCCTACACAAAATAAGATTTATTGTCCCCACATATGAGGATTTTATTACAGTGGAAGAAGATGCTCACCTTCGCTTTGATCATAAAATCAGCCCCCAAGATGATAATAAAGTCATTTATTCTCAAGACTAAGAAATTCAATGTGTCTTTCCATATATCATTTAAACTTTCACATGTCAAGTCAATCCAATGGACATTTGAGCTTTAGAGTTGGCAATTTTGATTATGTTGCTAGTCTAAATAATTGTAATTTCAATTGACGGGTCTCTTCTTCCGACAAAAAGTTGTGTGTCACCCCGTAATCTATTACAGGTTATGTTGATATGTTGTTGGGGTAATTAAATGACCTTAACTTACGTTGTATTTAAAAGTTGAAGGGTATTCAAGTTAGGTATCTCTTTGATCTCTAGTGATGGTTGCTTTGACGCCAAGACTAGGTTAAGGTGGCTCTAGCCATATGACAGTCTACTTAATACATATGTGGCATCCTATCTACTTTGGACCTTCTCCATTCTAATCTTGCTAGGTTGTTTTTGACCCCCCCTTATCAATAATGGACCCCCTCATTCATGATTATTGCTGCACCCTTTGTTCCTCTGAGAGGTGTCATCAATTGATTTGTCACCAACATGGTAGTACGAATATCATGAGCCAATGTTTGAAACCCTTCTATGAAATAATGGGACTTGTCTTCTTTATCCATGTGAGGTACATCTAGTAAGAGCATAGAAAACTTATTCACATACTCTTAGATATCTCCCTTGTTCAAAGTTGGCGGGACAGAATTGACCTTAAATCTCCTTGGTCATCTCATCCCAACATGTCACCGCTAGTCTTGACATATCCTCTAATCGAAGTTACCATCATACTTTGGCATGTCTTGTAAGAAATAAGCTACCAGAAAAACATTTTTCTCTTCTAAAAAGGTACTCATGTTTTAAAGAAAATTCTCAATCAACATTACATCCCTCTCACTTGAGTAAGGTTTAGGTTCAGGTGCCTTGAGTTGAGATAATCCAAGATATGAACCTTAATTCTGAGATCTCTAGACATTGCACATCTTTGTCTAGAGGTTGTTCATAGCTTCCTCTATCTATCATTGTACTTGATCATTCGATCCACAAACTCTACTTGTAATGTAGAGATTCTTCTTTTTTGAGATTTATAAGAAGTGGCTATTTCCACTATCTAGTCATATATTGACCATGGTTCTTCATTGAGTTTCTTAGATAAGGCCTCAATTCTGCTCATAGCCTCATGGGCCTATTCCCCGACTTGAGCTGCTTGAGCCTCTATTTACTCTCATAAACTAATGAACTTAATTTGTAGTTGACTCGCAAGGGTCTTCACATCCCTTATTGTCATCTCTTGTTATTCAGTAAGTCAGGTAATTCATTACCCTTAGGTATCACTTGTATTCAACCTTTCATTCGCCCCCATCACACTAAACTCTCACTAGCAAAGAAGGGTGAGAGGGATAAGAAGGTTTAATTTAACTTTGATATCACTATGACGAGAAAGTCAGCTGCTCAACAAGAGTTCCTTGTTGGTTGCTAGGCGATATGATCTCCAATGACCCAAATGTAACCCAATAAATATTCTTAATAACAAAAGGTCAATCATACATGGGATTAGGGGTCCCTCTTTATAGATGGGCTATTGGACAACATTTCTTATAATTTCTAAATATGACTAAGTGTTCCTACTCTAGCTGATGTTCAGGTAGTGGCATCCTCTGCTCCCCCTCCAAATGATGTTATGCTTGTGACATCATCATTTGTCCTTATGGCCTTAGGTTGTTATGTCAGAATTGTGCACAACATCGTCATACCTTCTTGTGTGATTGTCATGCTGACGTACATAAGTGCCTACCAACACCCATGGATGCCGTGCAGCCATGTGTGGGCACTATGCAAATGCGAGCGTGTGTTGTGCTACCAGACATAGGCACCATGGTGACGCGTGTGAGTGTCATGTCGGTGCATGCTGGTGTTGTGTTTTCTGCATTATTTTGTGCACTGTGCCCTCTTGCCAAGTGCACCGCAATGTGGTTCCTAAGGGTGCTTCATGTAGAGTGACCCTGGTAACATAATCCCTATGGTTTGCTTTTTTCGTGAAATTCTTTTGATAAAAATACAAAGGCTCCTAAAAAGCTATCACTAGAACATAAAATTAAAAAAAAGACTCAAAAATGGATCTAATAGTTAACATGCACATTGAGTAGAATCGAATTTAAGAATTATATCTTACACATAGTTTCTATTCTTTACTTAGAATAATACTCATTGATTATTGAGAAATTAAGATCACTCAATCTTTGCAATCAAGATATTTTTTTTCATAAAATTCAAAAAACTGAAATATGTTTACATTTCAGATGGCATGATAATTGCATGTCATGAGCTTTGAGTGAGGGTCGCATATCTGATTATTTTTAGAACATCACCAATGCATCTTAGTATGACTAATGAGTTTGACTATTCTTTGCCCAGTTTCTCTATAATAATGCTATGGACAATTTAAGATATAACTTTCATACCATATTTTCTCTATGTTATATTATTTTTAAATTAAAAAATATAAATAATCGATATAGTTGTTTGCTACATTCATAGTTGAGCTTTATGCCATGACCATCAACAATTTACTAGTGTGTAAGATTGTGAGGATAGTATTATTATTTATGTAATGAGGGCTAAGAAATATAATTTAATTTTAATTTATGATTAAGAAATAAAAAGGATAAAGAGCAAGAAAATTCATGGGGACCCATATTGCTAAGGTTAGACTCATTTATGTATTTATTGAAAGCAATGTGTAATGATATATTTCTTTTTGTTGCTTGTAGCTTTTCATGAGATTAATGGAATGGGGAGACTAGTGTGCTACTTCAAGCTTTTGTCATGGTAAGATGGTAGAGGATTGTTGAAATCGGCAAGCTGGTTCTAATGATTATGAAGCTAACACTGACTCATATAGATCTTTCTTGTACATTTTTTATTGAAAAAAAAATGAAGAGTTCATGAGTTGATAATCAGATGGCGCCATTTAATTGAAAAACAGTAGAATATAAACATGGCAACCCAATCCATAAAACCAATAAGATCTTAATTTTACTTTCAACATCGGATTATTCTTGATAGGCCTAGTACGTGCATAAAAGTCAACCCTTATACTATGTTACTATCCAATGATGACCATGGACTGCATCTGGATCCAAACCCTAATGTCTAGAAAATAGGAAAGTCAGAGCGATTCATCTCTCACAGATTGTCATTTCGACTCAGATTCCTAATATAATGCCCTACCTTAAGCGTTAAAAATTGCAAATTGTAAAATGCCATGGAAGAAACTGATATGGTTGAAAATGCTCAAGGAAACCCTCAGTCAGGCATGGATTCCTCTTAAGGCATGCAGAGAGAGGGAACCCACAGGCCGTGTGAACAGCAGCGGGTCAAACGATGGGAGGGAGTAGAGGAGGCAGAGACGGACACTTGGGGAACAAGCTGGGATTCTTCTCTGCATGGTGGAATAAATGGCTACACTCTTCCTTCTCTTGGCAAAAGTGCAATTTCATCAAGATGATATGGCTTCTTTCTCCTTGTTTCTCTCTCTAATTGTGCTCTTCCACTTCTCCACACTGTCAACTATCTCCCCTGTCTTTACGAGATAGCGGACCCGCGATCCGTTATCAAGTGTCTTGTGCCCCACCCGGCTCGCCACATTCTGTTCCTTTGAGTACAGCATCACATTGGAGCTGTGGATCGGTGCCTCCATCTGTCCACATTAAAAGATAATTCTATAAATTAAAAGAGCTTAATCTCATATATCTATATATATGAATTTAGTTTAAAATCAAACAAATAAAATAATAAATATAGTGCAGTGGATTCTACAGACCAGGAGATGAATGTGGTAATTAATCTAGATGTGCTGTTCTTAAATCATGGTACATTTATAGTATTATCCAAGATCAAGATTTCTGTCTAAATCACAGATGGCGGTGGCGGAATAGGTCACTGCCTTTTCCCCCCCTCCCCCACTTGCCGGCGACCATTTCACCACCACTGCTGCCATTCTGGGACTTGCATGAACATCTTATGGTTGTGGTGGACAGCAGAGGACTAGTAGTTCAAAATTATGAATACCACGCTGAGTTACCGAATGTTTCCATCAATAATCATGGAACGGCACAATGCTGTTTTGGGTAGGCAAGCATATGAACAATTTACCATAATTGGAAAATAAAATCATGAGAGACAAGACGTCACTTCAGGTAGGTAACCAAATGAACAAATTTACCATAATTAGAAAGTGCATGCATGACCCTGATGCAGCAAAAAGTTTTAAATGAGAATTCAAGTCGCACCTTCACAATCTGCCCTGGCTCCCCCTGCTCTCTGCTCTTCATGTGCTTTGTCTTCAAGTTGATGTCCTTCACGATCACAGTGCTGTTGTGCTTGAAGATCCTTGAGATCTCCCCAATCTTACCCTTGTCATGGCCAGAAATCACTTTCACCGTGTCGCCGACCTTCACGTGCATCTTGTGCAGCACAGGAAGACTGTTTGGTTTGCAATCCTTCCTTTCCCATCGCTTAAGCTGCACCCAAGAGCAAAAACTCAGCAGGGGAATCAGCTGGGCTGCTATTTTAGGAAATTAACACCCATTAATAAACCTTATGGAAGATCACAACCCGTGAGATTAGGGAAGAAGAACTGACCTTCATTACAATGGGACCAGTCATATCCGAAGTCTTAACCTGAAAATGAATAAACATCAGGCGTTTCAAGAAGCAATGAATGAGCATGGGACGCTGCATATCATTGCAGAGGCATAAGCCATGAGTATGTGAACAGAAATTGGTGCATTGGCTGGACTGGAGATTTTTGTTCTTTTTAGAATTATATTAAATAGAACTAAAATGAGAAAGAAAATAAAGGAGGATTAAATTGCCCAGGCATAAAGGCGAGAACCTAAAAAAGGCATGGATAGATGTGATAGTCGGTTCATTTCTTGGAATATCTCCTGAAAGTAGCTCGTAGGGGGAGCAAGAAAACCTGGAAATATCTCCCATTTAAAGCATACAAGGTAAATTCTAACATACAGTTTAGAAAAAAATGTGGTTCTTGACCAATGATGTAGATATTTGCCTTCTTTTCCACTATCTAATGTTTTTATTTATTTACTTATTCATTTTTCTGAACAGAATTCAGGAAACAAAAAACATGCGAGCTATGCATTTCTTGGGTGTTTGACTAAATCGGGAACGCGCACTGAAAGAGAAAAAAATATCCTCCATTCAATGATTTTTCTCTGTTCTTGTTAACAGTCCTCCTTGTGGAGGAAAAGATGTGATAATCTGTGAGAGCCTGCTTGAGTTGCTCATCTTAATGGCTCCCCGGAACAAATTACCCATACGCAAATCTCGCTGCTAAATCTGCGTCGCAGAAGATAACAGATTCATTCGGAGAAGAGACCGATCATTCCTTCCAACAGAAAGCGCTAATTATTCATCCCTTTCCATGGGGCCCCCAAATTCTCCTCCGTGGATCGAAGAATCGTATCCTCTTACAGCGGGAGACAGATGAACCAGATCGAGTTCTTCCGGATTGGACTCCTTCGACTAAGAAAACTTAACCAGAGACAAGCACAGGTGTGTGCGAGGCATCCTCCGACCGTATCTCTTTCGGGAAGAGGGGAGGGGAGACTGGAGGGGAGGACTCACATTCAACGGAGCGGAGATTGGCTGGGCCAGACGCTGGCCCAGGAAGGAGCTTGAGGAGAGAGAAAGCGCCGCCATGGAGCTCTGGAGCGCTGCCATCCCCACCATCTTCCCCAACCGGGTTCTGCCCCCCTTGGCGACTTGAGAGAGAGAGTGAGAGAGAGAGAAGGGGGGAGAAGTCGAGATAGGATAGAGAGAGAAAGCAAACTACGAACGGCTAAATGGTGAGAGATGACCGTTATCCATTTACAAAGCTGGGGAGGATACGGATAAAAGAATATTATTTATTATTCATGTTTAGATAAACAGACATCAATGGGCTGACTACCCCCGTCGGGCGGCCCAACAAAGACACGCTCAGCGGCCTCGATAAGTCGGGGGGCCTTTTGGGCATTTAATGGGCCGTTTTTGTTTAGGAGCCTCTGAATCGTCACCAGCTAGATAAGTGGCCCCATGCTTTAGAAAGCCCAATTAGTATCTGGGCATTTTTCCAAGGCCCACCCGCCTCGGGTCCTGTCGGAGAATGGGCCCAATCGAATCCTTCCTATCCGCCATCCGCGAGAGAGAGAGAGAGAGGAGCAGCAGCAGCATTATGGAAGCTGAGAAGTGAGCGTTAGATTTATATGATCTCTCATGTGGGTGATTTAATCACGAAAGCAAGCCAGTTCGTAAGCAGCATGCCTCATTTTCCTAATACGGAAAGCATAAATCATGCTACAAAAAATAGTTACCCTACAAAAAGGGCAAAATGGTCCTCGTCAAGTCACTTTTCATACCAAAGAATACCCCACATCACAGAGATGATGGTGACGATGAACATGTGTTAGGCGTCGGTGAAGTCAGATCCGCTGCCGAGAGACGATGGCCGTCTGTGATGATCGGAGATCGAAGCCTGGGAATCGGACGGCCGTCTAACCTGGCGCCTTCTGAAGTGGGGGTCGTTGACGATGGAGGAGAGAGACTGGACGATGTCCCGCATGGAGGGCCGCCGCTTGGAGTGGGGTTGGAGGCAGCGGTGGGCCAGGTTGGCCACGTCGAAGAGCTCCTGGGCACTGTAGGCGCCGTTCAGCCTGGCGTCCACGATCTCCTCCCATCCGACACCCTCGGCGTTCATCGCAGCCTGAAAATGATCACCAGCCGTCAATGCGACCAGGTCCGAGCATGCTTGATCCGCGTCGAGAGGTATTGCTCGGTGTTCCTGCTGACTGGGGGTGGTTTCAGACGACCCCGACTTGTAGACTTTCTGCATCTGTGTCGGGGCAAATCATGTGACCTTCTGCCCTCCATTCTACATATGTATGAATCCACAGGGAGAGAGCAGGGGAGCGGTAGAGAGAGAGAGAGAGAGAGAAGAGATAAGAGAGAGAGAGAGAGATAGCTACACCCCTAGAAGGTGCATGGAGAGAAGTGATCATGGATAGAAATATGGAGGGTGCATGATATCAGGTCAACTTAGAGGTCAGGAGTTGTTTGGGAAATGATATCATTAGACATCAACATTATTATTATTATTATAAATATTACTTTATCACCTTCTGTTTTTGTAACGCACCAACAGCACGAAAATATGATGCAGATGAAAAAGTCAACGCTTATCTCTGCGCAAAGTTTTTCTAGGCATGGTATCAAATGAGTCAACTGGGAAGTTTTCTAAGTGGCATTCAATAAGGGAAAGAAGGACGTACGAGGTCAACGTATTCGATGAGGCCCTGCTGAGGATTCCTCCCGGTTATCAGCTCGAAAAGCAGCACCCCGAAGCTGTACACGTCGCTCTTCTTCGTGAACGCCCTGCTGGATATGTACTCCGGATCCAGGTACCCAAAGGTTCCTCGGATATTGGAAGCGTGTGGGATGTCCATCTCTTCCCTCGACAGCCCGAAGTCAGCAACCTACTCACAGAGAACATTCACAACGAAGATTAATCCACATCTGCGATGCAGATTGGTCATTTTCTCATCAGAAACCGCATTTATCGAAATAAAAAAAATGAAAAATAGCCAAATGGAGAAACAGTCAACCATTGGTCAACCATTGAAACAGTCAAACAGGATCAGACAATTATCATCAAATATATCGAGAAATAGATAAATTTGGATAATTCCATGAATAGGAGGATTTAACCATACCCTGGCTCTCATATTACTGTCCAGTAGTATGTTCGAGGATTTGATATCACGGTGCACCACGGGAGGAACAGCCTGCATGAAAAAAGAAAAACAAAAAAAAAAGAAAATAATTAAGTCTGAGAAAAAAACATCCAGACATGTCATAAATGGAAAAGGAAGTACCCCATCGTGCAGATACTCCAGGCCCCGTGCCACGTCAAGAGCAATGGAGATTCTCTGGTCCCACACCAGGGATTCGTGCTCCTCCCCTGTGATCATCACCAAGTACACAAAGGTGGGATTAGTCAATGTTTACCGAAAATAGTTGGCTATGAGAAGAATAAGTCAGAGAAAGTATGTGGAGTCTTTGTCCAGAAATTTTCTTCTATGGCTGCTTCTGCGACTCAAAGTTGGCATTGACCACTTTGACTTCGCGGCTGACCTCGATTACTCTGCGACTTGTACGGTTTTATGAACGAAGGAGCGGTTTTAAAAGGCTGATATTTCTCCTTCTATTTTGGCAGAGATCCCCGAAGTTAGTTGACTGGGTGAGTTTCCCTCGTTGTTGTGGGAATATGCAGTCAGAGTTCCTCTTTTTTGTCCTCGAGAAGTTTTCATGGCAGCGAGCACATTTAGGGGTGGGGGGGGGTTCCTAAATCTGTACAGTTCGTCTTAAATGTCCAAAGTGGCAAAGCTTAAGAAGCATTTATATACATGAGAATATGTTTGACATTAATAATAATAATGATAATAATAATAATAATAATAATAATAATAATAATAATAATAATAATAATAATAATAATTAAAAGCAGACGTGTTATTCCAATACTTACTATATAGGTGGGAAGCAAGGCTCCCATTTGGCATGAAAACATATATAAGCATGCGCTGTCCCTTCTCAGAGCAATATCCCACCAAATTGACAAGATTTCTGTGATGCAATCTCCCAAGAAGTAGCACCTAACAAGACACATTGAAATCTGAAAACACATCGTAAAATGACAATATCTATAGCATAACACCAAAGATATTTCAATAAGGGAAAGGGCATGAGAGCAAAGAAGCTAGGAGAACTCTAGGTTTTAAATAAAAAAGGGGAATATGCTATGCATAAGATGAATAAATAGAAGAAGAGAAGAGGAAAGGACAGGAGGAAGGTAGTAAGCAGACAGAAGGTAGAACAGAGGATGAACTTGTGCATATAATATACAGGAGGGGGCAAGGGCCTAATCTAAGGGGTTTGATATACTCTCTAGATGAGAAAGGCTGACGGTGAAGAGGATGAAAAAAAATTAAAATGCCCAACGGATTAGTCATTAAATACAATGCAGCTGGTTTCTTAAGCATACGTTGATTATCAGAAAAAGAACCTGTATCGCCATAATATCTTCAGAATAATTGAAAATGTATCACTATTCAGCAAAGAATTGTCCCATAGTAGTTATTGATTAGCTTTACCAGATATTGGCAGTAACTTCAAAGCATCATCATCTGCTGCGTAAGGTGCATATATTCTAGAAAAGGAAAATACCTCGGTCTGAAATTCCTTCTCCCCTTGCTTTGACTTACTATCAAGAACCTTAACCGCTACTGTTTCGCCTGTGAGCATCTGAGCTTTATAAACAGGTCCAAATGCACCTTGACCTAAAACTGTTGTGAAATTGGAAGTCGCCTTTTGCAGATCCCTGCATTGAAATTGACAAGAATGGGATAAAATGCCAAAATAAAGTTTATTATAATTTTTTGTTTTTATGAAGGGCATGATCCTCTACTAGACTTTAATCCTGAAAGATCAATGTCATCTTAAACGATACATTCTCGTTTCTCCTTTCACTCAACCTGAAGCACTAGCATGACATAAGTTGTCACCAGATATTAAGGGAGAGTATTTTTTCTTCCCAGCAATCCTCATGTCACAAAATGAAAAAAGGCATTATTCCACCCATATGTTTGTCACGAAATATAATGTTATGAGCACGAATTAGACCTCCTACTAGGGATTGAGAGAGCCATGGGAGCATCGGAATGGTGCCATTGAGGCAGATTCTCCCAGAACTAGTTGATTCATCTTCCTGACATTTGGTGCAGGTCGAAGGGTCGGTACATTGAGGCAATTTAATTTTTGCATTCAACGATTGCTCTTTCATTGGACATACTCGTCACTTATAATCCAAGTATCCAACTCAAAAGTTGATTCAATTCTGAGAACTGTAGTTTTCAAGAAATAACAGTAATCAACAGTTCCTTAACAGAATGCTCAGTAGAGAAGCCAATCACGAAGGGGGTACCCAATTCTTGTATTTAAAAATCTTCTTCAAAACACACAATCAGAATGCATCCAGATAAAGTTTCAAACAGGTTGTTTAACGCAATGCTACTTTCTGCGAACTTCGACAGATACGTCTTTTTGGAAACCACGGAGGTATCCACAAAATTTTGTGAGAACATTTGACATAATCTATTAAACTTCGCCCGCAGCTTAATTATATTTTGAATGGGTTGGGAAGAAAACGTTTATCGAAACTGTACCCTGGTCAGCATAACCTGCCTGTTTTCTTACAATACGAAAAGAGTCATGAGAATGTCTTCTTTCTCCCATCTATGATAAAAAGTCATATGTTAGATGTCTACACTGGGTCTTGATTCAATTGTTTCATGATAATAAATTTGAAGGCACATAAGAGAGAGACTTACACAATAGAGATGGATAACTATTTTAAGGAAATACAAGTAGCACACAATATGATTCATAAGGCATTTCCTTGGATTAAGAAAATTTGCAGAGCAGAATCTGTCCCTGCTAAAATAATTGACGACATAATCCTTTAAAACGGTATACCTGTCAAAACAGACAATAAATTTTGCACTCTAACGTAAAAATAAATAAACTAAAAGAAGGGCTATTGTTTTATGCCATGCCAACTATAGGATTATCAAAAGGACTTAATCTACTTAATCCTCTAGCATCAAAAAGTGTCACCACCGAATCTGAAGCTCATGAAATGGCAGAAATGAGTAGTAGAATGATGTCACGAAGGAGAATAATATACTTGTATGAATATTTGGGTACTCCAGAAGCAGATACTAAACTCTTCCTCCTACTTCCTTCCAGCCATGATGTGACACCATGAATCTCCATGGCTTTGGGGGACTCCACACCAGCTGTCGAGTCTGATAATATGGTGGAAGTATCATCACCATTTGCTCGGATAGGGATGGTTGAAGTCCTCCTTGAGCTGTTGTTTCCTATCGTTGAGCGTCTATTGTGCAACCTAATGCAGAGTAGGGCTGCACCGGCCAAAAGCACTCCAATTAAAACACCTGTGGATAAACCAATTGTCAATCCCAAAGAGAGAGCTCCCATCTCATTGGTATCTTTACACCTTCAGAACCTGGAGATGGACCCATGCAGTAAACTGCAAAAAAGGAAGGAAATATTAAAAATCATTAGTCATTAAAAAATGAAACATTGAACAGATTAAACTAAAAAATAAATAAATTATAGAGGATATCCAGTCAAATAACTGGAAACTCAGCAACATCGACGCTATATTATAATTACATCAGTCAGCTACTTAATGATGAATCATTAACAATAAAAAATAAAAATTTCAGACGAGATCCAGATATTGAAAAGGTTATGTCAGAATTATCTTATAACGAATGGAGTAGAAATATCAGAGAACAAAAAGACAATTAAGAGAAAAAATTAATCCAAATAAATTCAAATTGTCGGTGTTTCACGTACTGATCCCCTTATGGAACAGAAGTAGCTGTAATTTACCGCCGACAAGTCAGTTCCACCGCCATTTCACAGGATCGTGCATAATATTTTCAACTCAAACTGATCACCGATCAATTATCTCAAAATAACGGTTTCATTTCTTCTCGTACGTCCGTCAGAATCATAACAGAAGAGAGGCAGAGAAAACCAATCCAGTATCCAACTACATTAATAACGAATGATACGAACAGCAAAGGCATTCCGTCACCGACTCAAATATTCCTGGAATAATGAATTAAGGGAGTATCTGTGAGATAACTAAGCCTAAACAAGGTTGGAGATTAACACACGACGGCAGATCCGCGATCGAACAGAACCTCGTGCTTCGTAAGAGAAACGAGGAGAAACAGTCAAGAACGACAAGACGAGGAAAAGACTGAATTCTCCAAGTGGATGGACGATCTCCCTCCAACTTCTATCGGGAAGACCGTGCGAAGAAAGATCTGAAACCAACAGTACCTCAGCGGCCCGTCATCGCACGCCGTGATCCACCGCCGACCGACACAGTGAAACCGGTGCCGGCCGAGTTCCCGCGCGCAGTGAGCCGATGGTGCCGACGAGCAGTACCACGGTGTTCTTCTCGGGCCAGAGAAGAATGAGTTGAGGAACAATGACGGGAGCAAACAGGGAAGCGCGTAGAGGAGAGAGAGAGAGAGAGAGAGAGAGAGAAGAGGTGACAGCGATGGGAAGCATTAAAAAACAGGACGTTAATTGTCCACCATCTCCTTCGTGACTGACCGCTCCCGCCGCAAGGCCGGCCTCCTTGTCTCTATATTTACAGTACTACCACTCATCGTAATCTAAATGACGATAACACCCCTCTTTGGTTACGGCGGCTGTTGAGCCTCCGACGTGGTGGCCGTTAATAACTGACACAGCGGGCAAACATCCCTAACGGTATCCGTTACTCCATAATAACCGCGCCGTTTTAAAAAGCTTATCATGAACCCATACCCTCAGGCTCATATATTTATGAAAATATATTTTATTTAACCTATTATATTTTTAAGGCTCAATATGAAAAATATCTTTCACATTACCAAATAATATATAAATAAGTATTTTATGTATTAATAATATTGTGACGAAATTTACCTCATTAAAATGTATCTATTGGGGAAAAAAAGAAGCTTTTGTGGATATTAATGTAACATAGAGAAGTTTGGTAAGGACTGAGAGCTAAATAAAAACTAAGGCAAAGGGTTCGTTGCTGAGATGTAAAAGTTTTAAAGACATAAAAGCAATTAATCATACTTCATACACCTACATGTATAAAACCAATTACTATGGCTCAAAAATATAATAATTTAATTAAGCAAAAAATGTTGTGGAGTTTAAACTCTCTTATTTAGGAAAAGACACTTCATAGCAACTAGGTCAACGCTAAATTCTTTGTAGGAGATGGGTCATGAGACTTGTAGGGACTGAAGGATTAATGAAACCAGGGGCTAGGACTAATTAATAATATGCATTACATAAAAATAATTTTTTAAAGAAAAAGGTATTTGATTGCGCCGGTTTTATTATGGGCAGGACAGGGACTTAAAGCTTGATTTTATAAAATACAAGGGCTTATTACTAATAGTCATTATTTTCAATGATCAGTGGATAAACCCTACACGAGGAAAACGGGAAATGGTCTGGTTTTTCCTTATGGGCTTGAATGTGGGCCCAACACCTTAAAAATCTGAAAGTTTATAAATTTCCCATATTAATATATTATTTCAGGCCGTAGCCATTTTACTTGCCAAGTATCTGGTGTGCTCGTAAATAAACCCAAAGCGAGGGGGCCTCAGGGTCATATCGCGTTCGGGTCACCGCCGAGGTTCTTGATCTCTGCATTTGGCTCTGTCGGTGAAAGTGACCTTGTTCCGACCGGCGGTTACGGTACTGACCGCAGCCCACTTGTTGTCCTTCTTTTCAGTTGTTGACTAAGATATAGTCCCAACAAATTTTCTGACACGTGGACACTCCGGAAAAACCGTAATTATTTTTTGAAAAAAATAATATTAATTTACCGTAATTATGGTAAAAGCCGGCGAAGCTGGAGCTGCTAGGAAGGTGGCACGGCGGTTCATCCACGAGAGAAAAAGACCCGGTCCGGTCGCCGCCGTCTTCTAGATTTCCTGGTCAACGTTCCCACGCGACTTCCCATATCATTTTGTTCCAATGCAAATTCAAACCTGACCTCTGACTCGTTGACCAACTGATCCACCGAGGAGCCTCATCATTAGTCATTGAATGACCGCGTGCCCGGAGGAGATCCCGTTGACTTAATTTCCTCCGAAGACTGTTGATGGGGGAGACCAGGTTCCTTAATGGGCTTTTCAATGGGCCACAATTGGACTCTGGGTCCCGTCCAAATAATTATTCCTATAAAGGTCATTTGGGTCCCACAAGAATTGTTGACTCTCCTAATGTATCAGATCACATGTGGAGATCAACGGCTCCAGGTAGGGAACCACACAGCGTCCATCCCCGCGAGGATTTGAGGAATATCCATTGGACGGTTGAGATTTCGCCGTACCTTTTCGACAAGACGGTGGCCTAGAGAATCGCACGCTTGCCATCAGTGGTCATATTTCCATTTATTCAACGGATATATTCAATAAAAAACCCTTGGCCGTACGTTGTCTTATCACCTTGGTGGTGGGCCCGCACGGGGAATCCGAAATTCGTAGGGTATCAGAGATCAAACGGTCCACATTTGGTTTCAGCAAGTGGTATCCTATGTGGATAGATCTGATGGCAGACATAAGGCCACGTCGGAAGATAGGTTCAATGCAGTGAACCGTTCTAGAAGCTCGTAATTACTTGCAATTTGGTCTCTTCCTCTCGTCCACGTCATCACTTTCTTATCCGAGGCAACATGGACTCATCCATGTTGATTCAAGATCGGATGGTAAAATTGGGCTATGGTTAGTGGCCCACGCGGATTGGTGGTCGGCCGGGATACGTGGCGCGATTTTTCTGTACCATGTCACGTCACCTGCGGGGTCCCCGCGCGTCGGTACGCGGAAGAGTGAGTCAGGACAGCTGGTCACATACGACAAGTTCCGTTCTGTTGGGGCCAGGATTAGTCGTCCGTATCTCTCTTCTGCGCACCGATGTGATGTGTGGCGTCACGGAGGGGAGACGTTGCGCGTTCCTAAAGCGAGGGGTCTTTTGTCGTCGTCGTTCTCTTTATACCTCTATCTGTCGCTTGCAGGGTTACTCAGGGTCCTAAAACTGCGAGCGCTCTCTCTCTTTCTCTCGCTGCTATTTGCGCGGATGAGAAAACGGGAAATGATGCACGGGAGAAAGCGCGGGTGAATTTGATGGCGACTGTATTAGGCAACGGGCGCTGATGCCCGGGGGGAGAAGAGAGGGGAGACGCGCAGGTACGAGGGAGCGAAATCTCGGCAGCGTTGCTGGTGAATTTAATGGCGATTGCTGTTTGATTTTCTTTGAATCTTACCTCCGTTTCCTCTTTTATAGCTTCTCTCTCTCTCTCTCTCTCTCTCTCTCTCTCCTCGGATTCCTTGTATGAGTGCGGATTTGCTTTTTTGATTGTTTCATGCTGCGGTCTTCGGGTAGATGGGGGGCGAGAATTCAGGGAGGTTTACGAACAATTTTCTTGTCTCCTTCAATCTCGTCTCATTTCCCCTTTCTCCCTTTCCCTCTGTTCTCGTGGATGTCCGGGAGAGGCGTCAGGGCGTCGCGGGATGTTGAGCGCTGTGACGCCCTTTACCTCTATCTTCCTCTCCCATTACCTCTTTCTACCCAGGATAGCTATTATGCTGTGATGAATATGGGCCTGTAGCTGGAGGGGAAAGGGAAAGGGGAAGGGAAAGGGAAAGGGAAGGAGGGTGCCTTCTTCTCTTTCGTTAGAAATACTGTGTAATTCCAGAAAACCTGGGGGAAGATTGCTTAGAATTACGACACCGAATCCATACAAGTTAGAACATAGGGCAATATTTCTGTAAGCTTTTGCTTGGATTTCTCCTCAAGTTTTCCGTTTCGCGAGGACACCTTCCGGTGGTCCTTTAGTTTTGCTTCCTTGGGGAACATGTGAAAGGAAAGAATCGAGAGACTGGAGACAACAGGGTCGACAGGTATTCAGAAAAAGAGAGGACGGTAATGGTGTTCCAGACGGTTTGGAACCTTAATTTAGTTTTTTCTATTTATAATTTTGTCCGGCTGGTACCGAACTGCGAATGGTCAATAAATCTGTTGTAAATGAATCTCTCTGCACACGAAATAGGAGCTTCCCTGGTCCACCGTACGGTCATGGTGTAAATGCCCAGCAGTGTCTTCTCAGAGCCAGTACTTTGTCCTGTTCTCTCTCTCTCTCTCTCTCTATCACTCACCTCTCTCCCCGGAAAAGGGGGGAGTCGACCATTACTAAAGTTATGAGGGGGATTGACCTTTCTCCTCCGTCCTTGGGCCATTCTCGCTCAGAACATTTCGTAATGCAGCAGATACCAGAAAGCGTCACAACCAATGCCTCAGTAGAGAACTTTGATTGTTCTCATCAATGAAGTGTTATGGACATGGCGACAAATGGCGAGCTTATTGTATCTTACCCTTTTTCAGTAAGGCTCGAGGAAGGTTTATTAGTGAAATCAGAGGAATTCTTCTTCAGGATCGGAGCACAGAAAAATACGGTTTTTTTTATGCAAGATGCAGATAGAACCAGAGATATGATTGTCCCAAGGAATTAAACATGAACAGTTTCGCATTTTTCATGGTTCGAATAACTTCTTTTGATCAGTAACACATTGTTTTCTCCATGATTTTTTTTTGGTTATCTTCGACTATCCTGCGAATCGTCTCCATGTTAAAGTTTATTCTGTTCCCCCAGTGTCTATAAGTAATCTGCGATTCTTGCCTGGTAGATTATGAACCAAGATTGTGTGTATACGGATCCCCCGAAGTTCGAATTGTTTTGTTCTAAATTTCCAGATGATATATAGGTCACAGATGTTTGGAAGATTATATTCTCGAGCATTTTTTGTAGTCCAGCCACCGATTATATCTACTGATTGTAAACCTGCGTTTTGAGTTGGCTACTGACTGGCATGTTACCTTGCGTGTATCCTTGTTTTCTTTCTTGATGACTCGTTCTGATTTTGCTGCTAAACCTTGATGGCATGTTTAATATGAGAGAGAGAGAGAGAGAGAGAGAGAGAGAGAGAGAGAGAGAGAGAGAGAGAGAGAGAGAGTATTTTTCTGAAACTTTGGGCTGGAAGTTTGTTTTGATCTTCAGATCGTCTGGAACTTTAGGTTTCCTGTGGCATGGACTCGCGGCAGCTCTTCAGACATAGTCTCTCCAGCGAGGTAATCTCCTTCAAAGCCGCCGCTACCGCTGCAGGCGCCTCGGCCTGGTCCCAGCTGCCGGCGTCCGTGAAGCTCAACCTGGGGAATTCTCCAGACTCCCCCTTCTCCACCCCCTTGGACTGCGACGCCTTCCCCGCGCCCAGCACCACCACCCAAGATCGGCACAGCATATCCCCGCCGGAGCCCACCGACAGCAAGGCCCTGCGGCAGATCGAGACCATGCTCATGGCCCCCGACAATGAGGCGGCAGCGGCAGCGACCACCACCACCAGCAGCCGCCGGCACGACGCCGACGCCGACGCCGACGCAGACGACAATTTGCGGAGCCGGAAGCGACAGAGAGCTGGGCCGGAGGTGAAGCGGCTGCTGCTGTCTTGCGCCGAGGCGCTGGCGGAGGACCGCGCAGCAAAATTCAAGGGTCTCGCGCAGGAGACGCGGGAGGTGGTCTCCATCACCGGCGAGCCGCTACAGCGACTCGGCGCGTACATGCTAGAAGGGCTGGTGGCGCGGCAGGAGGCCTCCGGCGCCACCATCTACCGTGCCCTGCGCTGCGAGGGCCGCGACCTGCTCTCCCACATGCAGATCCTCTACGACATCTGCCCCTACTTCAAGTTCGGCTACATGGCCGCGAACGGTGCCATCGCCGAGGCCGTGCGCCACGACGACCGCGTCCACATCGTAGACTTCCAGATCGCGCAGGGCACGCAGTGGGTCACCCTCCTGCAGGCCCTCGCGGCGCGCCCCGGCGGGCCGCCGCGGGTGCGCATCACCGGGCTCGTGGACGACGACGGGGGGCCGGTGGCGGAGCGGCTGGCGGCGGTGTCGAGGCGGTTCAGGATCCCCGTGGAGTTCCGGCCGGTGGGGGCGGCGGCGCAGGATGTGACGCCGGCGATGCTTGATGTGCGGGAGGGGGAGGCGCTGGCGGTGAGCTTCACACTGCAGCTGCACCACACGCCGGACGAGAGCGTGGAGGTGGGGAACCCGCGCGACGGGCTGCTGCGGATGGTGAAGGGGCTGGGGCCGCGGGTGGTGACGCTGGTGGAGCAGGAGTCGAACACCAACACGACGCCATTCCTGACGCGGTTCGCGGAGGCGCTGGACTACTACGCGGCGATGTTCGAGTCGATCGAGGTGGCGCTGCCGAGGGGGAGCGGGGAGAGGATCGGGGTGGAGCAGCAGTGCCTGGCGAGGGATATAGTGAACGTGGTGGCGTGCGAGGGGAGGGAGAGGGTGGAGCGGCACGAGCTGCTGGGGAAGTGGAGGTCGAGGCTGGGGATGGCGGGGTTCAGGCCGTACCCGCTGAGCAGGTACGTGAACGAGGTGATCAGGGGCCTGCTGGGGGCGTACTCGGGGAACTACAGGCTGAGGGAGGAGGACGGGGCGGTGCTGCTCGGCTGGAAGCAACGCGACCTCATCTCCGCCTCCGCCTGGCACTGAGCACTAGCACTCTCTCTCTGGGGCTTCTTCATTAATAAATGATTATGTATAGTGATGTTCATTTTATATTGTGAAATATCGAGTCTCTCTCTCTCTGTCTACACATTATACATATATTTATCTTTCTTAGGCCCAACAACGCGGGGTTAGCCACACGCGAGAGAGAGAGGAGACATGATCTCGTAAGTCAAAGGGTAAAATCACTGCCCCGACTCAGTATTCTCTCTCTCTCTCTCGCGTTTATCTTATATGCCGATTTATACAGTTTAATGTGGAGTCTCCCTCTTTCTTTGGCCCAACAATCGGGGGTCAGCTCCACATGAGAGAGGGAGAGAGAGATGTGACAGAAAAGTCAAAGGGTCGATTAAAGGGCCGCTTACCATAAAACGCGCATCCTCTGTCTAACAATCTTTTTGACTAAATAACGAAGTGATTTCGGCGCGTCCTTTGGTCAAAAGTGCAACATTCCGAAAATAACGAAGTGATTTCGGGAGGGACGATGGGCCACTCGATTTGATGGATGTTCTCACGAGCAGGCGAAGAGGAATCCCCCGTAGAACGAGAATCTACGCGACGAGATTCCACAGAGAAACATTCACCGTCTCCACCCCCACCCACCCCACTCACTCTAAAAGATGGATTTTTTATTTATTACTTAGCTTGTTTTGCACATATTGACTATGCAGTCGCAGGGCCCACCGAAAAACAAAGAAGGAAAAAAGAAAACTGGCAAAATTATACCTTGATCCTGCCCTTGCCGTTGCTCTCTCCCTCCTCCATGCCCCCCAAGGTGTCGTATAGGGGCTTGTTCATCGTCTCCGGCAAGTACAGCGCCACCAAGCCGCCGGCGACGCCGCAGGCCCCGAACACGGCGAAGGGCACCTTCTCTCCGAGCACCACCACCAGCGGCGCCAGTATCGCCCCCAGATGCGACGCCTGCGTGGTGCAGCCCAGCGCCGCGTTCCTCACCACCGTGGGGAATAGCTCCGCCGTGTAGATAAAGAGCAGGTTGTAAGTCGCCGCCATGCCGAAGATCCCCATCACCCCGCAGGCGAGACGCAGCATCTCCCAAGCGCCGGTGGTGCCGCCGCCCACGGCGGCGCCGGCGAGGCAGAACGCGCCGCTGAGCCACATTGTGGCGACCGCCAGCGGCCTCCGGCCGAACCGGTCCAGAAGCGCCGCCGTGAGCAGGAAAGCCGGCATCTCCGCGACGGCGTTGAGGAAGACGCTGAGGTAGAGGCTGGTCCTGAGGTTGACGACGTTGAGGCTGAGCCCGTAGTATATCACCGCGCAGAGGAGGGTGATCAAGACGGCGAGAACCAGCCGGATTCTCGACACCGGCGAGCGGACGACGTCGACGAGCGTGCCGGAGACGGCGTCCTCCTCCTCGGCGGTGGAGTCGCCGTCGACGGTGAGGGCGATCCCTCCGACGAGGTCCCCGTTGCCGTTGCTCTGCGCGATCTCCCGCAGGACGTCCATCGCCTCCGTGATCCTCCGCCGGATGAGGTACCACCTCGGGGACTCCGAGATAAAGGGGAGCACCGTGAGGAGGAAGACGACGGAGGGGAGGGAGGTGACTACGTAGAGGACCCGCCATGACCGGAAGAGGAAGGCGGCCCCAGAGAGGGCGGCGATCCCGCCGGAGAAGAAGTAGAAGGTCGACATTCCGGCGACCCCACGCTTCGATGGGCCCACGGGCTCGGTGGCGAGGACGAAGGCGCAGAGCCCGATGCCGCCGGTGCTGAAGCCGGTGAGCACCCGGAGGACGGCGTAGACCCAGAAGGACGGCGAGAGCGCCGTCAGGAGGCCGAAGACGGCGTTGAGGGCGCAGACGACGGTCAACGCCCCCTTCCTCCCCATGAAGGAGTCCGAGAGGTGGCCAAATACTCCAGCACCTGCTCAGAAATCCGAACCCTAAGCCATGAACTTTGGTGCTTAAAAAAAAAAAAGCTCTAATCTTCGGTGAAATGTGAACATAGCAGTAAATCGTCATAGAAATTTGTTGATCTCTTCCAGAAAATGCAGTGCTCCGGAAACTCCGGCACTTGATCAGGAAGGATCCGAAGCACTGCATTCTTTTTTTTTTTATATCAGAAATCCGAAACCTTAAGCCATAAACTTGCGTGCCAAAAAGCTGTAATCTTTAAAGGAGCACGAAGACAGTAAGATCTACGGATTCAAAAACTCGATTATTTTAACGAAATAAATAGAGACCTTGGATCGATAAAGTCAATACTTTATTTAACCACATCGACGGTAGAAAGAGCAGGGGAGCGTCGAGTTTTAAGGCGGTGGAAGTAGGCCTTTGATCCATCAGCAATGGGCGGACGTGTGGTCGGGAACTGAGAAATGGGTGGTCATACTCTTGTTGCAGAAGAGACCACTAAAGAGAGAGAGAGAGAGGGAAAGAGTGAAAGAGAGAGAGGGAGAGAGAGAGAGAGAGAGAGAGAGAGAGAGAGAGAGAGAGAGAGAGAGAGAGAGAGAGAGAGAGAGAGAGAGAGAGAGAGAGATGAGGGGTGACTTACCGACCATGCAGCCGGCGAAGAAGGAAGACTGGGCGAGCCCTACCTTGTACTTGGCTCCGCAAACTAGGCCCCACTCGGCCACCGTCGACCCCGCCGGACCCCCGACCCACTCCCAACTCCCACGACCCCGCGGGCAGCCCGCACAGGCCGGCGGCGGCGGCGCCGCCTGCTGATGCCGCTCGGCAGGAGGCGCCGCCTGCTCCAGCGATGCAGCGCCAGGCGGGCTCTCTGTCCGCGAAAATCATGACCATGGTGTGGAAGGCCTCCAGCGCCCAAGCCGTGCTGGTCAGCACGAAATGCTTCAGCTGCCACCGCCCGAATTCCCCTGCGTGCAGCCGCAGGACCTCGTCTACGCCCATCTTCTCCCCCCTCCCGCCGCAGCCTCCGCTGTCCAGCACTGGCGCCGCCGCCCCCTCTCCCCATGGCCCTCTCTTCTCCTCCATCTCTCCCTTTCTCTCTCTCTCGCTCTAGATTTCCTTCTGTTTTTGAATGCTGTACATAGTTATGGGGAGGGGTGAGGAATATATAGTTGAAAACCGGAAATTCTGCGGATGCTCCATCGACTTCGCAGCTATCTCTCTCTCTCTCATCATCTCTATCTCTTCTCTCCTCTCACGTCGGTTTCTGTGTCTATGAGGGGTCCACGGGATCGATGGGATCTAACGGATTATCCGGCAAGTTCTCTCTGTCTATCTCTATCTCTCGTACAGGTTGTAGTTTTGGGTGTGGCGATGTGGAAGCTGGCCCATCGGGGGAAGATTTAAGTGACAAGTGAACCGGCACGTGCAGTCCTAAAGATCACGTGGCATCGAGAGACGAGGGAAGCTGATCGGTTGGGCCGCGGTCGCCGTCAACCGCCTCCTGTCAGGCTCATTATTTTCGCACGTGCGCGTGGTGCTACCAGCCCAGGAGCACGTGACGAGAAGAACAGCGCACCACGAGACGCACAGAGAGGAATCCCCTGATCATGCGGTATGACGTGGCTTTTTCGTTATTTATTTTCTCGATAGTGGAGAGGGGGGGGATTAGGTTACCAGTTTCTTGAAAATTAGCGAAATTTATATTTATTATATGAAAAATATATTATCCACTAAATAAAGAAATCTGGGTTTTATTTAATTGCTCTTTGGCCCACCGGGCCCAAAGCTCGCCGGCCGTTTCCGTGTCCAGGTTCCTTTTCTGTACAAACATTAACCCCTCGGGCACTACCAATAAATCCAGCCAATCCTAACGTGCCACGTGTACACTGACTAGGGCCCCTCGATCGTCGTCACCGGCGTCGCGTGTGCGGAGAGGGAGGGCAGTTTCAGAGCCGCCGCGAAGGGAGGGCTCAGAACAGGAAGGCGCTGGTGGCGAAGACCATGAAGACCGTCGGCGAGGAGAGGTTCCTGCGAAGCGGAGGGAGGAAGATTGGTCAACGAATGTAGCTTTTTGAAATAAGGACGAGCAACTCGATCTGAAAGCGAGTTCGTGAAGATCTGCTTTGGAAGGAGTTTGCTTGTCTCTGACTTTCGTCCTCGACGCTACCTAAAGCAGGGAGAGGAGGAGATCTGCTTCGGAAGCAACCAACAGCCTCATTCCCGGCGCTTCGGAACTCCTCTCCTTCATGAGAAAGAGAGAGAGGTTCTTTTACCACTCTTTTCGAACCGCTTTAATGGTCAATTCCTGGGGTATGATCCCGATTCGGATCGCTGACCACAGCTCTCGCTCCCTCAGATGCGCAAGCGCATCGGGAGCCAGCAGATCTCGGTCGGTTCCTCGAACATCACGAAGGTTCCTCTTTCGTCTCCACTTTCAGGAAGGTACTCCAGGGGATGGACGACGATGTGCCAAAAAGAGATCAATAGAGAAAGAGAGGGAAGGTTTCAACGATCAATGGTGGCAGTGGAATTACTCACCTGTACTCGTTCTCTCTCTCCCAGGCGTAGTTCCTTGCAGGACGCGCCGCTCTCGGCTTGGCAGGCGCAGTCGCCGTCCTCTTCGTCCTCTCCTCCGCTGCGGCTTTCACGCGTAGCGCCCCGTCCTCGGAGATCACACCGAGCGTAGGGCGCCACTGCGGCGCCGCCCCGTCCCCTGTGGCTCTGTGTCTCCGCCGCTTCTGTTGGGACGAGGCCGCCGCTACGGCAGAGGACCTCGCCGGCAGCAGATTCACGGTGGCCGCCTCCTCCGCCTTGCCGCCGGCAGCACCTTCGTCGTGCCTCCCAGCCGCCGCCTCACGACCGCAGATCACGCACTCCAGCAGTCCCTTCATTCCTCCTCCCTCTCTTTCCCTCTCCTCTGGTTCTGGTTCTCCCTCCCTCCCTCTCCCTCTCTCTCTCTCTCTCTCTCTCTCTCTCTCTCTCTCTCTCTCTCTCTCTCGCTCTGAGATAACCGCAGGCGAGGCTGATTTATAGGTTCGATTGCGTGAAGAGAGGTTGAGGACAACTGTAGTCAACGACGAAATCACCTCCGATCGTAGGGGAACAATTATATACTACCCGCCGTTCTGACGGCCCGACGAGGGTAATTATGGTAATACATATGCGGGATTCTCGTCAGCGGGATGAATATCCAACGTGGCTTGACACGTGGCGTACTCAGAGCGTCCTATCCAGTTCCGATTGGCAAGTTGGGCCCTTTCCGATTGAGTATCCGTTAGTCAGAGTGAGACGACGTAGTAGCGCGCCCTTATCGGTCGTCGGCCTACTCGTACCCGTTAACCGCATTTAAGCCAGAATTATATAATTTTAACATTTATAAATTCATTAAAAAATAGTTCCTTAATTTTCTATTCCCAATTCAGTCAATCCCGCCGATTATTTATCAGCTCTCTCTCTCTCTCTCTCTCTCTCTCTCTCTCTATGTCGGGCCGGGCCAAAACTTAATGTGGAGAGGCCCGTAGCCCCTCTTTTCAGGCCCAGACAGTGATGAATAATAAGATAATTAAATAAAGAAGAAAGTGAAAAATAATAGGGCCGGGTTAAGTTGACCGAGCGACCGACGGCCACAATTGGACGGCTGGGATTGATGAATTTGGCTCAAATCGGCTCAAATCGAATCGCCCACCGACAGCCTTGAGAGAGAGCGAGAGCGAGCGAGCGAGCGAGCGAGCGAGAGAGAGGGAGAGAGAGAGAGAGAGAGGGAGAGAGAGAGAGAGAGTTCCATGAATCGCCGACCGACAGTCCGGAGAGAGAGAGAGAGAGGTGCATGCATTCCCTCTTTGATCAGGCAGAGGCAGGGCCATTAAATGGGATTAAAGGCCACGTACGTCCAGCTGCAATGGATTTATAACACAATGATGAAAGAAGATTGAAGCCAAGATGTGCTTCAATAGGACGGCATCTTAAGCCCCGTGGGCTCTCTCTCTCTATCTCTATCTCGCTCTCTCCCTAGTTAAGGTTTAGATAGCAATTACTCAACAGGGTTCTGTATGCGGATCAGAACGTTCATCACTCGTATATTACTGTACTCTTTATCTCTCTATCTCTATCGTTGACAGCGATGTACCGTTGTTTTAAAATGGCGATAACTCTTTCGGCACGTGTTAGTTGCACCGTCCAAATATTATACTCTCTCTCTCTCTCTCTAAAATTTAGTGCGCAGTAGTATTTTAGAACCAGTTTTTGTACATACATTTCAGATGCCCCGTCACTCTCATACTACATTCGCTGCATAGTAGTCTCTCTCTCTCTCTCTCAAATAACTTTGATAATCAAGAGTCGGCATTGTTTGTAAAAAGTCAACACGAACCGGAGACTATGAAATTGGAGGTGGTGCTGCCACTGTCATCGAAGGAAAGAGAAGAAGAGCTGTATCAATAATCATATTATATCAGTCTTCAATTCGCATGGTAACAATCCGAATTATTTCATAAAAATATAAAAATAATAATTTTGACTATAGGTATGTCAATCCGGAGCACTCCTCATCTTGCCTGAATGAGGTCCCTCCTGCTGCTTTGAGTGAATGCCTCTTCCTAGCGGAAGTAAGGAAGGAGCGGTGACACCAGGTTAGTTTCAAGATGAAGAAGTTTTGTTTAATTTTAGATTAGATTTTACTTAGGAATTTAAGAGTAGAAGTCACAAACAATTGATTGCTATTCTTATGTCGCCCAGATCTGAGAAATCGGATATGAATTTATTGTTTCACTTTTTTTCTCTCTTTTCAGTCCACAACCCCTCGTTTTCTTTTCCATTATATCTTTCATTAGAATGAGCATTAAATAGTAAGCCTCAAATTTCCTGAGGAGATGACTTGACTCATTGTTATTTACAAGTATTTTGCAAATCAAATTAAAACATAACTCATAATAGTTTTGATTGAGAAGAATAAGGACTAAAGACACTTGTAGAAAATTTAACTCATCAAATGGCACTGTTGTCAAGGAATTTTGAGCATTGAAGGATTCTATATATGCTATTTTTAATGAAGATGCTTTTAATTTCTCGAGTTTTATCTCCAAAAGACAATGTGACATGGATATTAGACAATTATTTAGAGAGATTCTAAAGAATAAAGTAAGTGAGCTTTGAAGAATTTTTTGCAGACATATTGAGCAAATTTGAAAAGAATTAAGAGAAATTAACTTGAACAATATCCACTTAATCATGTCATTTAACTTTCTCTGTTGAATGTGGCAGATTTATTTGAGTAAAATCAACTTCAAGATAAAAGTTTTTTTTAAAGAGTAATAAACATTTTCATATAATTTTTATATATATATATATATATATAATTCAGTGAATTGAATATACTTGAAATTTTAACTATTCTCTTTATCTTGATAAAAGATTAATTGTTGAAAATAGTTATGGTGTGTGCTTACAAAAAATTGAAATTTGACTTGCAAGACCAATTAAGGATATTAATCTACAAACATATTTGAAATTAATTGCCAACCTCTAGTTTGTGTTGCGACTTATATTAACAATCATATTGAACATCCATTGTGAGAGGACAAGGCAAGGAAAACTTTAGGGAGAAAATCAGCCGCAAAATAGGTAGAAATCTCAAAATTCAACTTTAAATTTTGACATGTTTTTCTGCATTACATGATGTTTCTGAAACTTTGATTAATCATTATTGGTGCATATCTATGGAAGAATTGGCTAAAATTTTGATTGTTAGTTTTGGTGGCTAAGATATTTCTATAGGCAACTCTATTTTAAATATCTAGTAAGTTTAGAATTGTTTCTGAAGAATCAAAGAGGCCACATTGAAAATAAGGACATAAATTGTTATTATATGCTAGCCAGTTCTTGCACATGATCAATATACACAAAAGTTGTCTATTATTTCTCAGTCCAGATTCTTTGTAAATATTACATCTATCTTCTAAAACTAGTTAATTTTGAGTATTTTCATGCAATTTTATTCATTGTGATCATTGAGGATTTTATACATATGTTTTGCTAGTCAAGGTATATAAGATTCATAGTGATAAGTAGACAGAGTAGAACGAATTTGCAAAATTAGAAGTAAGCAAATGCAAAGACATAGATCCCAGAAGGATGTAGTCATTCCACCAGCAAAGGAGTTAAGAGAATCATCACAAATAGAAGTGACCTTGAAAAAAGAAACAAAAATGGAAGGAGACTAAAGGAAAAATAGAAGAATGCGCCTTAGAGATCACTCAGCTCCCTTATAGTATAGACTAGTGAATAAAATCAATGCTCCGATAGAGAATGATGTCAACTTTAGAGTTGATCATCATCTTGTTCAAATGTTACCACATTTTCATGGGATGACTCACAAAGAGCCATATAAACATTTAGAAGATTTCTCACAAGTTTGTGAGATTTCACACTATCTTAACATTTCCATTGAGATAGTAAAGATGAGATTGTTTCCCTTCACACTCAAAGGTAAAGCTAAGGACTGGCTTCGTGCCTTGGTCCAAGAGCTAAATTCCTAGATTGACATGGGGGTAGCTTCCTTAAGAAATTTTATTAAGTAAGAAAAACGAATTCTATTAGGAGGGTGACGTGACTCAGTCGTTGTATATTAAATCACGCAAATATAAAATTTATAAAACTAGAAAATACGATTTTTCAAATATTTAGAAGTATTTCTAAATAAATATATCAATTATGATTCAATAAAACTTCCAAAAATAGCGGTAATTTTCCAGGTCGATCACAGGGATGTAATATAATATCTGGTAATTATTCAGAATTTTTCTCAATGAATACGATTTTCTATGAATTTTATACTAGGAAATAAAAAGGAAATATATTTAAAATTCACGAAAAAGAGAAATAAGGGTGTAGGCGTCAGGATGACGTCAGCGCCGGACGAACGCGAATCGGGTAGAAACAAAGTTCCGCCTGGCGATTCTTACGTAAGCGATTACAGATGATTTAATTAATCAAATTAAGATATGTAAAAGCCGGAAGAATCGTAATAGAACAAAGTATATTTTGGTAAATTAAAATCACAAAGAAATATCACTAAATGAAGTGTAAAGTAAGTTTAAAGCAGGAAAACAGAGTTCCGCCGTCGCGACGGCGATGCGTCGGCGATGCACCGGAATCCTGAGCGTTTGGGAGGATTGTCGTGCAGTGTCCACGGCCTCGAAGGCTCTCCTTGGACAAAGACAACGTGGGCAATCTCTAGATCTTCTCGCGAAGTCTAGAGATCAATGAAGTGGGTCATCGAGTCGTCTCCGGCGGCTGTCACCCGACGGAGCGAAAAAACAGCGACTTTGCGGCTCTCCGGCGGCTGTCACCCGACGGAGAGGAGCTGGATGGAGGTGGGGCGCATGTCAGGGAGCTTCATCCTCAGGTCCGCGCAGCAAGAGGAGGCTCTTCATCGCATCTGGTACGCTCTCAGGAGGTGGCGACTCGTCTCCCGGCGGATCGTCCTCTTCCCGACGACAGCTTGTTCGTCGATCAATCGGAGATGATTTACTCGATGGATTCGCGATCCTTTTATCGCGAATCGTTCAGCAATTTTAGTAGCAATGCTCCGGGAATCGTGTTGACGAGATTTTCGCCGATGATCCAGCGATTCTGGTTGCTTAATCCTTCACCGGCGATCTGCAGGAAAGTCGCGATAATCAGATAAAAATATATGAATTTTGACTCTAGGAAGATTCGAACTCGCGCCGGTTGTCCGCCCCTTCTGAGGAAGGTGTGACGCGGGTTTAGTCCCACATCAGTTGTGCGCCGATTTTTCAGGCGAATATATAGTAATGTTAGCTTTTTAAGCAAAGTCCTTTCTCTCGCATGTATGACCACTCCTTGCCCCACAACCGGCTGGCCACCGGTGACG